AATGCCGTTTGGGTGAGTCATAAATTTTATTTTTTCTGGCATTAACTCCCTTATAACATATAAACGAAAATATATGTATATCAAAAATGTCTGTCTGTCAATACAATATAATAAATGTAACATCAATATAGCATATATATAATTTATAGCTATTTATATGCAAAAAGCTTTATTTCAAACACCGTTTACGTATTTAAATCGGTAAAATTACACAAACAGGTACGGTCAGATTGAATAAAACAAACCATGGGGGCTGTCCATAGCTTCCATCCCTGTTGAAAAACTCCAATAGAATCCCATCAAAAGCGACAAAAGCTACATAAAAACCAATAAATATGTATTGGTTTCTATGTGGCTTTAATTGTCGCTTTTGATCGGGATCCCATTGGAGTTTTTAAATAGGGATGGCAATCAACTTAGTTGAACCAAGAACCACAGACTACTAAACCATACAGTCGTCTAACGTCTATCTAACGTTCCCGACTATCTCGATTGTCATACCTATTTTTAAAAGCTGTTATTTAACTTGCTATGTTTGTATGTATGTCATCGATCAAAAAAGTACTAGATACACAACCCCATGCAAAAGTTCTCTTAAAACTGTCACCGATTGTGTTTAGGTAATTGTTCTAGTTGAAATAAATATACAACAATGTAAATTGAAACTTAAATGCAATGCTTGAAAGTTGTTTTCACAAAAAAACATTTAATTAAAAGCGCGCTCATATGTTCAAATGAGCGCTCATTCGGTGGACATTTTTTGTCGCTGATTATGTATCTAGTACTTTTTTGATCAATGATTATTATATTTGTTCGGGTCAAATCTTGCAACAGAATTTAAAAGCAGTTATCCTGAACCGATTGAGCTGAAATTTTACATACATGTTTAGTTTGGATGACAATGCGTGGTTAGCAAAGTGACGTCATTCTAAATCTAATATGGCGGACTTTCAAAGGTTTAACATCAAACCCATCAATTTATAACATTACACAATTTATCTGATATAAAAGATTGCCGCGAGATTTATCTGTGAAGATATATAAGAAACAAAATGTTAAAAAATAATGTTTTTTTATAAAATAGGTGAATTTCGCATATGCTTTTATATCATACTAGCGACTCACCCTCGCTCCGCTTGGGTTTCGGGTCCCTAAGTACGTTTTAACGTTTAGAATAGATTTCTCAGATACGAGATATTTTCCCGCACTAAAAAGTATCCTATATGTTGACCCGGATAACCAGCTATCCAACGTGCGTTCACCTTGTCGTGGTGGGGGGGCTCAGTAGCAGTAGCGAAGCTAAGAAACGCAAAGGGAGGTTGCCCACTTCGGTGGGCGGTGAGAGGTGGCCCTCTTCGGAGGGCAGTGTACCATGCGGGTTGCTCCTGGTACTTCTCTGATAGCAGAGTGGACTGTGGAGCAACCCCATGGTTGTGGTGGTCTGCTTCGGCGGACCTGCCGTCGGGGCGTCGTAGTTGAATGCGTAAGCGATCCTGCGACGCCCCATTAAGACGGGGAAAGGTTTTGTTGGGTTTTAGTGGGTAGTACTGGCTGTATTACGCCGGTGAGTCCCACACGTCGTGCGTAAATGCATTTCCCAACGTTAAAAAAAAAAAAAGGATAACCAGCTATCATCATATCAAATTTCAGCATAATCTGTCCAGTGGTTTCCTCGTAAAGCCTTCCCAGACAGACAGACAAAATTTTAAAAAACTATGGATTGTATCGATAATAATGACTATTTCAATACCATTTTCCAAATAACATAAATGTACAGATTCGACTCAGAATTTCATTATATATATAGATAAATTGTGTAATGTAATAAATTGATGGGTTTAATTCAATTTTAGCTTAATTTCTTCTTTTTAGAGCACTTAAATAAAAGTCGGGGAAAGGCTTTAGGTTTACAGATTACTTATAACTTGAACTCGAGATGAGATTGTCATAAAAATTACACTTAAATTTAACAGTATTTCTATAAAAATCAACGCCATTAGCTTACTGTATAGATTTTTATACTGTGGTTTTTTTAAACCAAAATTGAATGTCAACACTTGTTTAAGTTGTACATAAATATAGTTACAAGTTAGCTCTGTACAAATATTTCTATGTAGGTATATTTGTATTTTAAATGTATTATATATTCCGAAACGTCGGGAACCAAAAATCAAAATAAATCTGCGAAAAAATCCGAAAATATAGTAAAAAAATTGTTTTTAATTAAAAAAAAAGTTTTTTTTTGGTACATCAAATACAAATAATACATTACTAATATTTTTCAATACAACGATATAACTTTAAAAAAATGACCAAATGCAAAGAGGGTATAAGGCCACATTTATCACACTGGGAATTTTGAAAATTGACCGAAAATACATATTTTTCTACTTATACCTATACAACACACATATAGAAGTTAAATGGAAGGAATCCACTGGACTAAAAGCCAAGAGTGCACATTATAACATTTAAAAGCAAATAACATGAATGTTGCGTGTAATTTTATTACTGGTTATTATAAGAAAATATCTAATGATTTTTTCAATTAAGTTGAATTTACAGCTAAATTTTATGATTTTTTTAATTATTATTTAGTCACAAATTCATTGATGAATAGGTTTTTTATCATTAATAATTTTAATTGTTATTATTTTTAAAATGTCATTTTTTTTGTAGTTACATAGCTTTAGCTGGAATTTTCAACCAGATATGTTCCCAAAACAACCAGTATTTTTTGATTATAATTTATAATATAAAGCATTTTTCAATAAACATTTCACAAATTAACTATGGCACCTACGTGTTTAAACGTGATAGTCAAAATATTATATTTTCCGACTGAAAAAAAAACAAAATAAACACAATTCCTCATAATAAATGTCACGTGACCTTCACTTTAAACGGAAAACGTCATTTTATTGGCGACCCTACAACTGACTCGTAGTCACCAATAAAATATTACCTTCAAATGTCTTAGATATATATTTAACTTTAAAAAATTCGTTTGATAATCTCTTATTGAAAATAAAATATGTTTATAATCTACATAATATAATATATAAACGACGTACAATTTATGTTTTTAGTTCTATTGCTATTTTTTTAATTAACTTGTAAGCTTATCAATTTAGAGTTGTGCCGTTTTTACTTTATGTCAAATATAACAAAACAAAACTCATATGTCGTTTATAAAAGAAATATTGCAAGAAAAAATAAAATATTGACTATAACTAAGTGAATATAATCAAAGTTAAGTCACTAAAGGTACATGATTTAAGCTTTGTTTTAGAAGATATTGTATAAACGATTGTGTATATTTATTTTTTAGTTTTAAGTAAAATAAGTTTCTCAACGGCATCGCACTTGATGGTTGACAAAATAATATCCATATAAATAAAATGCTGTTCATTAGTAAGTGCGATACTTGAAAAGGGCCACACCGATTTGGCAAAACTAGAAGAAATATTTTTTAAAACATTCTTAATAGTCCAAATACGGTTTTAAGGGAAAAAGATGTGGAATGCTTTTTTTTGCTCGGAAAATTGAAAAACTCGGGAAAATCAATCGGCATTTTTTAAATAGTTTTTATTATTTTTTGGACAACCTCTATCGGGTCAGTTATTAAAAAAATATATTAAAGGCTCAATTATTTTCCACTTGCCATTTCATTTTAGGACTTTATTTTTTTTAGTGCTAGTGCAAAGTTAACAATTTTGAATTTATTTTTGTCACTTGAAAATACTACACATTCGTTTATAAAATAAAAAAGTGCATATTGTAATTTATAATATTTTTTTGTTGATTAAATTTTTTGTACATTAAAATATTACTTTAGAAATACATTTAAAATCCACATTTTGTGCATTTCATGTTGCCAAAATGACGTTAAAACAAAATAAATTGACCGACAAAACTCTTAATTTTTATTAAAAATTCTAACTGGCAACACTAAACAAAGTTTCATCATAAAAAAAAACATAATTAAGAAATGTCAAATCATTGAATAAAAAAAATCGCAATTTTTGACTTTAAACATTACAGATACAAATGTGCAAAATATAATATAGTCTATGGCACGAATAGATAACGTTGACGCCAACTAGGCCTTAAAATAATTGACTCAAGCGGATAAATCTAATTTACTGGTAATTTTTGTTGTTTATCTGAAATAATAAAAAAAAAATACGGGTTATATCAAATGTTTTAATTAAAAATATATATTTACTAGCGGCTCACACTTGCTTCGCTCGGGTCCGTCCAAGGTACGTTTTGACGGTTAGTATGGAATATACTATATATTATTATATGATATATAGCCTTCCTCAATGAACGGTGTGTGTAATGCAAAATGAATTTTTCAAATCGTATTAGACTTTCCTGAGATTAGCGCGTTCAAACAAACAAACAAGCAAGCAAGCAACCAAACTCTGCCTCTTTACAATATTAATATAGATGTGGAGATAATAAAAGAAATTATCTACATATAATGAATATTTTTAAGTAAGGCCATATGATAACTCAGAGATGAGTAAGAATGTTGCGATTCTCTCACTACAATGATTTTCCTCTAAAAAAATTGCCAACATTTTTCGTCTAAGAGTAGTTTTTTAGTAAATTAAGTCTTCAAGTTAATTTAATCTTATGTAAAAAATATATATTAAACGTAATTTATGGCAGCCCCGCACTAAAAATAACCGATTACTTGAATAATTGGTGGCCATTAGACGCTAACATTGAAACTTAGAAACTATAAAATGTCATATCTCAGTAGGTTGATAGGATTAGTCTTAGAATATTATAAATCCAATAGTGACTTCCAGCCGAGACTAAGTTGCTGCACAGATTTGTATTTAGCACAAATATAGGCAATGACCTGGATTACCTAACCTGTACCTGAGGGACCTGCACATAGACATTACTTAGGCACTCTAAGGACGCACCCGAGCGAATGTAAATTTTAGAAAAAAATCCCATAAAACCCCAACAACACTTACCTATTTCATTGCAACATTGCCGCCGTAAAAATCAAAGTCCTCTAAACCGTCCGGTTCGAAAGCGCGAATCTGCTCAAAAAGGTCGCTATCCATGAAGCTACTCTCCGTTTGAGCTGGCGTCGATGCACTGAAGTAGCTGTGTTTTTTAATTTTTTTGTTTATTTTTTTGTGGCCAGATAATGGTTGTCATTTGCCATTGAATTTTATTTATTTAAAAAAAAAGAAAATTATGATAAAGAAGGAATTGCAACTTCCAATATTGTTATTATTTAAGTAAAGTATAAAATAAATTTTAATAATTAATATCATGGCAATAATGTTTGTTTTTTTTTGTTTTTATTTTTTTATTTTTCGTCGAGCAGCACCAGGCGTCGTTATATCGGGAAAGGAAAAGAAAATGCAACACATTAATATCATTGAAGACGGTCGTTGAAAAAATAATAAAAAGTAATCATCTAAATCCGTCGCATAAATGACAGCACAGACTATAAAAGGCAAAAAACATTACCGGTGACAAAAAAAAATTAATTTATAAAAAAAAAATACACATATAACATGATATTACAATAAAGACGACCGTCTGTGTTGCATTTTCGCGAAGGAAAAAAAATGTCGTTGGATTTTTTTCACCCAAAACAAGTATCAAATTTTTATCTGTATAAATAATAAAAAAGTAGAATACTAAAAAAAATCCATAGACATTTTCGTTAAATGAAAAAAAAAACATAGAATCTCACATATATTTGTATTATAAATACGTCAAAACATACATCAAACATCCAACATTGTCATGTATAATTGTATAATTCGAAATACGACTAAATTCCAGGACGAAATCACAAAATGTCATAATTAAAAAAAACACGACATAACTCATTTAACACTCATTTTATATATAAAAAAAAAACTCGCGCATCAACACATTAATCTTAGCTATATCAAATCGATAGATAGTTTGTATAATAATAAAAAATATCCAACGAAAAAGAAAGAATATTTTGACATAATCGTTGGCTCACAATTACAAGGTTCTATGTTACAATTTTAGTACTTATTTAGTTAATAATACAAGGTTTTTTGTGTCATTAGCTACAGTTTTGCAAAAACAAACCACTAGATAGCGGCACTATAACTACAAAATATTCAATTTTACCTAGTTCTATGTTGTTTTTTTACGATAACAAAATAACGAGGTTCTATGTAAAAATTACTAAACTTTAGTAAAATTAACATAGAACCTTGTAATAGTGAGCCAACGAATTATGACACTTTGCAATCCATCCGGAAATTGCGCTTCTTTGAGCATATTTTTATTTTTTTTATAATTTTTTTAGCTTAAACCTACGTACATAGTGTAATAGTCACATCCAGTAAACTTTAATCGTTGTTTAATACGAATCCTTGGTCTACTTATCTAATACACTTTCGACATCATATTTTAAAATGAAAAAAAAATTGTGTCATAAATAAAAAAAATATATATCTAACAATGACATATTGAAATTTGGAAGAATTATTTAAAAATTATGATATCGAAAGCATTTAAAAATTTTAGGCAGATTATCTTAAGAGACCAAATATAATAGACTACGCCACAAATTATAAAACCCAAATATGACATGAAATATATAACTCTGTCGACATTTTTTTTGAAGTAAAACTTGTTGTGGCGTGATTGTGGGTTAGTCAAAACATTAGAAACATGAGTGTCGCGGAAGTGAGAGTCAAACGTATTATTCATAATAGGGAATATGCGTGTGATTTAAATAAAGGTGATTTTTTTTTAATAATCTCTATTGCTTTTGAATTAAGCCTATGTCAATATTTTTTTATGTAATTTCGTTTTGATTAAGAAAATAAATTATTAAAAAGTGCAAATATAGGTGGGAAATTCAAAGTAGTTGATACGCACGCCATTGGTCAGACCGAATGTGACGTCAGAGTATATCATAACAGAGCGATGCGATGTTGTCGCTACAAATTGAGTAAATTCTGTGTATATCACACTGACGTCACGCCTAGCGCGCGGTATGGCGGGCGTTTCAAGTATTCGAAACGGTAAAAGAAAATAAACTAAGTTTTAATTTTTTTGGAGCTGTATATACTTTTTACAATTATATAACGAAGTAAGCTATCGTATAAAAAAAATTAAAAAAATCATGCATGTTCCCTATTTAAAAATATATATATAAATATATTTCGATTTGTTTTAATGTGATAACGGTATATGCCACAGCGCCTAAGATGTTTTACTTCAACCGCGCGTAAACGTTACACGCACTAAATTTTTTTATCACGCGTAGTCCATTAACTTATGAATGATAATATCGTATTCGTCTTAAAATTAAATAAATTTAGCACCCAATCAAAACAACAAAAGCATTAACAATATCAATATTTTTTTTATTATGCTGTAAACCTATGACACCGAAATGTTTTATTATTATTATTTTTTTAATTCTAATTAATTTCGCTAAATAAAAATTATTAAAGACCACATAAAAAATGCATTGTATGGACCCATAATTAAAATCTTAGGACATATTTTTGAAAAAAAAAATACAAGATTTTTTTTTGAATAAAGAATTAAATATTATAATTAACATATAACTTTACTTATAGTGAAGTTATACGTTTTTGAAACTATTAAAAATTGGTCTTTGTCTATATGTATTTGGATGTATATATAGAATACATAATTTTTTGTAAATATAATTTCACTTTAGAGAAAATAACTTCAAAGTGTATAAAAAGCTTATACTTTTATGAAAAATGTCATAAATAAATATAAGGAATAGGATTTATATTTTAAATGCTTATTAAATTGAAAAATACGTATACGGAAAGAACGAGTCTTTAGCTATCATTTTGAAAAAAAAAATGTTTATTATTAATATTTTTAAATTCGATGACAACCCTGCGGTGATTTCTCCTATAATTTGACGATATGATGCGGAAAAATTGACTTTATTTTAAGCAAATGATATTAATTTGTTTTTTTTTAAAGGAGCGTTTTTTTCTATCCAAAAACAACTTTCAAAATCTTTAATGTACATAGTTTAGTATTATATTTAAGAAATATTTTACTATATATAATAATTAATATTATAACTGTAATTTCGATATCATCTGAATTTCTCTTAAAAAAACTTAAACATAAAAAAATAAACGTAAAATACTGATTGTATATTAAAAATCTATTTTAATTGACATTTTTTTTTACTTTCCTAAATTTTTTTTATCAATCTAATACTGATTTTTTGTGTGCAAAAAAAATATATATTCAAAAGCCTTTATTCCGCCGTAACTAATTTCCCGAAGGTCAAAGTACAAATAAAATATTAAAAAAAACCTCTACAAATATTCAATATTTCCTTCAATTAGTTATTTAAAGAAAAAAAAAAATAAGTACGCATTAAGTCAAGATGAGTCAAGAATGATAAAAACTTTTAAAGACGTCCTAAATGTCTAAAAATAATTTTTCACTAACAATTCTAGGCAAATATTACAAAAATTTATTTTAAAACTCTTAAAGCAGGTATTATAATTTTTTCTCAATTTTTAACAACAAGCCTCATAACATCAATAATTTAAAAAAAAATGACATTTCTACCGCCGTTTTCCTTATAGTTGGAGAATAGTGGTTCCGCAGCTAAAAAGAGAATAATACTATTTTTTATTATTTTTAATATCTAATATCTTATCTATATAAAGTAAATTTATGTTACCTATATCATTGCTTTTGCAAAAAAAAAAGAAAAAGTTATTAAAAAAGTCTTTACTCTTCTTTTTTTAATTGTTATTTATAATATTAAAGCAGGAGGAGGAGTAATCTCAGAAGCTACATCAAATATTGGAGTTAATTTTTTTGTTTCTCCTACTATCTTATTAAGTGGCAGAGGCATTTCTTTACTATGAGATATAAAAAAATGTAACACCAATTAAAAACAAAAAACCTTTAAAAAAATTAAAAGCAATGAAAATTGCAACACCTAATTATTTTAAGTTTCTGAGATCGCTTCAATTAGTGTATTAATTGCAAAAACAACGATTACTATATCACTTAAAAAAAACCGATCGCAAAAAAAACAAAAAAAAATTTATAAATTAAACATGAAGATCATAAATCGTATCAAATTTCACATATTTCACTAAAAAAAACTATAAAAAAATTATACCTAACCTAATATTGCTTATTATTCTAAGATAGTTAAAATCTAATGAGATTGTCTTGTCAAAGGATTTTGGAAGCTCATATTTATACCAAAAAAAAGTGGAAAATAAAAAAATAACAAATGGATGTGACTATTAACATAAATTAAAAGAAAAAGTAAACCGAAATTATAATCGAAAAAATATAATGCGGACGTATCATTCAAAACTCAATCATGTACCTAAGGAAAGAAATTAAACAAATATTAAAAAAAAAACTAATAACAAAAGACGAATAAATAAAATGGATGAAAAATCGTATAATAATATAATCTGTCGTAAAATAAATGCTATATTATGAAAACAGAAAAGAATCATGTGGATGAAAAAAAAGACAAACGTCAGTCATGACAGATGACAGATAAAAGTAAAACTTGCTATGATTAATTTCGTATCAGAGGAGTTACGTTAATTAATGGCTCTAAAATTGATATATAAAGACATACATACACACATCGATCAAAAAAGTACTAGATACACAATCAGCGACAAAAAAGTCCTCACCGAACGAGCGCTCATTTGAACATTTGAGTGCTCTTTTAATTTAACATGTATTTTTTGTGAAAACAATTTTAAGCATTGTCATTTAAGGTTCAATTTACATTGTTGTTTATACATTTCAACTAGAACAAGTACCTCAACACAATTGGTTACAGTTCTAAAAGAACTTTTGCATGGGATTGGGATTTTGCATATAGTACTTTTTTGATCGATGTAGTTATGTTTGTTTTTTTTTTTGTTGACTTTAATTGTATCGAATTGTTTCTACATGTTCATATATTGTTAGTGTTTAATAATGAATAAATAAATAAATTCAAACGCGATAGCTCTCAATGCATCTCTCATAGCCTTTATTGTATTTAGTGTTAAAGACGTATCTAGTATATAATAATATAAGAACCCCTTATACTGTAATTGTGTTTACATTTGATTTTTATACGTTAACTGCAATGGTTATTATAAATATATATTTTTTTTAAATATCAAAACATCTAAATGAGATTTATTCTATTTTTATTTAAAAAAGGCACATCTTCAGTGTAACGTAAGCAGAACTACGCTTCCATTTTTGACTTTCATAAAAATACAAGATGAAAAAGCTCCACTTTTACTTTAAGACAATACATGTGTGCGTGTATGTTAAAAAATATATTTATAATATATATGTATACATATATGTGTAATATCATCTGTTGCGCACTTTAGGCGTATTACGAACACATATTTGTATGCATGTGTGTTTTAATTGTGTATGTGTGTTTATATAATGTATGTGTGGATGACGTCACCTGCAGTGCACGTTCGACGTGTTGCGGTGCGAGAAAACCGAAATTAAAAAACACCCTTTTTTTTACTTAAGGCAATATATGCGTATATGTGTATATGTATGTCTGTCTGTGTGTGTGTGTGTGTGCGTCGTCACCTGCTGTGCACGCTGGGCGTGTTGCGGTGCGAGTCGGGCGAGTGCGCGTAGGGCGAGGCGGACATGTAGGGCGGCAGCGTCGTCACCAAAACCGGCTTCACGTAGCCGTTCTTGAGCATTTCGTTTTCTAAATGATCAAAGAAAAAGAAAATAGGTAAAAAGTTTAAACGAACGGATTTAGTATACTTTCTTAGATTTTCGCAAATATTTTGATCTCTATCTTTCAGTGCCTTACTTACTTATACCTTAATTACTATCTTTTCGGATTATTTCGCGGATTTATTTTGATTTTTATCCCGTGACCGTGACAGTCTCTCCCGTGACCGTGTGCGCTGTAAAGCATTCGAAACGTAGGGAACCAAAAATTTAAAAAAATCTGCGAAAAATTCGAAAAGATAGTTTTATTTAGAACGGAATTAAGTTTTAGCACCGAAAGAAATGAGCAATTCTTGTATATATATTTATAATATACTAGCGGCTCACCCTCACTTCGCTCGGGTTAATCCCTAGGTAAGTTTTAACAATTAGATAGATAAATAATAATAGATAAACTATAATATTATAACATAACCAATAATAATATAAAAATAAGATAATAGGTCCGCCACTAATGCCATCTATTAAAAGTACTCCGAAGTAGTGATTCTGTACAAAATAAACAATTCAGAACTTTTCAATTTTCCAGCTGTTCTTAAGGGTCTCCCTGACACACTTCCCACAAAACAAAAAAAAAATCAAATCGGTCCAGACGTTTTTGAGTTTCAGAAAGACTAACGAACGGCAATTGATTTTTTTTATATATATGGATGTAGATAAAATTTCGTGCTCTAACGATTTGGATCAAACTTTGTATTTAGGGACGGTTATGCTTTTAAGTTTAGATAAACTTAAACACCACAGTACGTGTTTTTGTGTAGTGGTATTGTAGATGTGCTAAATATAAAAAAAAAAATACAAAAAACCAGTGAACTCACCAGGCTTGGTATAATATTTAGAGAACACATCGTCCTTGGCCACATTCGGATACAGAAACTGCAGCTGCGCCAGGTCCAGGATGCGGTCCGCGAGCGAGCGCAGCATCAGGTCGCGCGACGTGAACGGCTGCAGGCTGAACACTTCGTTGCCCTCTGGTGGGAGGCATTAGAGAAATTAAAAAAAATAAGAAAAAAAAACAAAAAAAAATGTCTGACATTAATCTGTTTACTTAAAAAATCCGCAGTAATAAGCGTGTAAATAAGCTGAATATTTTATTACACTATATGAATAAAGTATAAATTAAAAAATATATATTTTAGTTTCAAAACAGTTTATTTTAAAGGTCGAAGTCGGAATACTTGATTACCTAAATAAAACTACAAAAAGTCCTCGTATTGATGTTTTTATTTAATACTAGCGGCTCACCCTCGCTTCGCTCGGGTTCGCCTCTCCGAAAGCAAAACAAACCTATCCCACGGTAAGCTACAATGGACCAAAACTCCACGGTAACCGTAAATTTTTCCGGGATAAAAAGTAGCCTATGTGCTATTCCAGACTATTTTTAAGAAACTATAAAAGTAATAAATGTTGAGGATGTTTTTGCAAAACTATTAAAGGCCTTACAGTTAAATTCTACTCTCGTTCACTATTAACCCAACTTCCAAATAATAAGGTACATATATATAAAATCATTTTTTTATAAATACATATTACTAGCGATTCACCCTCGCTTCACTTGGGTTCGTCCGTAGGTTGATTCGCTATACAAACTCCTTTTCATCCCTTAAAAGGATGATTTCCGGGCTAAAAACTATCCTATGTCCTTCCCAAGGTCTCAAACTATCTTCTTACCAAATTTCATCTAAACCGGTCTAGTAGTTTCGGAGCTTATTCAGTACAAACAAACAAATACTTTCCTCATTATGATATTAGTATAGATTTTAAAAGAGCACTCACCACCAACCCAAGCTATAGTGATGCCACCCAGCTCGGAGTCAGAGAAACGTAGTAAAAAAGTTCCCGGGGGACATTTGGAGAGCATCTCCTCAGCTTGTTTCTTCTGTATAAAACCCATTATCAGGCTGGAAGTGAAATATATGCTTATTATTTAAAGTTATATTTTTTAAATAAAACTATATTTTCGGATTATTTCGCGGATTTATTTCGATTTTTGGTTCCCGACGTTTCGAATGCTTTACAGCAATCATGGTCACGGGAGAGAGAGATTTTAGACGTCTTTTCATCACACTGATCTAAGGCCCTGTCCGCACTGCGATATTTCACCGTGCGATTTTTATTCTTGCGTATCACATTCCGCCATCGGCATTACACTTATTACGCACTGCGAATAAAGTTTCGTACGATTTTTGTTTGTTCGATGCAGGTCCCAACTGAGACGAATGTCTAAAATATATAACAATAAAATTAATTTGAATATTTTGTTTTTCTGTATTTTTGATATTTAAAAAATCTGTTATTTTTTTGTTTTTATTCGAATTGATACAATAATTTAGCATATACAATTGCAGCCTGTTGCTAGAGAGGTGGGCGTTAATAACTGCGACTCAGTTGTATAACAAACTGAATATATAAATGATGTTCTTAGTAAATAAATAAATAAAATAAATTACAAGCTATCACCTACATATGCCTTTAGAAACAATTTTTTTACAACTTCCTCCCCCTCCCCACCATTTTTCACCCCTATCACCCCCCCACCCGACACGAACTCACCGATCACACCACAGAGTGCGCAGGTAGTCCCTAGTGACCTTCACCACCATGTAGAACCACTCCCAGAAGGTGAAGTTCCGCTCGGGAAGCGCGTCCTTGCAGAACTGCGTCCAGCTCACAGTCATGCCGTTCAGCTCCATGCTGTTCAGGGGCAGGCTGGTCCTGGAAGGTGAGGGGTGTTGCCCTTTAAAAGGTAGGGGTTTTTATGGGTTTGGGTGGGGGTTTGTGTGGGTTTGGGTGAGGGTTTGTAAGGGTTTAGGTGGGGTATGTATGGGTTTAGGTGGGGGTTTGAATGGGTAATAACTTGGAAAAAGAGAGATGTCACCAATCATTTTAAGGTGTTAAAACTGACAGGTAAAAAAATGCAAAAATTTGTAATTGTCACTTCTCTATGCTGTAACTTAAAAGATTTGAGTGATATTATTATTAAAATATACAATTATTTTAAAGAAATGAAGGATAAATTTTTTTTTACTCCGCTAAAAATCCTGTCAAAGTATATAACCACTATTAAAATTCAAAATAAAGTTTATAAAGGTATTTGTATGTTAGATTCTCTATAACATATAAACCGATAAAGGATTTGGACAAAACTTAGCAAATGGATACCTCTGACCAATCAAAATTAGTCTCGACTTTATCAAAAAATGGCTCCATTGAATGGCGCACGTATCGAAAATGGAACATAAAAAACAAGCCTCACCTAAATATCTTCTCAGCCAAAAACCTAAGATTATCCTCAGACAGGTCTCCTCCGGTCGCCGAGCAAAATTTAATACGTAGAGTCTCTGCCAACTGACCCCAAGTCACCTGGGAATGAGAAAAGAGGTAAGGGTCGGGGGTTCGATTTGTCAAGAAATAAACTGCCTTTTAACTAAAAAATATACATCAACTTTTCTTTAAATTCATTAAATAATTTGAAGTAATTGAAATATAATTGTTTTTTTTTTAATTAACCGATTTAATCACAGAAAAGTGCTTAAATTACATTTTTTTAATTATATTAAATATATACTTTTAATAATATAAAAAAATAGTGTGATATTTAATTTTATAGCATTGAGTTGACATAAGTTTATGACTTAAGACATCATGCAAAAATATGTCATAATTTAAAATCTATATATCTATATAGATTATTAAATTATTAAGTATCTATTCTCATTCAGTTTTTTCCGAACTGGTAGACTCATAACATTCAGAAAATAATATTGAATATATATTTGAATACCAATCCCAATCACATTCCAGCATCCCCATTCTCCCAACTCGTGGGATAGGCTCACCTTATCCGGCACGGCGAAGGGCACCCTGCCCGGTGGGCTGAAGGCGTTGTCCCACGTGACCGTCGCCCAGCCGTGGGGCTCCTGGTTGCCGTGCACTATCACCACCACCGGCAGGGACAGCGTCCACACCTGGGGAGATTTGAGAATGACGATTGATTATTGATTAAATTAAAAATAATTTTAAAAACAAGATAATTATTTCAAAAATATTATAAGATGGTCTGGGGAGATGGGGGAAAGATGCTTGATTATTGATTAAATTAATTAATAAAAAAATTAAGTGATTTATTAAAAAAAATGATAAATTGGACTATCACAATCACTGATAGTGATAGCGTCCACACCTGAGATGGGGGAAACAAATTTAATAAGAGAAAGAACTAAAGATAAATTTAAAATAAATTTAATAATGTCAACTGTCATCGCCAAGGGGAGAAAGAGTCTTCACCTGGGGGAGACGAGGGAAAGACCCAATTCAAAAAAGTTTAAAAAACTTAACCAACTATGAATAAAATAAATATTATAATCAAATTTAAAATAAACGGTTAAGGGGACTAATGGAGAGACAATGGTCAAAGCATGGAGGAAGACAAAGACAAAACAAGCCTCCCCGAGTTAAATAAAATTTAAATTTTTTTGGTGAACTGCGTAAGGACTCGAAAAATATTCGTACGAATTACCCAAAGTACCAAATCTGCCAATTCCTGCTGAGAATGAAAAAAAAACAACACCCTAGGAAACAAGAAACAGCCAGAAACCCACCTGGAACACCAGCTCGCCGCCACCCACGTTGAACTCCGACTGGAACAGCAGAGTCAGCTTCTCATCCATGACACTCTCCGTGCCTTTCTTCTCTGCGCGTTTGATTTTACGCAATTGCATGTTACTGAGAAATAAAAAACATATGAAAAAGCTTTAATCTATGAGGAAAATGGGAAAAATGAAATATAATTCAATAGAGCTATCGATCAAAAAAGTATTAGTTACACAATCAGCGACAAAAAATGTCCTCACCGAATGAGCGCTCACTTGAACATTTGAGCGCGCTATTATTTTTTTGGGAAAACAACTTAAAGCGGTCCATTTAAGATTCAATTTACATTGTTGTATATTTATTTCAACTAGAATAATCACCTAAACACAATCGGTGACAGTTTTACGAGAACTTTTGCATGGGATTGTGTATCTAGTACATTTTTGATCGTTGTGTAGGTCTTTAGAATTAGGCTATGGCCTGGTACCCCTCGTATTGCAGGGAGGCCCACCCCCAGCAGTGGGACGTTAAAAAGGGTTGTGAATACATATACGGAGCAATACATGGAGGTATTCTCAAAATCTCTATAAGTAATTCTTACATAATATTGTATAAGTCGAAATGTGCGATTTCTAACTTATAGTGATGGATATTTAAGTGTACAAAAATGGCCAAAATTTTCCATACCTAATAAGTCACAGATATGATTGACTTTTATTGAAAATTATATGTTATATTCTTCTTAAACTGTTATTGCAAAAGAAGGTAAAAGAATTATTAATAAGTATTTTTTCTATTCTTTGGTGTGATTGTTTTAAAAAAATATATATGGCACCACTATATCTACCTAATCATGAAAAAAATAATCATGAAAATCAGTTTATCATATATGATTAGGTACATTATTTATCCTGTCCACCGACGTGTGAGAGTGAGAGGGACAGAGTATGTGGTGTGTGCTCTCTCTCTCACACACACAACACTATAATATATATCTCTCTCTCTATCTGTGTGTGTATGGGGTCTGTGTGTCTCTGTGTATTCGTGTGTGTCTGTCTGTCTCTTATTTATTTATTTATTTTTATTTACTTCTTTTTACACATTGTATCAATTCAATGATCACTTGTGTACGTCAATTAGAAGACTTAAACTAAAGCTACGAGGGTTCGTAACGCGCCCTGGTCTGAGAAGAACCCACAAGAAACTCAGCCAAGTAACATTTTTTATTGTGATCATTGTTTCACAAACATCCTTACTTCAGTATAAAGAGCAATTCATTCCCAAGCTTTTTTATCACTTAAATAATCCTTTACATTATAATAGGATTTATTTATTAATTGTCTTTTAATGTAAATTTTAAATTTATTTATTGACAGTTTTAAAGTATCATCTGGTAGTTTATTGTAAAAGCGAATACTATTACCAATAAAGGAATTACCAATTTTATGGAGCCTAGTGGTGGGCTGAACTAGCTTATTTTTGTTTCTAGTGTTTACATTATGCAGGTCACTATATTTCTTGAATTTATCAATATTTTTATGTACATATATTAGATTTTGATAGATGTATTGGCAGTGTACAGTCATTATTTTAATTTCTTTAAACTTATTCCGCAGATTCTCTTGGGCCTAAATTATATATAGCTCGAACAGCCCTTTTCTGCAGCACAAAAATTGTGTCAATATCAGCAGCATTACCCCATAGTAAAATACCATATGACATAATGCTGTGAAAATAGCTAAAGTATACTAACTTAGCTGTCGTTACATTTGTTAATTGACGTATTTTCTTAACCGCGTAGGCTGCAGAACTGAGCTTATTCGATAATTGAGAAATATGAGGGCCCCATTGGAGTTTGGCATCTAATGTAATGCCTAGAAATACAGTGGTATCAGCTAGATCTAGTTCCTCATTATTCAGTCGTACATTGGTTTTTACACTTTTAACATTTGGTAAAGTGAATTTTACACATTTTGTTTTTTTCTCGTTTAGTAAAAGGTTGTTGACATTAAACCATTGTACCACTTTGGATAAAGCAATGTTCACATCGTCAATTACTGCTTGTCGTCTGTTAACTTTAAAAACTAAAGATGTATCATCAGCAAACAAAACTATCCCGTGGTCATCCTTTACGAGGTATGGTAGGTCATTTATATAAATGAGGAACAAAAAAGGACCCAAAATTGAACCTTGTGGTACACCCATTTCAACAACTGATCCAGGGGAACGCTTTCCATTCACGTCTACCCTCTGGATTCTTTCATTCAAATATGATCTAAGTAAATCCAGAGCCTTATCTCTAATTCCGTAGTGGTGTAATTTTCTGACCAACGTTTCATGATGAACGCAATCAAATGCCTTGGACAAATCACAGAAAATGCCAAGTGCATCACGTGACTCCTCCCAGGCCTCAAATATATTTAGAAGTAACGCGACTCCAGCATCGGCTGTTGAACGACCGCGAGTGAAACCGTATTGCTTTACATGTAATAGTTCATTATTATAAAAATGTTTCGTAATTTGAGTTAACATTATTTTTTCAAAGATTTTACTAAATGTAGGTAATATTGAAATAGGCCTAAAATTAGTGGCATCAGAGGTACAACCCGATTTAAACAAAGGAATAATTTTACTAAGTTTCATTAAGTCAGGAAACACACCAGATTCTACACACTTATTAAATATTAATGCTAAGTCAGATGCAACAACATCAATAAGTGGTTTAAGGATGCTAACAGAAATTCCCCAAAGATCTTTTGTTTTTTTAACATTCAGTAATTTAAATACATTTATAATTTGTTGTGCATTTATATTTTCGAACTTAAAGCTAATATTGCATTCTTCCACATTTTGTTCCAATAATTTGATCGCAGTGGCAGGTGAAGAGTTCAGAGACCTAGTAGTGGAAACTGGTATGTCGGTAAAAAAGGTTTCAAACGCGGCGGCTACCTCAGAGTCAGAACTAATGTATTTATTATCTATATTTAATTTAAAGCTATTGTTTAGAGTTTTACTCTTTCCAGTTTCCTCGTTAATTATTTTCCATGTAGCTTTAATTTTATTACCACTATTTTCTATCTTGTTACTCAGATAATGAGACTTTGCCATTTCGCAATCCTTTTTAAATAATTTGGAAAATGATTTAACTTTGTCTCTAAACCGTTCACTAGTGTTATGCTGCCTTTCTGCGTACATTTCGTATAATTTTTCTCTTTTTTTATATAACTCTGCAGTTGCCCACTCACTAAATACCACTGTATCAGAAACTGTAACCGATTTGGTAGTGAATACCGAATTGTAAAGTTTACTAAAAGATTTAAAGAATTGGTTATACATCTCATTCGCACTTAAATTATTACTTAATAATGGTAAATAACAACTTAGGTCATTTTGCAATTGAATGAGTCGGTTTGTAGTTACTGGCACAAAAGAGATTTTCCTTTTTGTGACAACATTTTTATCGATATTAAACTTTATTAATTGACCACAATGATCAGAATCTATCTTACTAATAATGTTTTTAGAAATTGGTGTAAAGTTGGTAAAAATGTTGTCTATACAAGTGGCACTAGTGGCAGTTATTCTTGTTGGCTCCATAAACATTTTGGAAAGATTGTGTGATGTAAAAAGGTTAAGTAATTTCATACTCAAAGTACTTTGTTCTAAAATATTTATGTTAAAGTCTCCACACACAATCTTTTTCTTATTAGAATTTGACAATTTATTTAACATTACATCCATAACTGTTTCAAAAGTATCATAGTTAGATGAGGGAGGTCTGTATACACATACTACAATGAATTGCTCTAACTCTACTGATGCTAATTCAATTGTGCGCTCAACAGAGAGGCTCACTATGTCTTTACGTTCCTTATATTTCAACAATTTGTTCAGTATTATTAAAGAGCCACCATATATGGAATTCGCCCTGGTAAACGTACTACCAACCTGGTGGTTACTGAAATTAAACATGATTTCATGAACTTTCAACCAATGTTCAGTAACACAGAATATATTAATATCAAAACTATTTAAAAATAATTCTACTTCTAATATTTTACCTCTCAAACATTGAATATTCTGATGCACCAGATTGATATATTGAATACTATTACATATTTTTTTGTTTTTTAAATAAATATTATTATCTGTTAATATTGGGCTAGAGGAGATCTCTATTGTCTTTTTTTGTAGTTTAAAGTACTCTGTGGTACATTCAAAATATTACTATTACTACTGCATAGCTCAATAGGAGCTTCTTGTATAGCCAAATTCTTAGCTAAAGTTTTAAAATAATAAGATAGCGACATAGCTATCTGTTGTTTTATAAAAGATGGTAGGGAATACCTACTATCAGTCCACTTATAATAATATTTATTAGCATATGATTTGTTAAAATCAATAACATTGAATTTCGAATTGTAAGTACATGAATTGTACAATGTCATATTATACTTATATCTAAGATTATTTTCATGTTGTGGCAACTTGTTACAGTAAGGTAAAGTAAACATTACAATTTTATTAACTTTTAGCTTATTCAAATATTCTAAACATTTTAACAATTCTATTTTGTTTACATTACCCCTATTTCCTATGAAAATTATTAAATTACTTTGTATATTGAAATTTTTGCTGTCTTTATGAATTTGTGAAATAATTTCAGAAAGACAGCAATTTGGTAAACAGCTGTTTGATACTTTTGTATCAAATTGTGAGTATAAATAGGTGCCCATATTCCTTCCAATTTCATCACTGTACATATATGTGTTTCCATGTTGGAGGGAACTATCAACAGTAGAGAGATCAGTCCTGTCACACAATATTCCCTGAAATGGGGGAGTATTGACCGGGGGTGGAGAACTCAGTTGTTTACATTCACATATACAATTGTTTGTGAGTGAGTCAAATCTTTCAGAGTTATACTTAGATAACTTTAGTAGTTCATCCATCTCCAGTTGGTACTCATTTAACATTTTCTCACTACTTTCATACTTTGCAGTAATACTTCTTAAGGAAGTTTGCAACTGGGCTATGTGTAATTCTAATAATTGTGTGTCAGACTCATATCTCTGGCTTATATTTTCCAATTCTAATTTACAAACATTAAATTTTGACAATAGTAAACTGTTATTTTTATATATTTTGGAAATACATTTGTTTTTACTTAATATCTTTTTTGTTTTCTTTATTAATTTATTTACTTTTATGTACTTTTTTAGTTTATTGTTGCTACAATTGTCTAACCGTTGTGCTGGTAAGGTATCATTTGTAAGATCTATAGTTACCGGGTTTTCAATTGTAACATCAACCAACTCTGGAGCGTTCTCAACTAACTCTTCGAACAAGCTATGAGTGTGCAGTGCTGTTGCTTGATGGGCACTCTCTTCCAGCTCAGAGATATATTTTTGTGCATCTCGCAGCTCGCACTCCAGTGTGGTGATCCGCTTCAGTGCCTGTTCATACTCCACCGCACACTCATCAAAACTAACTACTATTGATTTTAATCTGTCTCTCTCCTCTAAAAGATCACTATAATCTATATGTAACCGTGTCAATGAAGCTTTTAACTTGTCATTACTTTTTAATATTGTCAATAATTCTTTTTCATTTTCCTCTCTTTCACTATGCAGTTGAGCACACAAATCCTTACTTACTTTTAGTTCCTGTAAAGCCAATTGGAGTTTAGACTCCTCCTGGCGGGCAAATGCTCTACGGGTTGTCATTATAAATCAAATAAAAGGATTCGTGGGGCAAAACAAAAGAGAGGTTAATGTTGATAAATTGCAATTACTAGTACAAGTAAATTAAAGTATTATAAAGCAATATTTAATATAATAACTATTGGAAACACACTATTTTGTTTAAAATAACAACTAAATTTCAGATTTTTCAGCTTAACTGACACTTAACTTATTTCATAAATAAAAACTATTTTACGCACTAATATCACTAATTATTAATAACTAACACTTATCACTACTTATTTTAGTGATTTAATAGGAATATGGCACAAAATACTTAGGAATAATTAATATTTTAACAAATAAATGTAAGACGAGTAAAAACAGCTGTTTACGCCCCGGAAGCCGTCTCTCACCGGAAGCTGACACTGAGCTGCCTGCTGGTGGGCTGGTACTCCATGCACCCGCTGTTGTTGAGGATGTCGCCACACTCCGCCGGCTGCTTGCCACGACCCTGCGTGTCGCTCTTCAGCAGCAGTTGTGCTTGCTGCTCGGATATTATCACCACCTGGTGGTAGAGTAGGAGTGGTAGATATAGATAAAGATACATGCTACGCCAGCGGTCGTGGGTTCAAGTTCCGCCGGGGGCATTTATGTGTGATGGACACGAATGTATGTACTCCAGTCATGGGTGTTTATCTAATATATTTAAACGAGAAATTCTTGTATATATATAATCTGAATCTCGGAAACGGCTCCAACGATTTTCATGAAAATTAGTACACACGGGGTTTCGGGGGCGATAAATCGATCTAAATTAGTTTTATGTCTGGGAAAATGCCTGTTTTCGAGTTTTCATACGGTTTTGTTTCCCCATTATTCCACGCAAAATATGGTCACTAATTCGCACGCTAGGACATAAGCATCGTGGTCAAACGGCCAAAGCGCAAGTTTGACAACCACAGGTGTCTGGGTTCGTATCCCGGTAGGATACAAAGTTTTTACTTTTGTTTTTTTTTGTATTTATTCAAATGTTTGTTTTTTAATGTTTTTTTTGGCCAAAAACTCCGAGCGATGCTCGGTGGCCCAGGTACTATTTGTACCATGTTAGGTACTATTTGTACCATGTTATGTATGTATTTATTTAAAGTTATATATGTATAATGTATCAACTATCTGGTATCCATAACACAAGCCTCGTAGCTTACAATTGTACTAGATGGTGTTGTGTGTTAATGTCCTGACATATTTATTTATTTATTTAAATACCGAAAACTAGATTTTACACTAAACTTCGCAAGAACAGTCGAAGTTTCAGAATAGTGATTTTTTTTCTAAAGTAGACCAATACAGAGGGCTTCTTATCATAGTCTACCGTGAACCCCCAAAGTGAATTGAACCGGCAACCCCCTCAACACTTACAGTGACACGTGGCGGAGTCATATGCACGTTGAGCTGACCCCCCACAAGGAGGCGGACTGTAGCCGTGAAGCTGGAATATGAATAAAACTCTAATTAGAATAATTATAATATACATATACCATAAAATTCTAACTGAGTCGAATCTGTACATTATTTTTTTTTGGAAAATCTTATTGATATAGTCATTATTATCGATACAGACGCCGAATCTATAGTTTTTAGAAGTTTTATCTGTCTGGGAAGGCATCACGAGAAAACCACTGGACGGATTTCGATGAAATTTGTTATTATCATAGCTGGTTATCCAGGTCAACATATAAATAACATAGGATACTTTTTACTGCAAGAAAATATTTCATCTCTGAGAAATCTATACTAAATGTGTACTTAACGTACATAAAAGTGTACCCGGCAACGCTTCTACGGCTATGTCGGTGAGAGAGTCTGAGAGAGAACTAGGGATGTTTGTGTGTATGTAATATATAAATATATTAGCCATAACAGATAATTAATCTGACCAAAAGTACATTATTTTACTTTGTAACCGAAACAATTCAAAGGGGGACCTCTCGTCACCCCAACTGAATGCCCAATTATAGATGTCATTCCGAACTGTCTTAACACAATGATACCATATATAAAAATACTAAACAAGTAGTATCCAGTAAGTTATAGCAGTGTCGAGTGATATATAGTAATAAACTCACCGCGTGTTTGTCTTCATGACTTGAGGCGGTTGCTTTTCTATAACGAAGGTAGATGTCACTAGCGTCGAGAGCAGACTTGTCACCTGTGTGGAATAAATTATAGGTTAAAAACCATAGCTTACGAAGCCAAGCGAAACGATCAGCTAATATGAGATAAACAAAGATAGTCATCTATGTACTAGCAACTAACCCTCGCTTTGATTTGGTTAGTCAAGAGACTAGACAAAAACAAATCTATCCCACGGGAACCATTCATTTTTCCGGGATAAAAATCAACTTATGTGCTATTCCGGACTATAATCTATCTCTCTGCCACATTTCATCCAGATCCGTTCAGCCGTTCTGGCGTGAAAGAGTAACAAACATCCATACTCACAAACTTTCGCAATTTATTTTGGAACTAGCGACTCATTCTCGCTTCGCTCGGGTTCGTCCTTAGATCTCCTCCCCATAAAAACTTTCATCCCTATTTTCACCCCCTTAAGGGATGATTACCGAGATAAAAACTATCCTATGTCCTTCCCAGGGTTTCAAACTATCTTCTTACCAAATTTCATCTAAATCGGTTCCGTACTTTCCGACCTTATTCAGCACAAACAAACAAAAAATCAAATCTTTCATCTTTATGATGTTAGTATAGATATACATACTTGTTTCCCCATATCATCCAGCATCTCGGTGAGATGTGGCTGTCTCAGCTCAGCGATGGTCTTCCCATTGATCCTGGCCACATTGCCCACTTGCTGACGAGTATTCCATATCAGGTCAGCGAGCAGTTCACACCACTCTTGTATGGTATTCAAATTTGATTGCATCGGCACACCATTACCACTCAGTTGTTGCTCACGTTTCCATCTGTGGGTTAATTTTTACATATTTTTATATATAAATAGCGATATATAGTATAGAGTTTTCTAGACATGAGTTATAAATTAAAAAAAAAAACCAAAAAGAGTACCTTCTTCAAAGAATCTTCCCATTATACAGTACAATAAATTCCATGCAAATCCGTTTTGCTGTTCCAGCGTGGACGAGTGACAAACATACACACATAAATATGAATATTAAATAAATACGTTGGTACATTACTACACAGTACTATCTAGTTCCATGGTAAGCTACAAGGCCTGCATTATAGATACCAGATAGTTGATACACTACACATATATAACTTTAATTACATACCTATTATAAATATAAACACCCGCGACTGGAGTACATACATTCCTGCTCATCACACAAATGAATGCCCCCAGCGGGACTCGAACCCGCGACACCTGCCACTGCATGTAGGGTCACTACAAACTGAGCCAAACGTGATGTAAAAACATATATTCGCATTGCTCACTCACTTTATAAGCTCTTCATCCAGCACTTGACTCTGAAGTTGACGTAAATTAGCGATATTTTCCTTCATGTGGTCGACGAGCTCCATTTGCGATTGATTTATTTGCGCTACCTATTGGAAAAAACATTATTATTAGCATTAATCTATACAGATAAGTATAAGACAAAGTGTCTATGTGTAATGTCAAAATAACAGCTTTTTACTACATATATATATATATCGTACTTATAAGAACAAACACTTTTTTTTTAATTTTTGACTGTCTGTCTGTTTGTTCCTGCTAATCTCCGAAAGGGTTCGATTGATTTTGACGGGACTTTCACTGGCAAATAGTTGATGTTATAAGGAGTGACTTGAGCTGCTTTTATTTTAGAAAAAAGAATTATTAATTTAAAATCTCGTTAAAATTGACATACAACCGAGTGAAGCGGGTTCAAATCCCGGGTCTCGCACCTATATGATATTTTCATGTGTAATTCATTTTTAACATGATCACCACTTGTCTTTTTATTTTATTTTAGTCTTACGGCGAAGGGAAACATCGTGAGGAAACCTGCATGTCTGAGAGAACCTAGCAAGTTGTCTGCAGACATGCTCAGTCCGTCTGCACTTGGCCAGCGTGAACTATGACTTGACCCACTCATATTGGAGGAAGGCCCACGCCCAGCAGCGGGACCGAAAAACAATGGCTGAATATGTACCAAAGCATTAAGTTTTCTCTCCATTTCGTCTATCTGGACTCTCAGACACGCTTCCAGCTCGCGACGTTCATTCGTCATCGGCCCGGACTGTTGCAGATAGTTTATGTGTCCTGTAAAGAAATAAAACCGGTCAAGTGCGAATCGGACACCCACATGAAGGGACTATCGTACAAGATATTATAACACTAGCGGGTCACCCTCGCTCCGCTCGGGTTCACCCTGCTTACGTTTTAATATTTAGTATAGATTTATTAGAGATGAGATATTTTCCCGCAGTAAAAGAGTCCTATATGTTGACCCGGATAATCAGCTATCACCATACCAAATTTCATCAAAATCTGTCCAGTGGTTTTCTCGTGATTCGTTCCCAGACAGACAGACAGACAGACATACAGACGGACATAAATTGAAAAACTATAGATTCGGCCTCTGTATCGATAATAATGACTATTTCGATAAAATTTTCTAGAAGAATAATGTACAGATTGTTGTATTAGTTTATTTTATATTTTTATAAGACATTTACAAACTTTGTTTTGTTACTATAAACTAGAGGAAACATAAAATGAGGACATTACAAGATGAACTCTTAAGCTATCGTGTAGTTTTATTTTAATTAATATAATATTAATATAACACAGATTCGACTCAGTTAGAATTTTATTATATGTGTAAACTATATACTAATCGATTTTATTTACAAGATGGCCATTTTGAAATTTGACATCTTGCTTTTTATTATTTGCCGTCATAGCAGCAATAGAAAAACACACTCTGCGAAAATTTCAACTCTCTACCTATTATGGTTCAAAAGATACAGCCCCCTGACAGACGGACAGCGGCGGCTTAGTAATATTTTAGAAGAGGTACTTTTATATTGTTAGGCAGCTAAGGAGGCACCCGAGCTATGCCAGGATAAGTCACTAATCTATACATATAAATAAAATTGAAGTGTTTGTGTGTAATGTGAAAATAATAGTTTTTTACTAAATGCATATGAAATTATATATGGTACTTTAAAAAAAAACAATCTTTAAAATTTTTGTCTGTCTGTTCGTTTTGTCTAATCTCCAAAACGACTGGACCGATTTGGCCGGGTCGTTCACTGGCAGATAGCTGATGTTTTAAGGAGTAACTTAGGCTACTTTTATTTTAAAAAACAATTTGGGTTCCGCAAAAAAAACTCATGAAATTGTAAAGAAAATCAGCTTACTTACAAACGCACCCGAGCAAAGCGGGGGTAAGTAATAAATAAGTACATAATATGTATATATACAAATAACATACATTTTGACTCTTAGCATAGCATAGTTTTTTTTTCAATTTTTTTCGCGAATTTTTCCGATGTTATAATATTTATTCTGCTATTCGAGGCGGAGACGAATCCAACAAATCAAAAACCATGACAATGAGTCCAGTAGTTCTCGAGTTATAAGTGTGGTAACAAACCCGACTTTGTTTTATATATTTATTATTTACCTTTATTTTTCAAACACTCATGGTACTGCAGCGAGAAGGACTCAATGTTCGCCTGCAACGAGCGAATCTCCTCACCGGCCATGTTGACCTTCTGACGGACGGTTTGCAGGCCGGTTATGAGCTGGAATAAATAATTCAATTGTGAAATTCAAAATTTAATTATTCTTCCCTTGGCATCGTTCATTAAAAAGTACTAGATACACAATCAGCGACAAAAATTGTCCTCACCGAATGGGCGCCCATTTAACCCCACCCGCGATAGTAATATCAATACGCCCACGCTTTGTTTTGATTTTTAATTGTTTAATTTCAATTTGACCACATGTGATGTGTGTCGTGGAATGGATAGAGCGGAAAATATTTTCTATGAAATATCTGACGAAGATATTATAAACGAAATTCTAGTTCTACAACAATAAATCTGGGAGATGATGACGAAATAGTTGCAACTACTCCACAAGTGACTGCACAAAATGCGACTAAAGCATTTGAGCTGGTTGTTTATTTACTAAATCCGACATACATGTGTACATAGTATGATTTATAATTCAGATAGAATCGTATCATTTTGATCTGTAACTATCAGATTACAATTTACAAGGTAGGTGCTCTTTTCAACAAATCCGGACTAGAGGTGGTCTTAGCCAGTACTCTATAACCCGACCAAATTCGATAGTCCGACACTGTCCTGCAAAACGTCTGTCGGATTACCGGGGGTCTACTGTATTTATTTCCACTAGAACAATTACCTAAACACAATTGGTGACAGTTTTAAGAGAACTTTTGTATGGGATTGTGTATCTGGTACTTTTTGATCGGTTACCCTTAGGGTAGGAATATGTAATTCCCTTTGTGTATTGTGTGTATGTTTGTCACTTTTTCACATTGTAACGGCTGGACGAATTTTGAAGAAATTTAGTGCACAGATAGACTAGCCCATTTTACTTGCCACTGGGCGCGAGTCTCCCTCCAATACGAGGGGGATCGGGTCATAGTCCACCACGCTGGCCAAGTTCGGGCGGACTGAGCATGTCTGCAGACAACTTGCTAGGACTCTCACTCCTCTCAGACATGCAGATTTTCATTACGATATTTTCCTTCACCGTGAGACAAGTGGTGATCATGTTGGAAATGATTCCCACATGAGAATATCAGAGGTGCGAGACCGGGGATTTAAACTTGCTTCACTCTGTTTCCCAAGCGAGCGCGTTACCACTGGGCTACTACTGCCTGACTAACACATAGGCACAATTAATATATAAAAGACTTACCTCGCTATATTTCCTCTCGGTCTGCGGCTGAGCGATGTAGGGGGTTCCCATCGCACTTTGTATCACTTCCATTTCCAGCGCCAAGCAACGCCGCATGTAAGTGTATAGCTCGTGGGGAGTGTGGCTGGAACAAACATGTTCAAAAAATAAATATATTGGTTAAGCGCGAGTCGGATTTTTGGAGTAGGATGCCTTTGTCAAACAGTAAGCACTCGATAGTCGTAAATTTTAAAAAATTAAGAAAATAACAGTTAGGTGTTTGGAGTTTATTTACTTTTAGTACAAGACAAAAATTTCTGTTGCTCATAAATAATATATAAATAAATATCTTGGGACATTAAAGACTCAGTATTATCAGTTCCATGGTAAGCTACGAGGCTTGTATTATGGATACCAGATAGTTGATACACAACACATATATACATATAACTTTAAATACAAACATATTATAAATATAAACACCCATGACTGGAGTACAGACATTCATGCACATTACACAAATGAAACCAGCGGGACTCGAACCCGCGACCGCTGGCACAGCAAGTAGGACCACTACAAACTCAGCCAAACGAGCAGGTTACAGTTTTCCTCAACTCTATCTCTGTTCTACAGCTTTTCCTTAAAATCCTGAAAAAAAAACACATACCCCTGATCATTCCCTAGTACCTGTACTGCATCCGGAACAACTTCGCAGCCTCGATGAGCTTCATCTTGGTGACGAACATCTCTGGAGACAGCATCAGCTCCGTGTGTGTGTGGATCTCCTGGACCAGCTCCTCCACGAAGAACCGTTGCTGCTCTTCGGGCTCCGGAGTCCTGGATGAGAAGGTGGTGGATAATCAGGGCAATTGATGTTCTCCTAGCCGATTCCGGCTACGACGGCCAATCTCATTGAGATTAGCCAACTGCGCAGGAGATATTATAGTGCTCAAGTGTACACGCAGACACGAGTGCACTCTCTATTCCTATCACTCTCATACTCCGGTGGGACGACCACTCGACACGACCGGTGAGAGTTAAGGCGCAGGACCGACGGCTTTACGTGCTCTCCGAGGCGCGGGGGTGAAACACCGCCAACTTCCCAACTCCGGGCTGTTACTGAGATTTACTATACAGAAAGACTCAATCACTAAACTTGGCCCGACCCGGGACTCGAACCCAGGACCTCCGGGTGTGCAGCCGTACATGCTAGCCACTACACCACCGATATAAATTATTTACTTATTTATATACCATAAAATATGTTATCTATACTGATAGTATAAAGAGAAAAATGTATTTTTGTTTGTAATGTATAAATTAAAAATCCGCTGAACTGATTTAGAAGAAACTTGATATGAAGGTAGTTTGAGACCCTGGGAAGGATATAGGATATTTTTTATCCCGGAAATCATCCCTCAAGGGGGTGAAAATGGGGATGAAAGTTTGTATAGGGAAGGATCCTAAGGACGAACCCGAGCGAGGCGAGGGTGAGTCGCTAGTCTATAATAAAATTGTAACACCGCGTATTCCAATATCGACATCGATTACATAATAATTAGAAGTTAATCCAATAAAAGCATGTTGAAAAATAAGTAAAATACATGAAAAAAGTATTATTTATGTGTATTTACCATATTCTATTTTCGATCCACGTGGCAAGACAATGGCGGACTTCGATGGGGAAATGTTCCCCATAGATCGCACGAACCTAAAAGAATACACACAGTAACTTGTAATATGAAATTAGTGGAGTTAAAGCTTTCTTAGATTTACGCGAATATTGGACATTTCTCAAAATTTTTGAAATCATTTTGTAAAATAGTGAGTAGCCACTGTCTGTAAAAAGTATCTATATAACCACTTTGAGACGTCTAAAACTTTAATCTCTCCCGTAAACATGTGCGTGTAAAGCATTCAAAACGTCGGGAACTAAAAATCAAAATAAATCCGCGAAAAAATCCTAAAACAATTTTATTTAAAATGTCAAATATTCTCGTAAAACTTAGATTATTAAGGAAGTATTTTTTTTATGACAGTCTTACCTTTTGCAGGCTCTCTTGCGGGAGCTGCTGAGCTCTTGCCCACAGCGACATATTATATCTGAAAAAAAAAACATGTTGAATAATCATTGTTTTAAAAAAGATTATAATTTAATAATAAATAAATAAATATTTACAATATTTCTTTATTCTTACCCTTTTTTTTTCTTCTAGAGCAAAATATTTGAATAATTTGTTATTCTGTAAAAGAAAAAATAATGAATTACTACATTAAATAAAATACTCATGAAAAATATTATCAATCTATATAATATAAATGAAATGCTGTTTGTTTAGTAAACGCATCATTCAAGTTTTCAAGGCTTTGAACGATTTGGCTAATTTTTAAAATGTTTTTAATAAATTTTAGAGAAAATGTGTGATTATTTAAATCGACATAACTTTTTTATTTATGAATCGATTGAAATAAAACAACAACAACAAACAATGTTAAGTGAAGCTTGCCACAATACTTTCGTGAAAACAGCACCGAATTCGGTTAATCTGTTTCCGAGATCAGCGCGCAAACGCATAGACAAACAGACAAAAATTCTAAAAACCATTGTTTTGAGTTCTATTGCGTTAATAAAGACCAATAATAGGGACAGGACAACAACTTTTAATATTTAAATAAATTAAATTGCAAGTATGAATGTAACCTAAATACCTAGCAATGTATAACGGTATAAAAATTTAAAAAATATTTAAAAGATAAAAAAATGTTTTACCAAACCAAAATGGCGTCTTACTTATAATAAAACCTTTTGACTACTAAATGTTTTGATGAATTTGATATTATTATCAATAAAAAATAATCTTTTTTATCTATTAGGTCCGTTCTCAGTACATTATCTTAGGATGTCAAAAGTATATTATAAAATACTTAGAAACCTAGATATATTGAGCACTAACCAGTAGCAAATTGATATGATTCACAGAATTAGAAAATCGATCAACTGCGACTTGGATTTTGTCACTAAAATATCTGTACTGGCAGATCTAGTTAATAAAACACTAAGGGCCTATGCACACTATGTTTATTAAACGCGCCGACGATGCCGTATCTCAAACTTAAGTCGTCTGCGCATATTCTGTGTTGTAAAAAAAATGTAGATCATTCGCACGTCAACTGCACGTTAGAAAAACGTCGTGTGTATAGGCCCTAACGCTGACTGACAGAAAACGCGCACTCTAAAACCGCATCCTTTTTTAGACCCGTTTTTAACGTCCTACTGATGGGCACGGGCCTCCCTTTTCTAAAAGGGGGATCAAGCCATAGTCCACCACGATGGCCAAGTGTGGGCGGACTGAGCATGTCTGCAAACAACTTGCTAGGTTCTCTCAGACATGCAGGTTTCCTCAAGATGTTTTATTTCATCGTATGACAAGCGGGTTATCATGTAGGGAACGTTCGCACATGAGAATATCAAGGTGCAAGGCCTGGGATTTAAACCTGCATCACTAGGTTTCTCAAGCGAGCGTGTTACCACTGGGCTACCACTGCTATTAATTAGAATTAAAAGATATTATAGATAACTAATAATAAGATTGCATCTTGAAAACTCACTTATCAAAATAAAAAATATGTTACTTTATGCAAAAAAAATTCAGTTTCATCAATTGGGTCAGAATTATTCTTAATACAAGCTAACAAGTTTTATTTTTTAATAGCGAGTTTATTAAAAATCAAACAAGCATTAATCCCTCCACGACCGTGTACACGCCGGCATGTCAGTTAACAATAGATTTCTCAGAATTTTAATTAATTTCTTAGAAATTTACCTGGAGGTGATATAAGTGCAGAATTTTGTATGTGTGTATGTTTGTTACTTTAATACTTACTCTTTCACACTTAGATTTGGATAAAATATAAAAGTCAAATAAACTATGACTTTCTTTTCTTTTTCTTAAACGTCGGGAAATGCATTTAGGCACACCCACCTGCATACATACAGGTGGTTATGTGGGACTCAACGGCAAAGCCAGTACTAACCACTAAAACACAAAAGGATTGCTTGTGCACTCAACCACGACGTCCAGACGGTAGGGCTGCCTAAACAGACCACAACAACCATGGGGTTGCTCCAACGGTCTACTCTGGTGTTAGAGAAGTACCAGGAGCAACCTGAATGCACCCACCGAAGTGGACCACCTCTCAGTACGTTTCTTGGATTCGCGCCCAGCTGGGTGCCAGACTAATAAGCATCCCCCCCATTATGACAAGGTGAACGCACATTGGAGGGGAAATTAACTATGACCTGGAGTAACATATAGCCTAATAGATTAAGAAATAACGTATTAGCAATAAAACCACATTTTATGGACACTTTGTGGTTTAAATACTTTATTTACTGAATTTATTTCATTACTGTGGTGTTCAATATAGTGTATAAATAAAAGAAATAGCATAATATAAGACAATATTATTCAAAATATAAAAACAAAGGTTTTATTTTACTGTCAGTTAAAAACAATAGGATCAACAAAGTACACACACACATTTTTTTAGTAAATTAATCCTTTTAAACTAAAAAGATTCGAACCAATTTCTCTACAAAATTCAATTCATACTTAAATTGTACCTATATTTGAGTCATTTCACATGTTTTAATTAGTATTTCTTCGTTTAAAAATATGAATAAGATTTTTTATGATTACCTATCTTTTATTTTCAGATGCTAAATGTAAAGTATTAGCAAATTTAGTTAACTTTGCTTATGACCCGACTAACTATTGCTATTTGCTACATTAAGACCAGTTTACACTAACAATAAGACATTATACACAGTGCACTCGGTGTATACATTGAGTGTACCATCACAGTGTCTTTGTCTAAACTGCCTTAAGAGATGTCAGTGTATTAGATATTTTTATTCATACACTTAAAAATATCTTATAAGATTTTTTACAGTGTTCTTGTCATTATCAATTTATACTTGGAAATACCCTTTTTTAGCAATTTTAAAATCAGTAAAATATAATTTAATATGTTTTTCTGAATTAGAATGTTAAAAATTCTTAATTCTAAAAATAGAACTTTAAAATTTTGATATAAAGTCTCTATATACTTGTGGATCTTCACACAAAATTAATACTGTGAGATTGAATGAAAATGATTTTTCTTTTAAAATAGAATTATAACAAATAAGAAATATTATAATGATCAATTTTGTTGTTTGTACAGAAATATCTTTACATTCCTTATTTAGTTTATTGAGAGCTTAAAATAAGAACTCAATCATATTTATTTATAAAGAATGTACAGAATGGCTATTGAATAAAAAAATAAGCACAATAGATACAAGACAGGCCACATAACTCATATATTATGAATAGAAAAATCAATTACTGAATGCATAAATACCAATTATAAAAACCAAGATACGTATCAAGATAAAATATGATAAAAAACTTACAATATTTATAATGGCGTCACGTATATACCCCGGGAAATAAAACCCAGGCGAGAATATAAACTATTTTACATGTATTGAACGAAGCGTGCTCAACAAAATTGACTGTAGCTGCCGATTCTGAGAATTTTGTTAACACACACAAGCAAACATGTACCGACGCAACACTGGCGGTGAATAATAATATTAGACCGTAAATATATATACACATTACTTACATATAGACGATGCAGGTTGAATCACATTATATATTTTATAATAATAGTAAATTTTTTGTTTTAAAATGATTAATTATAAGAAAAAGATAATGTCTCACAATAAAAAGCTTGTCTATGTCGACGTGAAAATAACAAGTATAGACATGCGTAGGTCCGGATTGAAATAGTTCCCGGAACTATGTCCTAGGCCGGAACGATATCGTTCCAATCCGCGATGTCAATTGAAACAGGTTCACAGTTCCATATAGTTCCACATGTGCAGGAGTGAGATGGAGCGAGAAACGAATATATTGGACCGATCACCGGAGCGACTGACTGAACTGAACGTAACCGACTCCTGCCGAACCTACCCGAGCTATAGCTATATATTAAATTTTAAGGTGCGTCCTCACAAGCGTTAATTTTTTTTAGTAATCTGTTAAGCCGCGTCCACATGCTGGGCGCTTGCCACAAGCACCGAGAATCATAAACACGTGCCAAACACCGAACACAAACTAAATACATTAAATTAAAATAAAAAAGCCTTTCATTTCTTGCGCTTACTAAAATTGCTATTAAAACAATTTAAGAAAGTAAGTATTTATTAATTATTAATAAAATCCTTTCATATTCAGTTATATTATAATAATAGTATTAGATCTAATTTTGTATTAATTATTATGTACATAAAGAATGTTTATTAATTTAAACTTTTTCCTTAATTTTTACAATACCTAATATGAATTAGAATTTATAATTAATAAAAATAATTACAATAAATAATTAAAAATTAAGATCAATATATATAATAAAATAATTCATAAGTTAAACAATCATTTACTATATTTTTATTTATTTGAAGTAGTTTTTTTAAGTTTTTATATTCCATTTTTAGTGTAGATATACGAGTATTAGGTACCTAGTACCAAAGTAAGAAGAGGTCAAACAATAAAAAAATATATTTATACGTGTCGAATTGAGAACCTTCTCCTTTTTTTCGTGGATTTAAAATGATTTCATGTTAAAAAATGTTAGGTATGTGATGTTATCTGCTGCACTGCTGTGTGGAAGCGCCATTATATCGCGTAGGTACTGTGTGTAAACTTCTGTAGTGACTAGTGCGTGTGCGAGTATTCGCAATAATTATAATGTCATCTCTTACTATGCTATTACAATTAATAATGTGCCAACTTCACTGTGCGTTAAAGTCGATAATTCATTGATTAAATCTGATTTTCGTTTTGAACTTTTAAAACATTAATAATATATTTTTAAATTATAATATTCTTTCACTTTTGACACAATATTTTTGTACTTTGTGGCGTTCGTCTAGAGTCACATTGCGCGCGAAAGCACCGTAGTTTTTTGAAGTTGGTTTAATTTTTTTTTAAACCTTTTTTATTTCGTAATTTTTAGTTTTAAGTAAAAACTGAAATAGTTTTTGTAAAAAGTAGTAATTACAAAAAATACACTTTTTTATCCATATCTTCAAAACCAATGAACCGATTTTGATGAAATTCTTACTATTCCCTAAGTTAAAATAAATGTAAGCAAATAAAAAGGCATGATCACGTCGGAATAGTAGATTCGGCGAAATGCGTGGACAAACATACATATACACAAACAAACAAACAAACAAACATACATACATACATACATACATACATACATCTATACACCTATAAAATTTTGTATATTTGCTTCGAAGCCCTAATATATCATATTATGTTAATATCTTGCAGTTCTAATAATATTATATACATACGTGTCGAATTGATAACCTCCTTTTTTTTGAAGTCGGTCAATTAAAACAATATCTCCCGCTATGCTGTCCTCGGGAACCGATGACAGTGATAACCTGTTAAAATCGGAACGATCGGATCGGATGAACTATCGGAACTAGATAGTTCCGCGAACATGTTTCGTGAACATAGTTCCTTTATGGAAAGGAACTATTCCATGTTCAATCCACTCCAGGACCTAGTTTGCGCATCTCTGAACAAGTACTTCTATTTCCTTCTCCAGTTTGACAGATAAGTGATGTCATATACGGTGTCGATATTACCCGAATATGCCTATTTTTAGTTTTCTTGTAATTTTAGTAGTCACTGCTTCCGTTTTTGCTAATTTCTATTGAATATATTTTGGAATTGTAGAATAACTAATTTATAAATTTAAAAGTGCTTCATAGTTTACTGATATTTGAAATTATTAGACTATCCAAAAACATATGGGAAAGCTAATGATGATAAAATAATGAAAATTTAGTTACTTCTAGTACGTCTAGTAGTAGTACAAAGTTAGTATAGTGATGCATCTCATTGTTTAATCTTTTTGTTACCTACTTATTTTCGAATTTAACTTTAATATATAATTTTATAAGCGTATAATTAAATTTATCAATGAATTCATGAAAAACATTATAACATTGCACTAAGTATCCTGATCGAATTATTATGTAATATTTGAAAATTATTTAATTATATATTATGTGAAAATTGAAAATATACATTTCATAATTATAACTATTAAATATTTGATATAAATATTTTTGTTGTTAATAAATATTATATTCAGAATGATTTAATATAGGGTAAAATTATAGGAGGGCAACAAAAGCATTATGTATTAGTATACCCACTAGATGTCACCTGTTGATATTATTCTGTTCCATTACACGTAATGTTTATTTTAACAAATATTTTCTGCTTTGATTATGAAGATGAAAATATTTTATTTGCCATTTGTTATAAAAATTCATCATTTTATTTTGTTTATTTTAATGTAATTAAAGATCATTCGATAGAAAATTATTGGAAAAAATTTAATCAAACCAAAAAAATGGTAAACGATAAATTTCAAAAACGCAAAATCATGTAAGACATCAGATGAATACACATTTAGTTTAATATATATATATATATATATATATATATATATATATATATATATATATAGATCTATACATATATTCATTACCTATTAGTGAAAAAAATATGAAGTTTCAACTCGATGTCATAGATTGTACAGTTGAGCCCCAGACTGTATCATTCATTTTAAAATGCACTTTAAAAAATAAATAATTAAATTAAAACAAATATTTTAAGGGATCTCCCATACAACAGACACGATCTTTTTACCATTTTTATAGATAATGGTACGGAACCCTGACGAGGTTTAAACATGATCTTGACGTGATCCTGCTTGCTGGTGTCTAAGCTTCGATCAACAGTAGTTTTGTTGATAGAAGCGCCTAAGGAAAATTTTAGCAAACAAAATAAATAAAACAATTTTTAAGCACTGTACACTTTATTATCGACCTTTGACAGCTTAAAAATTAAAAAAATAAACTGTCATGCCATTTAATTATGTACAGATTATAAATTAATTCATAGATAAATACAAAACAGTTCTACATATAATTCAATTAATACCACTACAGAAATGTTAAAAAAAGTACATGTATGTACAGACAGCCATGCTTTAATTGTATATAAATATATAATGCTATATGTAAATATACATAGTGGCTATTGCACTTATAACGTGATAACTACATCGATCACAAAAGTACTAGATACATGCAATCCCATGCAAAAGTTCTCTTAAAACTGTCACCAATTGTGTTTAGGTGATTATTCTAGTTGAAATAAATAAACAACAACGTAAATTAAACCTTAAATGCAAGGCTTAAAGTTGTTTTCACAGAAAAAATAATTAAATTAAAAGTGCGCTCAAATGTTCAAATGAGCGCTCATTCGGTGAGGACATTTTTTGTCACTGATTGTGTATCTAGTACTTTTTTGATCGATGGATAACTAACATTATTGGATATTAATTAGTTAACAAATTTTCATATTATCTAAACTTCAGTGTCGGGCTTGGCCTGGTTTAATAAACCGGTTAATTTCGGTACTGTAGTGGTTATTTATTTTATTTATCGCTCGTTCTGCGTTCATTAAACGGTTAATTAAAACTAACGGTTTAGTAAGCAGAAATAATAATGGTTATTCTTAGAGAAAGTTTCTATTTCGGTTTTGAAACCAAAATAAACTGGTTAATTCATTCATATTAGTAAGAAACGTACATGTATGCTTCTACTAAGTAATTTAAAATTAGCAAAGATAACCATAACGTTAACACACAAAAATTCATTTTAACTGGTTAATTTATATCATGGAACCTAAATTCATCAAAAACCGTTTTTAACCAGTTCAAGAATATAACTGAAATCTTAAACCGAAAAGCCTGTCGGTTTGGGGTCAACGACCAAAACCGGTTTAAAAATTGAACGTATTTCTGAGCTCTGCTCTATTGGCAATCTTAATATAAGCCATAGATAGGCACATAAAAAAATGTTATAGCCATATTTCAGACAGCTAAGACTTCTTTTTTAGTCATTATTAATTTGATTACCACTTTCAATGGAGTTTTATTAGTAATATTAAGCATTTGCAATACCTTTTAAAATAAATACTAACAACTAATTTTCCACCTTCATGGATGGAATTTTTTCTTCAATATCCAAAATGCATATCCCATAAAATACTAACAATACATTGCATATAAACACTAAAATATACAGTAGACAAATATATCGTTACAATTAACTAAATAAATAAATAATTTTGAAATATCTTTTTTTCTAAGTTGATTAAAAATAACTGTTTTTCAAAGTCATGCTAAATTAACTCATTGTTATTGCAGGACTTGAATATGTGACTCGAGATGAGGCCTATTCTTTTTATTTGTTTAGGTATAATTCAAATATTTCACTAATTGAATTTTTATACTCTCATTTTACCTAAATTAAATAATTCTTAATAAATCGAATTTTTCTCAATTCAAATTAATTTCTTAACTGCTCCATTCACTTCATCTCTTTTGTTAATGGCTTCAAAGCGTGCCAGTTGAGCACAAATTACTTCGCCAATGTCACGTAGAATGGAGAAAACACAAAGGACAATTAATTGATTTTTTATTCTGTATCTATTGACAAATCATCGACATTTTATGTCATTTGTTGTAGTAAAAAAATATAACAACAACTTGCACAAAAATGTTAATTTCCAACAACATTTTGCGAACCAAAATTTAATCCGCGAAATAATCCGAAAAGATAGTTTTATTTAATAACAATTTGCGAATTTCTTACTCAAATCAAGTCTGATAAAGTTAATTTTAACTTTACACTTTTGCCTATCAATTAAGCACTCAATACAAATTCAATTAATAAAAAAATCCTGCCATTCTAATCCAATTAATTGATAGCCATGACTCAATATAAACCCAATCAATTGAATAAATCCTGGTAGGATCCAATTAATTGGATAACTAAAGCACATGAACACTTCACTTCAGTCCCAACAACACAAAACGTTCACAATTCACTGAGCTTGAGTGTTTTCCCAATTGTTATCACTAACTATATACTCCGTCACTTCATCACTTTCCACCTGTTCTAAGAAGAGACCTGGCTGAACGGTGTCAATTTCAACTTCCAGCATCCCTTTAGTACCAATTAGTTGGACTAACTCGGCATATTTTTTCTTCTGTTCCTCAGTCATATTGGCAGGATTGTGGTATTTTAGGTGATAATTCAAGTGACTCGATTGTTTGAATCTCTTCTGACATATACCACATTGGAACGGGGCCACGTTGGTATGTGTACGCATATGCTGTTGCAAATGTACAGACTGACAGAATGATTTATTACATATAATACACCTGTAGGGTTTGACTTTTGTATGTATTCGCAGATGCTGATCGAGTCCTGATTTTTGTGTGAAGGCCTTCGGACAGAAAGTGCATGTGAAGGGTCTGTCTCCGGTATGCATCCTCATGTGTTGGTGGACTCCGCCCTGTTGGGTGAAGCGTTTCTGACAAATGTTGCATTGAAAAGGTTTCAGTTTTAGATGAGCAGTTTGGTTGTGTTCGGTCAAATCTTTTGTGTTCTCAAAACCCATACCACAGACCTGTAGAAGTAAAAATTTTGTATATTAATTAAAAAACAATATTATAAATGTGAAAGTTTAGATGTTTGGATGGATGTTTCTTAGTGAATCACGCCAGAACGGCTAAATGGATCTGAATGAAATTTGGCACAGAGATAGATTATAGTCTGGAATAGCACATAGGCTACTTTATACCCCGGGAAAATGTACGGTTCCCGTGGGATAGATTTGTTTGTGTTTTTCTAGTCTATAATATATTTTTTATAGAAGTGCCTAGTCCTCGCTTCACTCGCGTCCCTAAATGTCTTTAAAAACCCAAACTATACTCAATAAACATAGAAAATTTTGAACTTCAAAAATTAACAGCTTTTAAATATAAATAGCAAAGTGTTGTTAGTCTGTGAGTGAATGAAATTTGGGCTTTTGCCCGCCGTGTCATACTTACATTTGTATGACCGTCGGGAAACAACTTTAGAGTTGACGGGTATAACTATAACTAGCCATAACTCAAATCAAGATCAAAAAGTACTAGATACACAATCCCATGCAAAAGTTATCTTAAAACTCACCAATTGTGTTTAGGTAATTGTTCTAGTTGAAATAAATATACGACATCTTTAATTGAACCTTGATGAAATTATAAAGGTTCCATTTTGCTGTATTTGTGTACATATAAATATGTTGGAACATTAACACACAGCACCATCTAGTTCCATGGTAAGCCACGCGGCCTGTGTTATGGATACCAGATAGTTGATACACTACACATATATAACTTTAAATACATACATACTATAAACATAAACATCTACGACTGGAGTACAAACATTCGTGCTCATCACACAAATGAATGCCCCCAGCGGGACTCGAACCCGCAACCCGCTGGCACAGCAAGTAGGGTCACTACAAACTGATCCAAATGTGTCGTCAAATGACTGTGACATAGATTATAGAGGTTCCATTTTGCTGTATTGTACATATGTATTGTTTTTTTTTTAATTTAACCAACAACACAAAAAGAGGTTCACCTGACAACTGTAAGGAGCGAGCTGGTCGTTCTCCAGCAATGGCTTCTCGCACACCTGACATCTCAATGCTTTCCGCCTCCTGGTGTGTTCGTCTCTGAAATGGGTAGAGTATTCGCAGCAGGACAGGAATATCTGGTGGCATAGCCCTTCTGAGTTGTGGGGCGATGGCTGCAGACATTCGAAGGGACCACTGGAAAATATAATAATAATAATCTTTAGGTGACCCACCTATTAAATACATGAGCTCAAAAAGGGGAAGGGGGTACTTAGTCAAATCTCATTAAATCTCACGTGAAAGGAGGGGGGGGGGGTCCACCAACTCTAACCACTAAATCTTACCAAAGGGGAGCTGTTTTTCCCATAATTTGTACCCCTCCCTCCCTCTTGGTGAGATTTTGTGACCCCCTACCCTTCCCTCTCACGTGAGATTTACGCTACATTTCTTAATAATACAACTTCATGTCCTCCTAAGAGAGTTTCAAGGACCTTGTTGACAGAGACTCTCAAAAGATAATAAAATTAAGCAATTTGTGATATAATATATCCATATTATTCAAATAAAACAATTATATATGTGAAATTAAGACCTTTTCTAAATACAAAATTTGATCTGAATCGTTAGACCCGTTTCCGAGGTACACTATATAAATTTATAGAATATTTACAAGAATATTTACAAGAATTGCTCATTTAATATTATAAGATAATCTATTCAAGTAAACAAAAATAGCCCAAGGAATAGTCCGAATTAGAGTTGTCCAATATCTTTGTATGGGATGGGACATACTAGTAAGAGTATGATGTTAGGTCTCTGGTGTACAAGGAGAAAGAGAAGAAGAAGAAGGAGAAGTGTTAAATCATCTATTATATTACTTAAATAAACCATCAGGCTCAAACAGAAGTTTAAAAAAACACACTAAAACAACTCACCTAATAGCTTTCACTTCTCGCTCCTTTTTGACAACTGTTTTTATTATTTTCACAGATTTATCGTTGTCATTCTGAAATAAAGAAAGATTTAAAAAAAAATTATTTACTAAGTTAGCGGGTTTTGTTTACAGTTAATGGATTATTTTATTTGCACAGAACCCAATTTTTTTTCTATTATAATGAAACTAGCCTAAGCTACTCCTTATAACACCAGCTATCTTCCAGTGAAAGCCCCGTTAATATCAGTCCAGCCGTTTCGGAGATTAGCCGGAACACAAAGCCAGTACCAATCAGTTTTAGTGTTGTACTAACCCAACAAAACCTCCCACGTCTTACTTAATGGGGCGTCGCAGGAATGCTGCGCACTCAACCACAATGCCCCGACGGCAGGCCTGCCGAAACAGACCACAATAGTCATGGAGTTACTCCAACGGTCCGCTCTGCTATCAGAGAAGTACTAGGAGCAACCAGCACACCTCCCACCGAGGTGGGTCACTTCCCAATATCTCTCTTGGCTTGGCGCCCGGCTTTTTTGTCGAACGTTAACATGCTGAACGATATACATAATATATACCCACCGCGATAAGGTGAACGCACATCAGGAGGGACAAACCTTATTCAGCCCATAGCAGTGGAATTTTTCTAAACCCATCACCAATAAAATATTTTATAACAGCAGTTGATTTAAAAATATAAAAACATGGCAAATTTATTTACTATACCTTCAATTTATCTTTTTTCCACTTCTTCACTTCAGGTTGGCCATCTTTTATTATTATATAGCTAACATCATTCGACGCTAGACTCATAATGTTGGTCGGTTCCATAGATGATATCAGAGCTTCCGTTTTTATTTTTATCTGTTCTTGTTCTTTATCTGTGAACTTTCTTTTCTGTAAAAAAAACATTAAATTAGTTCAAAAACTATATATTACTCTATAATAACTTTTTCTTTTTACATTTGATTAGGTATAGTAAATGAAAACTACCAATCAGTTATTTTGTACTTTTTAGTGTATTTTTTAACTCTGTTATATGTTTCCATTTTTATTTTAGACATTTTTATAGTAATAGCAAAGTAAGAACAAAGTATTTTAAAAATTCAGAAGGGAAAAATGAATCATCCCCTACTGTCTACATTTAGGGGTGGGTTTTTTGTTTCAATTTTAAATGGGAACAACTTTGAGGGTATATTCTATCCAATAAAAAAAATTGAAATCGAACTACACTATAAAAAGTTATGGGTGGTCAATCATTACAAAATGTATATATGTGTTGAATTGAGAACCTCCTCTGTTTTTCATCGGTTATAAATATTTTCACTTGATAATCAATAAAAGGGTGAAATATCTCAGACATTTTAAAACAGAAAAAATAATTCTAACTACATTGAATTATAATAATATCTGTAAATCTAATAATAAAAATATATTTAAGTTTGCATAAGTTTAAACACTAACTGACCTGTTTAACATTAGGTCGGACACATAGTTCTTCCCCTGCCATATATTCATCTAAATGTTCTACTCTTGCATGGTTAAGTAAAGCTATTTCTGAGACAAAAGTTTTATTACACATTCTGCATGACACCATGTCTTCGTCTTCATCCTCACTGAGCACTTCCCTCTGCAAATAATTAAACTTTCTGTAAATTATATTGACTAAATATATTTTTTAATTGAATAAGTCAACAGCATTAACAGCATTACATAAAATAATGCAATATTTACATTATCAATTAAATGCAATTATATGTAAAAGGTATACAATAGTTCTTTTAGAAAATTCAATTTATTTAAATATATTTTTTGTAAGTAATAAAATGATCAAAATATTTTTTTTAATTTCTTTGGGTTTGGATATTAAATATTATTGAAATATACTAGTTGTAGTTACCTTAACTTTAGTAATAGGAATTACATTTACTTCTCTCACTTTTGGTGGTGGCATTTTATCTGAAAAATACATAAATATAATTAATTTTAATAGATTTCTATTTATAATCACAAAAAAGCTTTTTTAATGTTTATATAACAAATTAAAATTTGAATATGAATTTATAATTAATAAAATAACACATAAAATATTAATTGCAACTGATAATAAATTCTTTTTCAAATCATTTCAAAATAGCGGGAATTCAAAATTGACACTTTTTTTTTACCTTTAACTTTGGCGTAGGCACTAAAAATTAGATTATTGATTTTATTAATTTTATTTACGTTGTTCTGCATTTTTAATCGAAAATATAGAACTAAAAGATACCTAATAAAGAAAATATTAAAGAAAATTATCATTAAACAACACAATTTCGTGGGAATAGATTGCCGTTTGTTTTTTTAATTAAAAAAAAACTTATCGAAAAGAAAAATGCAGAACTATGGTGTTTCTGAAAAATTAAAAATGTCAAAATGACATGACATGTGCCGAAAACACTTTTTATTATTTTTTATTGTAAGCTTTTTAAATAATAACGGGAAACGATCCAATTCTCTTGTAATCAAAGTTTATAAATACAATAATCCGCCATTTCGTGAATCTTCCACAAAGATTGCTCGTTGCATACATAATATGTATAGACATTGACAGGTCAATGCTCCTTTGCTACAGAGTAAAAAGTTAGTTTTGTTTATGGTATGGTATCGTTTTTAAAATCATCATTCATCACTTTTTTATAATAGTATTTGATTTAACAACATTTGTTTTATTAATATTTAAGATATAAATAAGACAATACTGATATTATTAAAAAGTATATTCAAATATGAATAACGATTTATACATGTAAATACAGTAATACACAATGTTACATCAATACCGTTACTTAGAAATCAATTTTAATTTTGTCAATAAGTAATAGTAAAATATATAAAAAAAAGCATAATAATGAACAAGGCAACAACAATAAAAGAAGCCATTAAAAAATGGGAAGAAAAAACAGGTCAACATGCAGCTCAGGCGACGGAAGTTAGCTTAGTTTTTCAATGGCCTCCGATTGAAAAAATGGATAATACATTGTCTAGTCTTGTTAATTGCGAGTAAGTTGCTGAGTTGCATACGTACTGCATAGATAAAAATATTAAAAGAAATGTTGTAAAAGCACTGTTGATTTTTTTATTAAATGTATTTCTAGGACCAGGATACAGAGGCATAAAAAAATGAATATATCTTAAACTATCTAGCTCTATATTTGATTTAGTAAAATATAATCTCCATTCGGCAAATTTTCACTAAACATGTATTTTCATAACATCTAAATCATTTTAAATTAAGTGTCACTCTATAACTCGACAAATTAACCTATTTAAATTTAAAGCTTCATGAAATCCGATTACAATAGTCTAAAATATTTCGTAATATACACAAAAATAAGCATACAATCTCAATATACATTTCCATCAAAGAGGTCATTACCATAACTTTAAAAGTCGTAAAATTTATTATAAAAATCATGAAATTAAACGCTTATATGTGCACTAAAATGTTTGTCCATATAATTTAAGGAAACTAAGCCTTTCAACGAATACGATAGAAAAGGTAACGGGATTAAATAGTTTAAAAAAGCTACGAATTTTGTCTCTCGGGAGAAATTACATTAAATCTTTCGCTGGTATGGTAAGTTGAGTTTTGCCTCTTATATTCTCATTATAAGTAATAATTTGTTCTCTATTGCCAATGATATAATTATAAATTTATATTTTTAATATCATTGTATCTTGCAGATATATTTTACTTTTAAAATAATAAAGTTAATTATTTATGTTGCCGGTAAATTGTAAGAACCGTGAAATTATAATTTCACTAGTGAAATTATAACTACCCGGAGTTTTGTCAATCGTCTCCTTTTCTTACAATATCATGGGACAATGTTAGGTATATTATAATTTCTCTAAGCACACTCAGTGATATTGTAATCAATGAGATTTTGACAATAAGTTCATGATAAATTATCATTACCATATGCTACTAAACCTAGCCCCAAATGCATGCCAATGAGCTTTTTATGACTTTATTTTGTTCCTACAACTACGAACTCATCCTTCTACTTTTCAATTCCATTTCCAACCCTCTTTGTTTTTTTTTTATCATTCCACGGCTTACATAGCTGCAAAGCGTCTCATATGTTACGTTTGCAAAGCTGTTAGGAGTTGCTAACAATATAAATTAGTTTGTTAAAAGATTTTCCCTGCTCTTTTTTAAGGAGTCTTTGAGCGATACTTTAGAAGAATTATGGATATCCTACAATCTTGTAGAAAAATTGAAAGGCATTAATGTCCTACGTAGCTTGAAAGTATTATATATGAGCAACAATCTAGTTAAAGAGTGGAGCGAATTTAACAAATTACAGGTATATTTGAAAAGATATAATGTGTATTTCCTTATTAAACTATGAAAAGTTTTATATTAAAAAAAAACTGTTTTATTCCACTTCTTTTGAGAAAAACGTATATTTTTTATCTTTAGTTTATGTAATAGCAAAATTTATATTAAAACAAAAATATTATTCAAGGAATTACCAAATCTAGAAGATTTGTTATTCGTTGGAAATCCATTGTATGACGGCTGTGAACTAGAAGTATGGCGATCTGAAGCAGCGAGAAGACTGCCCGGCCTAAAAAAGCTGGACGGTGAAACAGTGTTGCGCGAAGACGAACCACCATTGACTGTTGCTGATATTGAAGTAATCTTCATGTTAAATTACAATACAAGTCGTTTTTCATTAATATTTTGGGAATATTTTCTTTAGGAAGAGGATTTTGTAATTTAATTTTCCTTAAAATTCATCTTAAACAATTTAAATTAACCATTTAACGAAGTCCATTGAAACTCTATACTTTAATTATAATAAATTTATTTAACTTCCAGCCAGACGGTGGCGATGCGGTGGAGACTCTTGTCAGTGCTGAAACCGATGACTAGTAAATACAAGAGAGGTGGAAACTTAATTGCTTTTCATTATATTATAGACGTTCTTTTGTAAAAATCACAATATTAGTTTAAGAATATTCTAATAGTCCAAAGTGGGTGTTTCCGAAATTAATGAAAACAGTTCACGTATAATGCAAATAGCATTCTACCCACTTTATAGTAACAGTAATAGTACCTAGTGTTAATTGTTTAGCATCTGATACTATGATCTATATTTACATTTATAGTGACTTTATTGTAGAGAATTTGCTGCATGCTAATAAAAATATCGATTTAAAACAATTTTCTTTGAATAAATAAGTTTTACCTAGGACCTGCGATTGGTAATCGATATATTTCAATAATTTCATGATTAAACTTTGTCGACTACCACACATAAAGTATCTAGTAGATGATACTTGACTAAATAGTCTTATGCCTTAGTATTTAAATAAGACTGTATAAGGATGTCTGCAAATCATATAATATTCTTGTAACATTTCAGGCTTCCATTTATACAATTAAATAGTTAAAAAACCATTAAGCCTACCTTACATTATAAAATCAGCCTTGGATCAATCATTACCTTTGATCTTGATACAAATACCGCCAGCTGCAAAGTTTTATCAAACAAACAAAAAAAAATGTTTTATGGCGAACGTGCATCGTGACAAGTCACAGCAAAATGAACAAACAATTCTATTTTTATTTATATAGTTATTAATACTATGAGATATTTCCTTTCTTTACTAAAAAAGGATTTTCAATAATAAATATCAATTAAGTTGAAGTTAGTACAATAACATAGATACCAAGATGTTTCTGCTAGACGTTCGTCTAAGCGTGTGGATTAGTAATTTGCTAATATCATTATAGGAAATTGATATTTATTATACGTTCAAATGAGGCTGACATATTTCTATTTGTGTTCAAATAGAAAGGTGGAAAGTGTGTCTAAATAAGTATTTATACTATAAAAATAATATGTCAATAGATTTAAAAATATTTTTGAAGAAATAACAAAACGCACCAAAAAGAATGAACCATAGACTATAGAGAAAGATCATATAATCAACTGTCATACTACAAATGTCAATTCGCATCCAATAAAAAAACATAAACGCTTTATTTATTATTGTTTCCATTATACAATTAGTGTAAATTACATAAATAATGGCAGTTAAATCAACAAGAGAAGTTTTGAGACCGACATTGAACTTCTACAAACCGGGTTAAATAATCAAATAATAGTTTAATCTAACAAAACTCGCGATGTTTTTAGATTTATAAACCGACAACAACAATAAAATGTTACCAGTTATGTTTAATATGGAAGCGAATTCCAATTCCACGCAAAATACGAATTTTAGTACGGTTTTCGATGAAAACGTTATTTTGAATTGTGTTAGAAATAGAAAGAAAGTTAGTGAACTTCCAAACTGTCCAGTTTGTAGTTGTACGATAAGACAGGGTGAATTGGAAACTCATTTGTCGTTAGAGGTGGAAAGATTAAATAAGTTATCTAGTGGTAGTAAAAGAAAAATAAGTATTAACAGTCCAGGCAGTTCCAATCCTATGCCAAGTTCTAGTTCTACGGTGGACCCGGAGGAGGTTGATGTTAGTGGTTGCCTCGGCAGTGATGTATACCAGGTAAATAATATACAAACAATCACAAACTTTATCACAAAAGGATTAGTTATGTAATGTATATTTTAATCTGCTGATATCTTGAGATTGTCATAATTATATTATAATTAATGTGTATTATAAAATAGAGACTCACTCTCGCTTAGCTTGGGTTTGTCCCTAGCTTGATACCCCATACAAACTTTCATCCCCATTTAGGGGTGATTTCTGGGATAAAGAGTATCAGTTCAGTACATCCAGAGATTACCCCCCTACAACAACACAAACTCACAAACTGTACCTCTTTATTAGTATAGATCTAAATAAACATATTTATTGCATACAACTACAGTACTAAAAGTAAAACTAAAAAAAAATATAACTTTTGAGATGTCCATGTGCTACATTATAAATTTTTTAGATTAATTTTTAAAAGATTAATATGATTTTAAAATATTTGATGTAATTAATCCAAATAATACTTAAATAAGTTTCTTAAATTATCTGTTTATGTTTTTTTAAATGATAATAACAGAAAACTATCAGCTGGGATATTTTTAAAGTAATGCTATGTTTAATTAGATGCACAGTAAAAAAAAATATATAATCTGTTTTATTTGTTTTGGTTTTAATGTGTTATAGTGTTTTTAGGTGCTTGTTATCACTGCTTTCTATAAAGAAATCACAAAATATGTACTCTCTTAGATTTATGCAAATATTTGTCATTTTTAATAAAACTATCATTTTTTTTCCTCTGTCTCAAAGGGTTTTTTATTGTAGTTTTTAACATAGTCAATTAAGTAGTTGTTAAATAAGAGCTGTCTTTAACAAATGACCTTTAAGACATCTAAAAGTTTAGTCTCTCCTGTGATCATGATGGCTGTAAAGGATTTGCAACATTGGGAAACAAAAGTCAAAATGAATCCACAAAAATATCTGATAAGATAGTTTTAATTAGACCTAGCATTGCCCGCGGCTCCGCCCGCATTCAGATGACCAAAAATCAAATTCTTAGGCTTTACATATAATTATACTCTTACATTGCAGTTTTTGTATTTTTTCTCAGAAATCAGATATTTTCTCGCAGTTAAAAGTATCCTATATGTTGACCCGGATAACTAGCTATCATCATACCAAATTTCATCAAAATCTGTCTAGTGGTTTTCTCATGATGCGGTAACAGACAGACAGACAAAAATTCTAAAAACTATAGATTTGGATTCAGTATCGATAATAATGTCTATTTCAATTAGATTTTCCAAAAAATATTTAATGTACAGATTCGACTTAGTTACAATTTTATAATATGTATAGAAAAAAGTATTGAAAGGAACAGATTGTAATCATACTAATATTATAAATGTAAAAATTTGTGAGGATGGATGAATGTTTGTTACTCTTTACAGTACACAAACTTTCACATTAATAATATTGGTATATGGAAGTATGGAAGTAGAAAGCCAGTTTAATGTACAGAGTATCTTTAAACTAAATCATACTATGAAATATATATTTCTAAGCTTATATAAATAATTTTTGTAGAGGGTACACACAAACCGTCTCAAACGTCTTCGCTCTCGCCGAAGAAGTCCCCCTCCCCAACAGGGTGAGTGTCCAGTGTGCAATGCAACCTTACCGGTAACTAGGCTACAGAGACATGCTTTGAGATGTCTGAAGAGGACTGGGGCGGAGGTGGATGAGGATGTGCCGGACAGCAGTTCTGAGGGCAGCATTGATGTGGAGGTAAGTGTTGAAATATCTAGGTCTTTTTAATGTTATAATATTAAATGAGCAATTCTTGTATAATATTTTATTTCGTGCGTCTCGGAAACGGCTCTAACGATTAGCATGAAATTTTGTATTTACATAGGGTTTTGTTTTTTAAGTTTATCTAATAAGGAGCAAATTATTACACATCGTTAGCCAGTAGTAGTCCAATGGGCTGTGGCTCGCTTGGGAAACCGAATGAAGTGGGTTCAAATCCCGGATCTCGCACCTCTGATATTTTCATGTGCGAATCATTTTCCAGCATGGTCATCACTTGTCTTACGGTGAAGGAAAACATCGTCAAGAAACCAGCATATCTGAGAGAACCTAGCAAGTTGTATGCAGGCATGCTCAGTCCGCCCGCACTTGGCCAGCGTGGTGGACAATGGCCTGATCCCCTCGTATTGAAGGGAGGCCCACGCCCAGCAGTGGCAGTAGGACGTTATAGTATACAATATTTCAGAACGACGAGCCGTCATCGTTCGGCGCGGAGTACCAGTGGTGCGGGCAGTGGCGCGTGCGCGCGACCGCGCTGCGCGACGCCGCCGTGCCGGGCGTGTGCGTGCGCCGCGCCTCCACTGACCACGCTTTGGTGAGGACTTATGTACTTACATACATACAAACATACATACACGCATACATATATGCAAAGAAATAAGATCTCTTTAATATGTTATTATTCTAATCTCTTTATATTAAATTTGAATTGTGGAGCTGTCTGACGGACGGATGAGTGTGCCACGAGACCGGCTTAACAAAAATTGAAAAATTTATCTTATGCCCGCTGTATAAAATGCCTGCGTGTAAACCCAGTTTTGTGATTTACCGTAGTTTCTGTACTCAAACTTCATTTTACCTCACATTAAGAAATAGGGCCGTTTGGCAACAAAGAATATTTTTTTTTTTTTTTTTTTTAATCTTTATTTGAAGGACTTGTTCACATAACAAAAAGCGAACATGTCGTCCTTGTAAATTTTACACATGGACAAATAACGAGTAAATACTTAATTATAAATAAAATTATGCGCAGAGTAAAGAATACATAATATAGAAAAGATTCTACTAGTTTAGCGGACATAGCAATATTATACTAATTTAATATTATTACAGATACAAATAACAATAATTATGTACCGTCTTGACTAGATCTAACACGTAAGCCAACCTTGGTTAATTTATACAAAGCTTTGGCATGATCTGAACAAGGATTTGCTAACATTATGTTACAGCTACCAATTTGTTTTAATTCGTGATAATTGTTAACAAACATATTTCTCCTCATGCGTTCGTTCCGAGTACATTCCACTAAAATATGATACACATCTTCGGTTTTCCCACATTTAGTGCAATTCGGTGATACGGCTTTATTCATCTTAAACGCGAAATAATTCAGTGGAATATGCCCGGAACGCACTCTTAACCCTGTCACAATAGAATTTCTGTCTAATCTACAAGACTCAAACCAAGGCAAAGAATACGGGTCAGATCTCAAGATCCTATACCAAATCCCTTTATTTACCGATGTATTTTGAAAGTGTGCGGTCCACAACTTATATACATATTTTTTAAGCAATACTACGATGTCATTAATAGAAGGTAACACGCTGAGTGGTATACCTTTTGATACTGCGTCATTCGCTAATCTATCCGCACGTTCATTACCTGCCAATCCTATATGAGACGGAATCCATTGAAATGTTACCCTCTTATTTGATGCTTCCAGCTTACATATAGCCTTCAATATCTTATATGCTATCGGAGCTCCTCGAAAAGTCGAGGTGCACCGAGCAATATGTTGGAGCGCGCTTTTGTAGTCCGTAAAGATAACAAAATTTTTGAAATTACTAATACTGCTGATATACTCCAAAGCCTCATACAAGGCAAACAACTCAACATACATAATAGAAATTATTGATTCAATTTTAAATTCGATATCAGTATGAGATTGAGGGTCGTAAATAGCAGCTCCGATACCTTTTTTGCATTTAGAACCATCTGTGTATATTTTATAAAAATTTCTATATTCAATATTAATCATTTCCAGACTATTGCTTTTTAAAACCGTAGCATCTACTAACCGTTTTGACTGTCTAATGTTATCTATAGAGCAAAATATCTTATTATCTAAATTAATATTTTGTACCCATGTGTCAAGACAAAACATTTCCAATTTTCTAGAAGATCGAAAAGGGTAACATTTCAATATTCCATGGACTGACGCTAAGACTGGTTTCTTTTTATTCGCCCAATAATTCGAATTATTGCATTGTACCGACAGCTGACCGATTACATCAATATTTCCATTATCTTGTAAAGCACGACTCTTCAACCAATACTTTCCTCCTAGGTAAATTCTACGAATGTGAAGTGGTTGAAGGGCTAGCTCACTTTCCATTACGTGTATTGGGGTACTCTTGATGAACCCCCCAATCACACGCATACACTGATTTTGAACCTTATCAAGTTTATAAAGATGGGATTTAACACTTGTATCATATATAAAGCTTGCATAGTCCATTCTACTACGTATAACCGAAATATATAATCTCCTTAAATGTTTAGGATGTAAGCCCCAGTCAGTGCCAGCTAATATTTTAAGAATATTCAAATATTTTTGAGTCCTGTCAGTAATTTCGTTTATATGCTTCCCCCATTTTAAAGACCTATCTAACCAAACCCCTAAATACTTAACACTTTCTACTAATTGAATTCGAGTTCCTTTTAAGTTGATGTTTACTTCCTGTCTATTAATCCCTTTCCGAAACAAACATATTTTAGTTTTTCTTTCAGATATCTCTAAGCCAAGACCTTCAACCAGTTCACACAATTTATTAAGAGCTAACTGCAACTGTACACATCCCTCTCCTATATACTTATATGATCCGTATAATACGAAATCATCAGCGTATTGAGAAATATGTGTGTTAACAATATCATGGCAAATATCCCTAGTAAGTACATTGAATAAGATTGGAGATAAAGGGTCTCCTTGTGCAAGTCCACGATTTGTTGATCTGGTAAGGCTACCGGAAACTGAGTAATTTATACTTAATTTTCTAGCACTCAAAAACTCCCATAAGTAATAACAGAACTTAGACCCTATCCCAAGCCTATCCTAAAGAATATTTCGAGCTGATTAATCGTTTTTCTGTACAAAATGTATGGGAAAAGTTTTTGGTAATTTGTGTCATTTCTAGTACTCAATGGTCTCATAAAGTATTTAGATCCCTACATGAAATAGGATCGATTGACATAAAAAACTTTTATGGTATTTTTGATTTTTTTTCGCTGACTGTACGTTTTTTTCAAAATCTGTGAATGCATTTCAGAATATCTCAAAAATTTATGAACTAGGAACTTTTTCCTGTAACTATAACAGTTAAGGTACTTGCCCTTACTGTCCTGTCTGAAAAATCCATCCTATATATTTTATGTGTTTGTCTCTTTTTAGTGACGCATTTCTGTTTCATCGAGTTTCTAATCACAACGATTCTAAAGAAGTTTCACTTCAAAAAATCATATACATATACATAATAATGTCCTTCCGATCGATGTCGGCCACGACGGCCATTCTTATTGGGACTAGCCATCTTAGTCCAGTCGGGCTGTCGAAAATAATAGCCCTAACGCCGAAAAAAATCTAGGCCAAAATTTTATTTCATCAGCCTTTAGGGAGTTAATGGGAGTGTAAAATTTAAAATTGCGGGCAAATTCGAGTAGTGCGTTAGCCGCCATCTTTATTTTAAGGAGGAATCGTTTTTCCTCAATATCTCGGCCATTTTCAACTTTTTTGAGAAAAATCATAAAAGTAAAGTTGTTCATTATTCAATTCTCTAAAAAAAATTTCTTGATCATTTTTCGTGCGATCGATATTTTCCGAATTTATGGCGAAAAAGGGGGGGAAATGCATTTATTGAATTATCTCGTTTGTTATTGACTTTAGGGCTTATAAATATACAAGAACAAAGTTGTGTGGAATTGTAGAACACTACGTATCTGTTATTTTTTATACTGTTTTTGTTCATTTAACCGACTTTCTGTTAAAGGTGGTAGACGGTGATGAGGACGCAGAGCTGTACGGCCCCCCGCAGTACTCACCCTCGAGGATAGCTCCTGATGTGAGTACAGCTATGCCTACTCTCTCAAATCTTGCGACGAGATTTTATTTCTAGTGACTTGTTGAGACGCTTGATTCTCCATACAAACTTTCATCCCCATTTTCACCCCCTTAAGAGATGATTGCGGGAATAAAAACTATCCTATGACCTTCCCAGTGTCTCAAACTATCTTCTTGCCAAATTTCATCTTAATCGGTTCAGTAGTTTCGGAGCTGATTCGGAATTAAATATTCAAATATAGATAAATTGTGTAATGGAATAAATTGTTGGATTTGATTTAATTTAAAGTTTACTTTCCTCTTTTAGAGCTTATATAAAAAGTAGCCTATGTGTTATTCCAGACTATTATCTATCTCTTTGCCAAATTTCATCCAGATCCATTTAGCCGTTCTGGCGTGATTGATTAACAAACATCCAAATATACATCTTAAACTTTTACATTTGTAATATTAAATGGGATTTATTTATTGTAAATTTAATTATTAAATTTTAATTAAGAAAGAAATTTAATTAGGAATTTAATAAGAAATCAAACCAAATTTGACATAATTTTTTAACTGTTTGCAGGCAGACATAGCGGTGGAAGAAGACGAGATGGACGTTCAAGAGAGCAAAGTCTCCGAGGAGCGCGAGGATGTGAAACCTAATGGCATTGTGGAAGCGAGTGCTGAAGTGAGTGTATTGTTGAAGTTTCCATATTAAAGTTGTTTTTACCTGTTTCAATCAATAGGGAATGTGAATATATATATCCATATTAATATTATAACTGCTTCGGTGGTGTAGTGGCTAACATGTACGGCTGCTCACCCGGAGGTCCTGGGTTCGAGTCCCGGGTCGGGCCAAGTTTAGTTATTGAGTCTTTCTGTATAGTAAGCCTCGGTAACAGCCCGGAGTTGGGTAGTTGGCGGTGCTTCACCCCCGTGCCTCAGAGAGCACGTAAAGCCGTCGGTCCTGCGTCTTTACTCTCACCGGTCGTGTCGAGTGGTCGTCCCACCGGAGTATGAGAGTGAGAGGAATAGAGAGTGCACTTGTGAACTATAATATCTCCTGCGCAGTTGGTTAGTCTCAATGAGATTTGCCGCCGTGGCCATAATCGGTCAGGAGAACATCATCATCATTAATATTATAAATGTGAAAGTGTGTTTGTTTGCTTACTCGCTTGCTTGCTTGCCTGCCCTTCTTTCACGTCGAAACGGAGTGACGGATTGACGTAATTTTTTCTGTGGAGATAGTTGGAGGGCTGGAGAGTGATATATGCTACTTGTTGCCACGGGAGATTATCTCACTCCCACGGGAAAACGCGTTATAATATAACCCACAACAACTCATCATACCTATGTATATATACATATATCGGGGGGCACGGCAGTGCCCCCGCCAAGTTATAATATATAGTCTATCTACTTCATACTAACTGATAATTTAAACTAAAAATATGATTTTGATACTGATGTATAGTGAAAAAAATAATAATTTAATGTTTTTTTCCAGACCCGGATACAAGCGTTAAAGGCGAAAATTAAAGATTTGGAAAGAAAGCAAAACTCATCTTTAGAGGTAAGTGTTAAATAAATATGTTGGTACATTAACACACAGCACCATCTAGTTCCATGGTATGCTACGAGGCCTGTGCTATGGATACCGGATAGTTGATACACTATACATATATAGCTTTAAATACAATATACATATTATAAATATAAACACCCATGAGTGAAATACAAACATTCGTGCTCATCACACAAATGAAAATGAATCATGAACGGGACTCGAACCCGCGACCGCTGGCACGGCAAGTACTACACTACCAACTGAGTCAAACGTGTCGTCAAATATGATTAAAAATTATAAAAATGAAATATGATAAAATATGATTTCAAAAATACAAAAATTGCATCATAATACCTTACAAAATTAGTTAAGATTAATTTTAAACATTATGATTTTAAATATCAAGCAGCACCAGTATCGGCAAGAGCACTGTTATTGTTCTATATGTATATTTTTTTTTAATTAAGATTATTAATTTTAAATTCATTTGCTATTATTCGAAACCAAAACACTAAGCAACACTATAGCTTTATTTATAAACTAGCGGCTCACACTCACTTTGCTCGGGTTCTCTATGTACATATATAATATATATAGTTTTACAATAATGTATGGAAGTCTGAACGATTTGTTGACATTTATGATTACTGCTCCGCTCCCTTGTGTAGTAAACTCTCAACTCCCACTCCCACTCTCCTCAGTAAACGGGCTATCTAATGCAAGAAGATGTTTTCAAATCGGATTAGTGGTTCCTGAGATTAGCGCGTTCAAACAAACAAATATATTTATAATATTATTATAGAATATAGATGAACAATATCAATTTAAATAACGAACTACTGTTATTTTGATCTTAAAATCTATTTGAATAAAGTATATTTTAATTTGTTATGTTTTTTTTAGGCAAAATGTCTAATCTGCTTGGGCCCGTACATGTCTCCAGCGGTGTCCATACAGTGCTGGCATGTGTATTGTGAGGTGAGAAGTTGAATGTTATATTATTGAATACTAGCAGCTTGACCACGCTTTGCTCGGGTACGTCCCTAGTTACGTTTTAATTTTTTTGAGCGGAACCCTAATTCTTTTTCTAAAATAAAAGTAGCCCAAGTTACTTCTTATAACATCAGCTATATGGTCCAGCTGTTTCGGAGATTAGCCGGAACAAACCGACAGACACTTCAATTTTATTTACATGTATAGATATATTACTAGCCGCAATTTTTTATACATGTATATATTATTTTTCCAGGTTTGCTGGCTGCAATCTCTTCGAGCTAAGAAAATTTGTCCACAGTGCAACGCTATCACAACTACAGACCATTTGAGAAGAATATACATGTAACTAGTGACTGTCCCCCGGGTTTGTTTAATTTGATATGAGAAATATATTGTTTTATAAACGTTTGCCCTTCACGTTTAGGGATTGAATTCAAGTTATATTTTGAAGTGAAACTTCTTTAGAATCGTTGTGATTTGAAACTCGTTGAAACGGAAATTCGACACGAGAAAGAGACAAACACATAAATATATGAGATTAAGCCGGCGAGAGAGTGAGATTAATTACATTGTCATGTTGTCATGGTAACTGTTATTAGTCTGACAATTGATATATAATATTATATTCTTTCCATATATGATATTCTATAAATATATGATTTTAATATGCTTTTTTTTATTATTGATTCGTTTTAATTTAGTTGCAATATTTGCCATAGAAGTTTCACTTCAACCGCGCGTAAAGGTTACACGCGTTAATTTTTTATTTTCTAAGTGCCATAGATTCTATATGGGAAGAGTCCCCTTAAATGCTATTTTTAACATATTTATTTTTAATAATTAAAATTAGCTTACTTCCCCATACAAACTTTCATCCCCCTTTCAACCCTTTAAGGGATGATTTCCGGGATAAAAAGTAATGTAATATCCTTCCCAGGATCTCAAATTATCTTCTTACCAAATTTTGCCTATTCGGTACAAACAAACAAATCTTTCCCCTTTATAATATTAGTATAGACGTGCAACAAATTATTTCATTATTTATTTATACTTAATCCCAAGAATGTGAAGGGCGAAGTTTTTGGCAAGATTTCACCGAGTGTAGAGTATATTATACTTTCGGGCACTAAAATCGATAATTATGTATTAAAAGGTTGTTTTTAATTAATGTTTGAGGTTCAAATTTTCTTTTTTGTGTAACAAGTTTTTTTTTCCATAAAAATATGCAATTATGCATTTTAAACACAAGTGTGTTTAAAATTAAAAATATGGCTCAATAAAAAACATTAACTACAAGTAAAATTGATCACAAAAGTACTAGCTAGATACACAATCCCATGCAAAAGTTCTCTTAAGACTGTCACCAATTGTGTTTAGGTAATTGTTCTAGTTGAAATAAATGTAATTCATCTGTTGTATGTCACTGTACTGTATGCTGAGCTTTATCGTTATTAATTCAGGCGTTAAGATAATATAAAAATTATTTTTAACACATAGACTGCACTATTGTGATGATGAAAATAAAAAGTCCCAAGTTCGAAATGGACGTAATACTGAGTCACTAGAGGTTTTTATTTATAATTAATTAAAACCATCGATCAAAAAAGTACTAGATACAAAATCAGCAATAAAAAATGTCCTCACCGAATGAGCGCACATTTAAACATTTGAGCGCGCTTTTAATTTTATTTTTTGTGAAAACCACTTTAAGCGTTGCACTTAAGGTTCAATTTACATTGTTGTATATTTCTTTCAACTAGAACAATTACTTAAAACGCAATTGGTGACAGCTTTAAGCGAACTTTTGCATGGGATTGTGTGTCTAGTACTTTTTTGATCGATGATTCATACAAGATTCACTAAAATCGAATCTGCGACTACTGCCTAGAACAAGGAATTGCGTTGTAATTATACTATAGGGTTTAAGTCATGTGGAATGTTATGTTGGTGTGTTTGGAATGACTGCCTTTGATGAAGTTTGTACAATAATATAGATTAAGTTGTAGAATATTTACTGTGTAAATAAAAAGTATTTTTTCTATCTAAATGCGTTTTATTTATTTAACACTAGCAGGACCTGCGGCTTCGCTTGCGCTAAAACTACACAAAAAACTCAAGGAGGTAGGTTTCATACAAACCCTGATCCCCTATATTACCCCCTTATAAGAGTAATTTCGAACAATGCTAAAACACGTATTTAATTTATTATACATTTCGCTAACTGTAATTTTTGTATAAAATCTGTGAATGCAGTTCAGAATATCTCAATAAGTTATGGATAGTCTCCTAGGAACGTTTTCCTGTAAACTATAACGGTTAAGGTACCTGCCCTTACTGTCCCGTCTCAAAAATCCACCCAAAAAATATAAAAATGCTATAGCATTTTTTTTTAATTAGAAATGGGCTCACTCTTGACCTTCATGTTAGCTCGAAGGCACAGATAAGGTCTACGACCTAGCGAGTTTGCCCAGGAGAAGCCTATTAACACGCACCTTACAAAGATTCAGGTTATACGCACTCGGAAAACAGACGCAGGCAGGGCATTCCACTTCTTGGCTGTGCGCAATTAAAAAAATCTATTCCATACTAACCGTTAAAACGTACCTTGGACGGACCCGAGCGAAGCGAGTGTGAGCCGCTAGTCTATACATACATATATAAATATGTTGGTACATTTTTAAATAAAACTATCTTATCAAAATTAACAAATTTTATTAATTGTGGGTAGGCTGTCTGTAACAACTATACCTTCAAGGCATGTAACACCTCAGTCTCTTCCGTGACCATGGATGCTGTAAAGCATTCGAAACGTCGGGAACCAAAAATCGAAATAAATCCGCGAAATAATCCGAAAAGATAGTTTTATTTAAAAATGTCAAACATTCGCGTAAATCAAAGAAAGTATTATGTTGGTACATTAACACACAGCACCATCTAGTTCCATGGTAAGTTATGCGGCCTACATCATAACAGTACTGCAGATCGTATTATCAATATAACTCCTCGACACTTATAATCGCATGGTGATTGGTATGTTATAAATATAAACCCATGACTGGTGTACAAACATTCGTGCTCATTACTCAAATGAATGCCCCCAGCGGGACTCGAACCCGCGACCTTTGGCATAGTAAGTGGGCTCACTACAAATTGAGCCAAACATGTCATCGAGTGTTATTAAAACGTTAAATATACCTAAATATTAATACTTTCTGAGTAGTACTCGAATTTTTGACATTTTTCATATTAAACCTGTTTTATGCAAACAAAAATCCTTCTTTCTTTATTTAAAAATAAAATAAAAATAATAATTAACAGCACCTGTCCTTAAAAAAAAGGAAAAAATTCTAATAAAACATCTTAAAAGAACATAAAATCATTTATTAGAACATTCACTCGACTCATAAAATATCATCCACAAATAAATACCTTAATATATAAGAACTAATACTGTAACGTCACAGACGTTCATTATGAGATTTATATACTAACATTTTCTCCTCACTTTGCGCGCGCATCACTATTCACTCGGGTCACTAGAGTGTATTATCACTTGGTTGTATGATCACTTGGGTGTATGGTTATTTGGGTTATGATTACTTGGGTGTATGGTTGCTTGAATTTTGATCACTTGATATATGATCACGTGATGTATGGTCGCTGGGATTAAGGTTCTGAGGACCATGGTCGCGCGTGCTATGGTCGCGTGGTAGACGCAGGTGGAGAGCACGCACGTGCGTGTGCAGAGAGTTGGACTGGGTGAAGCGTTTGTTGCAGATGTGGCAGCTGTAGGGCTTGACGCCGGTGTGGACCTGCACAGGGTGAGATAGGGTTATATGGGTGACACCAGTGACGATAATAATAATAGTTATTATATATATATATATATATATATATATATATATATATATATATTATTTAAAAAACCTTCTGGTTGGGAATCAAAGAACAAAATAAATCCGAGAAAAAATCCGAAAAGGCTTTTATTTTAACAAATTTATACTGTGAATTGAATGTGTGTTTGCTGTGAGTGATTGTGTGTTTACAATTTTACAATGTTAACTAATTTTAATAAAAGTATCTGTTAACGACAATCATTATGTAATATTTAATGATATAGTTATTTAAGTTTTTTTTTGATATGTTGGTACATTAACACACAGCACCATCTAGTTCTATGGTGAGCTACGAGGCCTGTATTATGGATACCAGATACTTGATACATTATATATAAACACCTATAACTGGAGTACAAACATTCGTGCTCATCACACAAATGGATGCCCCCCGGCACAGCGAGTAGGGCCACTACAAACTGAGCCAAACGTGTAGTGTTGTCTATGTGTACGTATGCCTGTGTGTGTACCCGCATGTGCCTGGTGAGCGCGGCGCGCTGCACGAAGGCGCGCGCGCAGAGCGCGCAGGCGTGCGCGCGGCGGCCGGCGTGCGCGGCGAGGTGCGCGCGCAGGCGGGCGGCGCGGGCGAAGGCGCGCGGGCACGCGGGGCACGCGTAGGGCTTCTCCCCCGTGTGCTGGCGCTGGTGGTAGCGCAGCGCCGCCGCGGACTGTAATGTTATATATTCATTTAAAACATCTAGTACATGTATAAAAAAAAACAACTTAACCATAATAACTACATTAGTAGAAAACTTTGTCGCAGTTATTAGCGTCCGCCTTACAAGCGTCGTAAATGACAAAAAACTTAATACTACACATATTAAACAAAAGTAAGCAAAACCACAAAATCAAATATCTAATTAAACAAAACAAAAAAAAGTACTACAACAAGAACGAAATATAAAAAGAAGAAAAGGAGTTGAAGATATATATTATATGTATGTTTGCGAGCGCACGCGTGTTAATATGTGTGTGTATGTGTGTTTCTATGATTATTTAGTATAGTTACTAAAAATTAATTAATTGTTACTTCGTTAAAATGAAAAATAGAAATCCGGCTCGAAGGACCAATATTTTTAAATAGCTTTTATAATATAGCTTATAACATTATACATATGTAAGCTCAAAAAAACCATCGCTTCTCAAAATAACCAACTAATATGTTATTCTATGTTGTATTGTATTCAGCCCTTTTTAACGTCCCACTGCTGGGGGTGGGCCTCCCTTCAATACTCGGGGGATAAGGCCATAGCCCACCACGCCGGCCAAGTGTGGGCGGACAGCATGTCTGCAGACAACTTGCTAGGTTCTCTCACACATGCAGGTTTCCTCGCGATCTTCTCCTTTACCGTAAGACAAGTGGTCATGTTGGAAATGATTCCGCACATGAGAAAATCACAAGTGCGTGACCCGGGATCTAAACACGCTTCACTCGGTTTCCCAAGCGAGCGCGTTACCACTGAACTACCACTGTTATATATATTAAATATATATAAATATTAAAACTATCTCACCGTACACTTCTTCCCGCATATTTCGCACACGATATTCTTATTGTACTTGAGTCCGAGGTGCATTCTTCGCACGTGACTTTGCAACTTGGGACGACTCGTGAAACTGGCTTTACACTGAAAAAATACATTAGAAACATCGATCAAGAAAGTATTAGATACACAATCTCATACAAATGTTGTCTTAAAACTGTCACCACTTTTTAGTGTTTAGGCCATTATTCTATTGAAATAAATATACAACAATGTAAATTGAACCTTAGATACAATGCCTAAAGTTGAGTTCACAAAAAAAATAAAGGCTCTCAAATGTTTAAATTTCGTTTTTTTTTCAAAATCCGGTGAGGATATTTATTATCGCTAATTGTGCATCTTATTTTTGTATGTTATATATATATAATATATATATATAATAAATTATAAAAGTAAAGCACCTGATCGCACTGCACGTGCACGGGCGGCGCGGGCGCGCTGGGCGGCCGCAGCGCGCGCGCGTGCCCGCGCGTGTGCGCGGCGCGCAGCGCGGGCGGCACCTTCGCCTGGCAGATCACACACTCCGATCTAGATACATTTGGAAAATTTGGTGGGTGTTATATGTTGCTTTTTTTTAATTTGCTTGTATTTTTTGAAGTGAAACTTCTTTAGAATCGTTGTGATTTAAAACTCGATGAAACGGAAATGCGACACGAGAAAGAGACAAACACATCAATATATGGGATTAAGCCGGCGAGAGAATGAGATAGAATACATTGCCATGTTGCCGTGGTACTCGTTGTTATTGTCTGACAAATATATAATATTACATTCTTTCCATTCAAAATTGTAACTATACCGAATCTGTATATTAAATATTTTTTGGAAAATCTTATTGAAATAGACATTATCATCGATACAGAGGCCGAATCTGTAGGTTTTAGAATTTTTGCCTGTCTGTCTGTCTGTTAACGCATCACGGGAAAACCGCTGGAGGGATTTTAATGAAATTTGTTATGGTGATAGCTGGCTATCCGGGTCAACATATAGGATACTTTTTACCGCGGGAAAATATCTCATTTCTGAGAAAAATACAAAAACTGCAATGTAAGAGTATACTAATATGTAAAACCTAAGAATTTGGTTTTTGGTCATCTGAACGCGGGCGGAGCCGCGGGCAATGCTAGTATTCTATAAATGTATGATTGTAATATGCCTAATATGCATCATTTAATTATTGACTTGTTTTAACTTAATTGCAATATTTGCCAAATAAGTTTTACTTCAACCGCGCGTAAAGGTTACATGCATCCATTTTTCTTTTTGGAAATGGGCTTACTCTTGACGTTCACCTTAGCTAGAAGGTATAGATAAGGTCTACGATAGACCGAGTTTACTCAGGAGAAGCCTGTTAACACGCACCTATTATATTATGCACACCTCTCTCGCACCACTGATAAATATTCTCATGTGCGAATAATTTCCAAACATAATCACCACTTGTCTTACGGTAAATGAAAACATTGTGAGGAAACCTGCATGTCTGAGAGAACATGCTCAGTCCGCCCGTACGTGGTCAGCGTGGTGGACTATGACCTGATCCTCCTCGTATCGAAGGGAGGCCCACTCCCAGCAGTGGGACGTTAAAAAAGGCTTAATACAAATACTATCTATCATTATAGAAAGACATAATGACAATTAGTTTATACCCCCAAAAAATATTAGTCGAGTGCCCCCTAAATTTACAGTCTGCCCCTAACTACATCGACACCCGTAACATACATGTATATACATTATACATATGTCTGTCTGTGTGTACTTGTATGTATGTTTGTTGTGTATCTGCATGTATGTCTGTCTGTCTATGTGTAATTGTATGTATGTTTGTCTGTGAGTACACGTTTGTATGTCTGTGTGTGTACGGTGCAACCGTAACATCTACAGTATTCTATTGCAATTCAGCATATCACTCGACAGGCGTCGTTCATTATTACTTTAATTCATAAAAATGAAGTTAGTTTGTGTACCGCTAGCAAGGAAGCCGCGCTTGCTCAAAGTCCATTTTAATAATAAGTGTAAGTAATTTTAACAATCTAATAGTGTATTAGTTAACAAAAACCAGTACAGCGTGTATCTGTGTATATGTATGTCTGTTTGTCAATTCGTGTGTACCTGTATATATGTGTTACCGACTTTAGATATTTTTTATCTATACTAATATTATATAGAGGTATAGTTTGTATGTTTGTGAGATTGTGAGTTTGTGTCGTTGTAGGGAGTAATCTCTGTATCTACTGAACTGATTTAGATGAAATTTAGTAAGAAGATAGTTTGAGACCCTGGGAAGGACATAGGATACTTTTTACCCCGAAATCATTCCTTAAGGGAGTTAAAATGGCGATTAAATTTTGTATTGGGAATGAAGCTAGGGACGAATCCGAGCAAAGCGAGGGTGAGTCGCTAGTATTTAATAAGGTGGAAATATGCAATATGATATATTATAGTAAATCTCGAAACTATTTATACAAATATTTTGGTATCTCAATTGATTCTTTCCGCTTACTTACTTACTTTAGGATTACTTAATTATTTTATTGAGAATATGGGTTTTATTTTGACTCGAAATTGAAGTCATAATGAAAGTCGAAAAACAAGCCATCCGTTGCTTAAATACCGAGCGAGTTAATTATAGAAATAAAAATGTCTTAAATTACAATGCCAACCTAGAACGGGAATAGAGTAAAGAGCAGTGTTGGAGAATACGTGTTGTGCAGTTTGTGACTAAAAACTTGTTATAACGGAGAAGGCTTTAACATATCATGTCTCTCTGTCTCTGTATAGTTGTCAGAGTGTGTGTGTGTGTGTGTGTGTGTGCGCGTGCGACTCACTGCGCGTCGTAGAGGCGGTGTCGGCGCGAGGTGAGCAGGTGGCGCGCGCGCGCGGCGGCGCTCCAGAACACCACGGCGCAGGCGGCGCACGCGCGCTCCGACTCCGGCTCCGTGGGGGGCTCTTGTCTCTGGTGGACGTTCAGAGATAAAGCTGATTTTGAAATTTAAATAAATAAATGTGTCGATTTACAACTGGCCGGATATTGAATATCAAAAAGGAACACAATTTATCCCAATAAAAAACTGCACGACAAAAATATTTACGAAGCAAATAATACAATATTGACTTGTATATTGAATACTTGTGTATTTAAAAAAATTTACAGAAAATACTTAAAAGATTGTACACACACCGATAAAGTTTCCACTAATTATATACAATAATATTATTTATCTTATTTGAAAAATAAAGACTTAACTGCGTTTCTGTAATAATAATAAAAGATTTATTTCATTATTAGAATTTAAATACAAAATAAATGAAGAAAAAATTTGACAACGTCAATACAAAATTTATTGTGTAATCGAAATTTATTTTAAAATATATCCAAAAATAACATTAATAATTGAATTAATAGTATAAAAAAAGTTTTAAAACACAACAAAATCGAAAGTGCATAATATTTAACACCATTCAGACAAAGAAAGACAATAGCATTCCCAAGGAGGGTTGACGTCAGGCAGGCGGCCGGTCGTAAAACTTTTGCCAAATCCTATCAGCAGTACACTGAAGATGTACTGCGCCGACCCCAAGTGATTTGGGAAATGGGCAGGAAGAAGAAGATTAGAATTTAAATACAAAAAAACATTTTAAAAATTACACTTACAATAAAACATTATCTTTGTGTTTTGCTATAATTTAACATATATGTGTGTGTGTGTACCTGTCCGTCGAAGCGGTGCGCCTTGCTGAGGTGCATGAGCAGGCCGTGCGCGCGCGCGAAGCTGTCGCCGCAGCGCGGGCAGGCGCGCGCGCCGCCGCCCGCCGCCGCGCAGCGCCGCACGTGCGACAGCAGCGACGTCGGCTTGCTGGCGCGGGTACAAACAAACAAGCAAACATTAAATAACTCGTACATAAATAGTTAGCCGTCAAGCGACGCCCGGCAGGTGTCAAACATCTACGGTAATACATATAGTAGAGGAGCCCAAGAGGGGATTTTCTGTAGTTACTCGAGCGCGGCAGATTAACATAAAAGAGGTTACCTTGCACTCTATTGAGTACTTTCACCATAATATAAGTCTTCTATATAAAGGGGCGCGTCTAAAGAAGCCGATTAAAATATTTAAAAAATGTTTTGATAAGGTAGAAATACTTGAAACCGTCAGATTAAGGTGTGGTAGGCTAGTCACATCCTGAAAAGTGTCCAATTTAATAATCTGCCGATTCGCACAAGCCTAAGAGGCAAAAATCATCATAAACTTTATAGTAGAGTCGAGTGCAAGGTAACCTCTTTTATGTTAATCTGCCGCGCTCGAGTAACTACAGAAAATCCCCTCTTGGGTTCCCCTACTAATACAAGAATGAATAAAAACTATAATCAAATGTGAACAGGCAATACAATTATAAATAAAATTTAAATAATTTTTTTTCTCCGAAGGGAGAGTAGAAAGTTCAATTAAAATAAATAAAAATTGTTAAAACTATGTCTTTTATTATAATAAAAAAATAAGGGGAGGGGGGTGTTCTTGAGTTCTTGAAAATATTTTTTTACTAACATTGCCCGCGGCTCCGCCCGCGTTCAGATGACCAAATAACCAAATTCTTAGGTTTTACATATTAGTATAATCTTACATTGCAGTTTTTGTATTTTTTCTCAGAAATGAGATATTTTCTCGCGGTAAAAAGTATCCTATATATTGACCCGGATAACCAGCTATGACCATACCAAATTTCATCAAAATCCCTCCAGTTGTTTTTCTGTGATGCGGTAACAGACAGACAGACAGACAAAAATTCTAAAAACTAAAGTTTCGGCCTCTATGTCGATAATAATATCTATTTCAATAAGATTTTCCAAAAAATATTTAATGTACAGATTCGGCTTAGTTACAATTTTATTATATGTATAGATAATCCAGGGATGGTCAACAAAAGAAAGTTTGTGAAACCGTGATGTAAAACATTCAAAGCGTCGGAAACTAAAAATCTTTTAGTTAATTTAAATAATAAAATATCAAATTCAATCTAATTCAATGTTCCAACATTGTAATTATAATAAAAAATATATACATACGTGAAAACTCGCCCACAAGGCTTACATGGGTATGTATGTCCGTTGTGCCATCGCTCGTGAGCTTTTGCTTGATGTCTGTGAATTAAAAAAAAAATCTATACTTTCAAGTCTGTTGGAAAATATTACTCATCTATTCGAAAACTACCTATAAAAATCCATACTATACCTACTTATATACCGATATTAATATTGTAAATGTGAAAGTAACTCTTGTCTATTTGTTACGTTAAACCGCTGAACCAGTTTTAATGAATTTTAGTCTAAAGATAGATGGGACCTTGGAGAAGATTGGCTACTTTGACCCTGCGACGCCCCATTAAGATGGGAGGTTCTGCTGGATTTTATGGATAGTACTGGCTTTTCTAGCCGGTGAGTACCACATAACTTGTGTTTATGCAAGTGGTATGCGTAAATAATATTTTCTAAAATGAAAAAAATATATTAAAAATAAATTAAACCGACTTAACGTAAATGAGAGCCGCCCGTTCAGTTATTTTTTACTTATTAGTTATATTTTTTTGAAGTCGGTTAAAAAGATCTTCGTTGAGCAGTGGAAGGCGGTAGGTTAATTAATTGATTGATGGTCTAGTACAGTGATTCCCAAATTTTATTTAACTGTAGGTCGAAACTAGGAACCCCTGTGTCCCACCATTTGGGAACCGCTGGTCTAGTACATCATCGATCAAAAATGTACTATACACAATCAGTAACAAAAAATGTCCTCACCGAATGAGTGCTCATTTAAACATTTGAGCGTGCTTTTAATTTAAAAAAAATATGTAAAAAAAACTTTAAGCCTTGCATTTAGGGTTTGATTCACATTGTCGCATATTTATTTCAACCAGAATAATCACTTAAACACAATTGGTGACAGTTTTAAGAGAATTTTTGCATGGGATTGTGTATCTAGTACTATTTTGATCGATGTAGTGTCATAGATTTGTGATGACAGATGCACTAACTTGGTGCGCGCCTGGTGTGCGCAGCGGTTGCAGGCGTAGCGGCGCGCGTGCGCGGCGGCCGCGTGCGCCGCCAGCCGCCGCGCGCACGCGTAGCGCAGCGCGCACACGCCGCACGCGTGCGCGCCGCTGCGCTACCGGGAATAATACATATATTATGTACGTTATATTTTATTTTGTTTAATATTTAGTTGTCTTAGTAATCAAATGTTTATTTAAATAAATTAATAAATAAAAATATGTTCGAACATTAACACACAGCACCATCTAGATCCATGGTAAGCTACGAGGCCTATGTACCGTACCGGATAGTGGATACACTACGCATATATATCTTTAAATACATACATATTACAAATTTAATCACCCATGACTGATCACACAAATGAATGCCCCCAACGGGACTCGAACCCGCGACCGCTGGCACAGCAAGTACTATTACAAACTGAGCCAAACGTGTCGTCTAAATTTCTAAATTCATGAAACCATTAAATATTACAAATTGCGAAGTTTCTTGGATTTAAAAGTGTATCGTCGTTTTAATTACTTTTTAAAAACAGTTACCTTTTTTTATTATTCCTTCTTATCTTTTTTCACCACCTGGGACTCGAACCCAGAACCTCCAGATCTGCAACTGTACAAGCTAGCCACTACACTAGCCACAGTTAGAACATGACATACAACATAATCTATATATAAACAGACAAAGACAAACAGTTCAGTACCTTCTTCTCCTCTGTTTGTCAAACGATTTTCTTTTTTTTGTTTAGGTTTTATTTAACTGATTATAAAAAAACAGAGTTTGTTTGCTTGTTTGTTTGTTTGTTTGTTTGAAAGCGCTAATCTCAGGAACTACTAATCCGATTTGAAAAATTATTTTTGTATTAGATAGCCCGTTTATTGAGGAAGGCTATATAGGATTAGTAGTTACTGAGATTAGCGCGTTCAAACAAACAAACAAACTCTGCCTCTTTATAATATTAAGTATAGATATTTAATAATCTAACCTCATCATGCTTCTCTTTATGTCTATCAAATGCCACTGGATCTATGAAACCTCGGTAACACAAATCACATTTGAACGGTGAGTTAATATAATTTTCAGACTTAGCCCGCTCCAGCATTTCCAATTTTTGTTGCTCTTCATCTAGTATTATTTCCTTTGCATCCACGCTTGTTTCTGCAATAAAAAAAATTATAGTCTTAAAAAAGATCACGCTTGATCTATTATAATCTTCTATTTCTCTTATGATTTTTTTTAAATTATAATTATAGTCTTAAATTACAAAAATAAAAAAAACCCTGACTGCTTAAAAAGCAAATTGAAAAGATGAAAACAAATTTACGAACGAACATACATATTACTATGCATGTGTATATGTCTCCGACTGCATAATACTTGGACATATATCTATTTCTTTCACTCTCTTTGCAACACTCTTTCCATCTCTTTCCTACAAAACAATACTTACGTCGACTATACTTCCTTATTTTTCCGGCTTTCTCCTTTTTAGGCAACTTCTTTTTCATACTAATATTCACTAAGGGCAAGTCATCTTCAGAATCAGATATTTGCCTCTCCTCTACATTAGACTTTATTTCACCGTCTAAATCAAATTTTACGTCGTTGTCTAAGTCATTTTTTATTTCAAAATCTAAATCAGATTTTGTATCACTGTCTAAGTGAGAAAAACAGTCTTTTATATCTTCTGATTCGACATTAACTGCTAGTGGGAGAGCTGAAAAGTTAAATAACACTTAAAATATATGTATAGTAATGAAATTTTTTTAACCCCCGACGCAAAACTAGGGGTGTTATAAGTTTGACGTCGATGTCTGTCTGTGTATTTAAGCCCTCCACGACCACGGACACGCCAGCGTTACAGTTAACAATAGATTTCTTAGAAATTTACCTGGAGGTGATAATACAGATGTGGCTATAAAGTATCACTTGCTGTGATGGCACTTGATGAGTTCACTACCGAACCCTGAAGGTCTAATGTAATTCAGGATTTGTATAGGGGTGCACTCCATCGATCAAAAAAGTACTAGATACACAATCAGCTACAAAAAATGTACTCACCGAATGAGCGCTCATTTAAACATTTGAGCGAGCTTTTAATTTAATATTTATGGTGAAAACAACTTTAAGCATTGCATTTAAGGTTCAATTTACATTATTGTATATTTATTTCAACTAGAATAAAATTTTTGCGCATCACGGAAAGACCACTGGAGGTTGCTAGTAACATAATAAAATATTCAATTACCTATATGATGAATATCTTCCAAAATTCCTTCACTTTCTTCAGTTTTAACTTGTGCATACAAATGTTCCTTTATGTTATATTCTATTGGATCTAGACTTATATTTATTGTTGAAGATTGTGCTAATTTTTTATAGCTCTGTGTAATATTTGGCTAAAAAAAACTGGTAAATAGTAGTAGTGTTGCAAAAAACTGTTTATTTTATCATGAAACAAAAAAAACATGAAAAAAACAAGTTTTTTTATCCTGAAGTATGTTTCTTTTAAGTAGTTTCCATAAAAGATTAATACTTGAGAGTTCATATTAGAATTTTCTCTTTATTTTTAAACCTACCATACTTTTTGGTTGAATAGTGTCAAGCTTACATGTGGAAATTCCGACATTGACAAGGAAAACACTAGTGTAGGTGGCACTGATACTGAAAGTGATACTGATATTGACACAGAGGAAGAATACATTTTTAATTAATTGATTATACTTAATTCGATTTGTAATTTTAGTGAAATGCACGAAATTAGAAAACATACCTAAAGAAAACATTTAATTTCCTCAAAAAAAAAAATCAGTGACACTAAGTTGTTTTTTCATGTTTTTTTTCATGTTACATCACTAGTAAATAAAGGGTAAATCTAGGAAGAAGCTAGATAGCATGAAGCACATTACCTTACATAATTTTATATGACATTCAGAATATGGAACAGAGACTTGCAATTTGAGCGACACAAAAATATACCCACTACAGCGCTCCTTCATACTGACAATAGTGTAGTTCGCTTGAAAAAAACTAATTTAGCCTCAATATAAATTACCAAAGATATAAATTAATTATATTCTCTTATATATAAAATTTCCATGTCACAATGTTTGTTACCATACTCCTCCGAAACGGCTTTACCGATTTTTACCAAATTTTATATGCGTATTCAGTAGGTCTGAGAATCGGCTACTATCTATTTTTCATACCCCTAAGTGATAAGGATAAGGGTGGTCCTCCCAGACCCCACCCCAGGGACGAACCCGAGCGGAGCAAGGGTGAGTCGCTAGTATTAATATATTATTAGACATATAAAGAAAAGAGACGTCATGTCAGATTGCAAATGGATAAAAAGCATAATATAGGAAATTGGCTTTCGGATTATTTATTGAACTGAAAAACTAAATCTATCCCAAGGGAACTGTATATTTTCTGGGCTAAAAAGTGCCATATTCCAGACTGTGATCTATCTCTGTGCTAAATTCCATCCAGATCCATTCAACCATTTTGATGTGATTAAGCAACAAAGATCTATCCATCCAAACTTTCGCATATATAATATTAATAGGATAATAACTGATCAAAAATATTCTATTTATCTATAATTATTTTTTAAGGGACATAGTATGATGATATCCACCAGGGCCGAATTAACCATGTTGGGGGCCTTTAGGCTATGCAATTCTCAGGGTCCCTTCACCTTTGTCTAACTTATTAAAATAATTTTTTTCTAACACAATGCAATTATATTCCTAATTATGCTATTATGTAGATTTCACAGAAATATTCAAACATTTAAAAAAAAAATCTCGGTGTGTGAGATTGCCTACAGTCCCTTTTGGATAATACGGCCCTGATGTCGCGCACTTAGTGTGCTGGATTGTAGCCCGATTCTCCCCGTATTGAAGGCTGTTAAAAAGGCTTGAATACATGCATAGTATCTGGATAACATGTAAGCATCATATTATTACCTTTATTTCACATTGAACAGCATCCTTTAATACTTTATCGGTAAATATTGCTTGCTCTCTCAAAATATGACACTGTTTTAGTCTTGCGTAACATATATAACAAATTTTTTGTACATTTTCTACTGAGCTTAACTGAAAATAAATATATTTATTATTAATTGGATATGTTTTCAATAGTTATTGCGAGTGTACCTTATGAGAAAGACAAGTTTAGCCAGTTAATGCTGGCTAAACTTGTATATGCATGGCTAATGCCATGTAAATTTATAAGGATGACACAGATTCTGTTATGCTATTTTCGCTACAGATTTCGCTAAGTTACTGTTTTATTATATGTATGAATTTTATTTTTTTTGAGTTAAGATTTTTTTTACATGCTATTTAATTTAAATTATACCAATAATGTACCCTATATTTAATTCCCATATATGTGAATTTTATATTACTTAGTATACCTAGATTTCTCAGAGATGAGAAATTTCCCCACACTAAAAGTATCCATAAATGTTGACCGGGACAACCAGCTATCACCATACCAAATTTCATCAAAATCTGTCCAGTATTTTTCTCGTGATGCGATTCCAGACTGACAGACAAAAATTATAATTCGACGCAGAATTTTAAATATGACGAAGACTTTAGATCACATAATTATGATTTCATTGTATGCAAATAAATATTTATATATTTTAAGCATTAAATTAACTCCAAAATATTGCATTTTAGAATATTTACTTACTGTAATATCCGTTAATTTTTCATACACCGCTTGCAAATACGTGTTTGTTATTGTACACAAACGTAAATTTTCAGACAAACATATTCTACAAATATTTCTGTTTATAATATCACTTAATGACATTATTTCTATTTTTTAGCAAGACTTTATTTTATTAAATTGTAAAAAAATATAGTTCTTAATTTTTAATTTATAAACGAAAAATATATTATAGCGACAGAATTTTTTGTTAAATATTTTAAAATATTGCCTAAATAAATACTTTTTAAAATGTTAATCGTTTCATTCAAAAAAAACAATTATTTTTGTTTTTCAAAATCAGGATACTGAAATCTGAATTATGACAAACAGCAAAAACAAATACATAATTAAGTACTAAAGTAGTCTCTTTTCAGTAATCTGTGCACAAGTATAAATGTCATTTTTGGTGTTGCCATATGTATTTTAGCATATTTTTGAATATTGTATAGTTAGTAAGGATAACTTTGAATTATTAGGGTTCCATAGTCAAAAGGCTAATATAATATAATAATATAATATAATTACATTATTATATAATTTCAACATGTAATAGAATCCGTCTGTCATAGCCATTTTATTTGAAATCCATTAATGTTGCATTGTTGACGTAGATAAACAAGTTTCCCTGACGTGGCACCATTGTCGTAATGGAGCTCATTAGCGTCCGGCAATCCAGCCTGGCGTGAAGCCAAGAAATACAGGGAGGTGGCCTACTTTGGTATGCGGTACACCATGCGGGTTGCTCCTGGTACTTCCCTGGACCCTGACAGAAGAGTGGACCGTGGAAGCAACCTCTTTGTTGTGTGGTTTACATCGGCAGACCTGTTTTCGGGGCATCGTGGTTGAGTGCACAAGCGATCCTACGATGCCCCAATAAGACAGGGGAAGTTGGGTTTTAGTGGTAGAATGATTTAATAGAAAATAAAAAAGGAAGAAAAACAATCAAGTTTTAATTTAATATCTTTTTATTAAATAGGACAAGCTCTTTCATCGTCTTATCAAAAACTAACAGTTTTTAAACAGACTTTATTAAGTGAAATGTTTAAAAAGCATCTTTTAAATGTATTGTAAGTTAAGTAAAACTCAAATGTAATTTCAAAATTAAATTTAATGAAAACTAATCTTTTAACAAAAATACATGCATTTCTAGAAACTAAATTAAAAAAAATACTTCTATCGTTTCCTTTTTTTTATTTTATAAAAATGTATAAATTAAAGTCATGTAGTATGTATGCTAATACGAGTAGTATTTAGTACATTAGTAGAGCACCGTATCTATAGGCGATTAAAATCGAAGTGTCTGTTTGTAATGTTACAATAACAACTTTTTACAAAATGCATATAAAATGCGGTACTTAAAATAAAAAAAAAACAATTTTTAAAGGTTTTGTCTATGTGTATGTCTGTTTGTTCGGGCTCATCTTCGAAACGGTTGGATTGATTTTGACGGGACTTTCACTGGCTCAGATAGTTGTTATTATAAGTAGTTACTTAGGCTACTTTTATATTAGAAAAAGAATAAGAGTTCCGCTCAAAACAATTGAAACGTACCTAGGGACACACTCGAGCGAAGCGTGGGTAACGAAGTGTCTTGTGATAAATAAGAGGTACACAAGCAGCCACTAGGGATTCTAATGTGCGCTGGGCCTATAAGAGGTACTCAACGAACAAATATATTTTTAATATCATTGTGTAAATATCTTTTATAATATTATAAGTTTGTAAATGCAAAAGAATTCAATTGAAAGAATTTGTTTTCGTATGTTTTCGTTGAATATGTGTAATAAGGTTGTAGTCGTAGTAAGTTGTATATGTACAAAGAGAACAATTGAAAGTTATTTTTTTCTCATGTTTTGCATTGACATGTTTATTTAGACCGTTTTTAAAGTAAGTTGTATATGTACAAAGAGAACAATTGAAAGTTATTTTTTTCTCATGTTTTGCATTGACATGTCGATTTAAGTTTTCTTTGTAGAAAGATGTATATGTACAAAGAGAACAGTTGAAAGTTATTTTTTTCTCATGTTTTGCATTGACATGTCGATTTAATTGTTCTTTGTAGTAAGTTGTATATGTACAAAGAGAACAATTAAAAGTAATTTTTTTCTCATGTTTTGCATTGACATGTTTATTTAAATAATCTTTCCTGTAGGCTGTATATGTACAAAGAGAACAATTGAAAGTTATTTTTTTCTCATGTTTTGCATTGACATGTTGATTTAAATAAACTTTCCTGTAGGCTGTATATGTACAAAGAGAACAGTTGAAAGTTATTTTTTTCTCATGTTTTGCATTGACATGTCGATTTAATTGTTCTTTGTAGTAAGTTGTATATGAACAAAGAGAACAGTTGAAAGTTATTTTTTTCTCATGTTTTGCATTGACATGTATATTTAGGTAGCTTTTGTGGCAAGTCGTATATTTACAATAGTTACAAGATATTTGACTGTTTTGGGTATGTTTTCTGTTTATATGTTTTTTAAGATGATGTTTCAAATTAGTTTCATATTCACAGTAACTACATCTAAAACTTTTTTCTGTGTGGTTGAGAATGTGATTGGTCAAATCAGTCGTATAATTGAAGGCTTTATCGCATATATCACAAGTTAAATACTTTATTAACGTCTTTCTACGATTTTCTTTTAAATTGCTCTCACTAGCTTTATCGCTTATGCAGTTGTTGTTTTTATTAATCTCGGCAGTATCTTGAATATGACAGTTTTTTATATTTTTCTTTTCATTTGTGTGTTCCGTTGAATCTATACATTTTATTATACCAAGCTCATTATTATAATTATTTTCAGCTTTATATAAGATGTTATTTTCGATTCGTTTTTCAAGAGAATCGTCTTTTTCATTTTGAACATATTCTTGTTTATTCCCATAATTTGCTTGTGCTGTAAAAAAATTACTTATATCCGAACAAATGCTAAGATTGTGAAATTTACTGTTTTTATCACAAGACGCATAAAAAACTTAACCAAAATACTAAAATTTAAGAAGCACAAAGCTTATCACTTGTGTTTTATAAGAGTTACATGATTCAAAAGTAGTATTTAAAATTTTAAAATGTAAAGTAAATTTTGCTTTAATTCAAAACCTTACTAACTTTGAAAAAGCCTAGTTAGCAAGTATTCAAAAGACATGTGAAGTCCGCCAACCTGCACTTGACCATCGTAGTAGACTATGGTCTGATCCCCCTTACATTGAAGGGAAGCCCACGCCTAGCAGTGGGGCGTTTAAAAAGGCTGAATGTAAGACCGTCTATGAATGGCGAAAAAGCAACCACGTAGGTATTTTTGTAAAGACTCGACTCACTAATGCTTAGCTCCCGTAAAGTCAACAAATTTTTTACAGAGAAATGTATATATAACAACATTAACTACATCTTATTAATTTAGCAGTTCTTGAGATTAGCTCACTTATACCTACAAACAGACCTTCACCGACTACTACCCTTAATTTTCTAATAGCTAAAGATAATACCCCTTCACGCGTATCCCTTAAAAAATAAAATGACTTACTTTTCTCTAAATAAAAATCATCTCTGTTGTATTTTCTCAAATCTATGCCAAGCAATTTTGCGAATTCAGATCCATAGAAGACAAGAAGTTCCGTAAAGGGTTCTATCGGCTTAATAGTCCTTTTTAGAAATAAGTTAATAATTATAATATGTGCATATTGTTTTACATTTATAATGAAACTTGCAAGCAAAAAAAAAGAAGAATTTGTGAAGAAAAACGCTCGTTTTTCACCTGTAAAAAATTTGTCCCCTATGTTGATATGCAACCAGATTCTGTTCTTGAAAATGTCGAGAGCAATTAATATATCGCATCCAATTTGAATTATTCTCTTCTGAAGCATCTATGATGTACGCTGGTTCATTATTTAAAAACACCTGTATTTAAATATTCAAGTGTTACAGGAACTCACTCAATTATTATAAAGGTACAAATATAATAATGTTTATTCGTCATTCCTATCGTATGTAGTTCCGTTTATATAGCATTTAGTTCAGTTTTGTAGTTCTTATAGGATATCTACCCCTGAATATGTGTTAACTTTGTCGTGGTAAGGGGCATTAGTAGAGGCGCGTCATCCGGCAATCCAGCCGGATGTAAAGCCAAAAGGAGCACTCGGGGAGGCGGGAGATGTTTCATGAAGGTTCCTGGTATTTCTATGATATCAGAGTGGTCTGGGAGAGTACTTTCTGGTTGTTGTGTTCTATATCACTAGTGTCGTGATAGGGCGACGCCTCAAAAACGGATTTTACTTTAAATATGAAGGCTATCTCCATTCCTAATTTAATTCAAACCTATTAAACCCCCGTCTAACTTTTAGAACATTAAGGAGTAATTAATGCACTTACACTCACTAATTAAAAAAACTGCCTTATATAATATTTAGTGTCATGCTAACAGATTCTAAGTCAATGTACGAATTCAAATGTCTTACTTGAAGAGACAGACTATTTGTTCTACCAACTTTATAATTCAATCAAAATAGAACCAGCCGAAACCGAGAAATGATTAATGCGGACAGTAAAAAATATAGTTTATGTTATTTTTTTCCATATTTTTTTTATAATTTGAAGCGAAAGAAATATATAAAATGAGCAATATGAAATATTTTAATGTACACAATTCACCTGCCAACAATATGTGGATGTTACACCAAGTGTACGTCGTCCGCGGTACGGTCCGAAGCGTACATTTGGCGGTATTGATCTAGAACTAAACACACCCAAACCAGCTCCTAAAAGAGAGCAGCACTTTGTACTAAATATTAATTAAAAATATATTTCTCTTTTAGTATACAGTGTTTTGATCTACGAGTACATATCATATTCAATGTTTCACCTAATTTATTTTTTAGTTTTAATGAATTAGAACGTAATTTTTATTGTATACATACATAAAATATAATTTAATTATTATTGTATAAAGCACCTAATGTTTACTATAAAATTTAATTATAATCATCTTTTAACATTTGATATTAATATAAACAAAAAAAAAAAATTTTTACTGAGCATTCAAACAAATAGACACACAAGGGAAAATTGTAAAATGTGCTTGGTTTTATTTTATATGTAAATTCTCCAATCATATATTCTAAATAAAAAAATCTATTTGTAACTTTGTTATTTTTCTTAAGGCGTTTGCATTAATTGGTTTCATATATAAATTAATCTCTGTGATTAGGATTTCATGTAATTACTAACCTGGTATGATTGAAAGCGCAATGTGCAGAAATGCATGTGGGATCGTTAAAGCTGCATGAGGCAAAGTTTGCGGAAGAGGCGATTTCGATACCTTTTCAATATTTTTTAAATTATTTTATGGAAAAATACATACTTTAAAACTTAAAAAATATATATATACTTTTATCAAATAAAAAATTATAACTGTTGTATAAATAAATTATTTTTTTGATTACCCTGTTACTGTTAAGTTAGTAGTACATTAAAAATGTTTTATTACCAAAAACAGTTACTAAAAATAAATAGATAAGCTACTGCAAAATAAACGAGAGAGTTAAAAGTTTTATTCAAAGTTACACTGAAATTCTTTTATTTGTTGTGTATGTGTATTCAGCCCTTTATGACGTCCCACTGCTGGGCACGGGCCTCCCTTCAATATGAGGGGATCAGGCCATAGTCCACCACGCTGGCCAAGTGCGGGTTGGCGGACTTCACATGTCTTTCGAAAACTTGCTAGGTTCTCTCAGACATGCAGGTTTCCTCACGATGTTTTCCTTCACCATAAGGCAAGTGGTAATCATGTTAGAAATGATTCGCACATGAAAATATCAGAGATGCGAGACCCGGGATTTGAACCCGCTTCACTCGGTTTCCCAAGCGAGCGCGTTACCACTGGGCTACCACTGCCTTGTGTTTGTTGTGTATATTGGCCTTTAAATTTTACAACTTATTAGATAGTCAAGAAAAATGTAAAGCGCATTAGGATTTGATGAATAATTTGAGAAGCACTCGCCCTTATATTTATTAAAAGGTAATTTATATACCTCAGTATCCGGTATAACAAGCGGTGGTCCATGAATGGCGCAATATTCAAACACGAAAATACAACATTGAGGACAAACTGTAAATAACATAATGCAGATATATACTCCAATTACTTAATATTTTAAATGTTATTTAACGTACACTATTATTATAAGTCAAAATTTGTTTGTAAAATCTAACGGCAGAAAATCTTTAGGTATACGGCGAAAAAGTACTTTGTGGATCGATTTTGTACGGATACAATTATCGAAATTCTTTCTCTACAAGTTACAACATTGGCATTGCAACGTTTTGGCGAAGTTAAAGCAATTTTAGTCTTCAATAATTTTATAAATATAACAATAAGTGTCTAATAAAAAATATTGAAGTTACAATTTTTTTTGTGATAAGAAAAATAAAAAGAATGATCATTTAACTGATTTACTTACAAATGTAATTGTCCTGCATATCTTGGTATCCGGTTATATTCATATTTTTGTAATTATAATCACAAATCAACTACAATAGAATTATAATTAATTGATCATGTCATCACGATTTTAATATTCGCGCCAAAAGAATAACAATAGACAAGAAACTTTTGTTTTTTTTTAATATATTCTAAAGCCTTTAGGTGCTTATTTATACAGCCTTTATTGATTTATTTTTAAGTTACTTTTTATTATAAGAACATTCAAAGCGAAATACTTATTATATTATCATTATTTATTTTGTGTATTAAATAAATATTACATTTTTCAATACTTCGCTTTTTTCCTTTAAATAAAATTCATACAGTTTTTCAGTATTACTGTTTTGCTCAAGTCAATAGGCAATAATTACAGAGTTATATAATTTATGTATGGAATATCAGAAAAATCATGAATAATTTCAAAGAAAATTCTTCTTTAGTTTGTTGCTTTATGTTATCTCTTTTCTATGGGGAGAGAGGCAAGAGGATTTAGAAAATTTTTAATTTTACACTGAAATGTTGTTTAAAACTTAGGAAAGTATTTATTTTTATTGATCCAACAAAATTATGATTACTTATAGTTTTTCTTATACTAACAGTCAAGAAACAAACTAAAGCAGTGATAACCCAGTCTCGCTTGCGTAACCGAGTGAAGCGGGTTCAAACCATGGTTCTCGCACCACTGATATTCTCATGTGCGAATTTTCCACCATAATTATCACTTTTCTTACGGTGAAGGAAAAGATCGTGAGGAAACCTGTATGTCTGAGAGAACTTGGCCAGTTCTCGAAAGCCATACTCAATCCGCCCGCACTTGGCCAGCGTGGTGGACTATGACCTGATAGGAGGGCGTATTGAAGGGAGGCCCGTTCCCAGTAGTGGGACTACAAAATGAACTGAATACAATGAATACTACAGTCGCCAGTCAATAAAATTGTTAAGATAGACTCGATATTTTTATGTAATAAAATAAATTGATTAGGTGATTTGAAACTTCTTTTACTTATCCTAAAAACATTTGATTTGGAGTTTAATTTCCATAATAACGTATTCCATATCAATTTTGAACACATTAAAAAAAAGAAACAATTTTAGTATAGTGTATAATATATTTTATTTAAATAAATTAACCTAATTCTAAAACACTCTTCACAAACTATTTACAATCACTAGTTCTACCGATATCTGCAAAGAACAATATTGAAACTCAAGATTGAGATTGTTTTAATAAGTATCTTCCCACATTTAAATACCAAATTATATAAATATGATAAACTAATTAATTATAGGCATTCAGCACTATCTAGATCTATGGTAAGCTACGAGGCCTGTGTTATAGATACCAATAGTTGATAAACTACACATATATAATTTTAAATACATACATATTATAAATATAAACACCCATGACTGAGTAAAATGCTGATGAAATGAATGCCCCCAGTGGGACTCGAACCCGCGACCGCTGGCACAAGTATAATAAACTGTAAAATGAGTACTATAAACTGAGCCAAATGTGTCGTCAAATATTGATACATGCCACGAGATGGCACCACAGGTTTTAACTTCAAAACCATCCGCCATGAAAATTGGTATTCTTCACAACTGACTGATATTCTACTAAAGTATAGATTTTAACACTATGTCAAATTATATACGAGCTACAATATTGTTCCTTGCAAATGTCGCATCATTAAAAAGGAACTACGAACCAAAACTTACCAAAAAATCTAAAATACATTGCATTCTTCAATTTCTCAACTTTGTCATGTTATTCATTTAAAAAAATAAATTTAAAAAATGAGATTCCATTATTATTAATAATAATAATAAAAAAAATATACACCTATCTATTGGCATATAAAAAAATAATGTAAAATTTTAAAAAACGTAGACTATAATAATTTCCAATTAGGTACTATTTTAAAGACTAAAATCTAAAAAAATGGAAGATACCTATTGAGTAATAAATCAGTACATTTAGATCACACTACAATTATAATTATTGAAAAAATATATTTTATTTTGTGTTTATATCACATGCAAAACGGCCTAACCTAAACTTTCAAAATAAACAAAAAAAAATATTATAAATTATGCATTTATGTATATTATGTATTTAAATAATTTAATATGATAATGTTTTAGACATTAACAAGATATAATAAGCTGTTAAATAAACATTTTATTATTATTTTTTGGAAGTTATACTTCTTTTGGCATGTTTGGAAAAAAATATGAGAGTAAAATTTTTACGATGATGAAGTTAGCTGCATTCCTTTTACAAACAGAGAGTTGTGACATACGGAATCAAATCTTTAGGTAATTTTTTTCTGTTACGCCAAAGAAGTATAACTTGTTACGTGCGTACATAAGTACACACATACACGTTTTTTTATACATTTTTCAAGCCAGTCGCAAATCAAAATCTCTACAAAAGAGACACATTTTTATTTATCTTAAACTAAAAATCTATAACACAATATTGATACGAAACATCTATAGGAGTGCCTTGGCAGTAAAACCGACTCGTGTTATTACGGCAAACGGCATAACGGATATAGACTGTGAGTGCGCTCGCGTATCTATGCACGCAAAATTGTAAAACTGTATCTATTAAAATACTTACATGTTTTTCTTTATTTTAATCCATATTTCGTTATCTATACATATAATAAAATTCTGAGTCGAATTTGTTATATGTTACATTAAATATTTATTGGAAAATCTTGTTGAAATAGTCATTATTATCGATACAGAGACTGAATCGATAGTTTTAAAAATTTTGTCTTTGTGTCTGGAAACGCGTCACGGGAAAATCACTAAACAGATTTTGATGAATTTTGATATGATGATAGCTGGTTATCCGGGTCAACATACAGGATACTTTTTACTGCGGGAAAATATCTCATCTCTGAAATACTAAACGTCAAACCGTAACTAGGGATGTACCTGAGCGGAGTGAGAGTTAGTCGCTAGTAGGTTTATTAATTATGAATTCTATAATTAACATAGATGTTTCACATCGGTCTTTCTATGACAGATAACTCTTATTTATTTGTGCTTACTCTATTATTTAATATTTTTAAGTTAGGCCACTTTTGCACTATCACTTTTTTATATATAAATAGCTACACATTCACACAATTATGAGATCTCTTGCTAACCGACTCCAAATAAAGAGGGTGTCGGTATATCTATTTTTTAGACCATTAAAATGATATTTTATTTACAAGTTTAAAAATTTTTACCCATTTCCAATGCAGAGTTGAAAAATGATGTTTTAGGTTATTTTGAAGTTAATTTCATTTTTGTGTTTAATAATAATAATTTCATTATTAGTATAGTTTAAGGTAACTTTGGAATGATATTTAATATTAAACTTGTCTTCGGCTAATGAGTAAAAGTGTCATAAGCCAAAACAATGACTTTTTACATATGATTGTCAAAAATCAATTTTTATTAACGGTATTTGATATGGTATTTTATAGTGCCTTTAGTCTTCCTCAATAAATGGGCTATCTAATACGAAAAGAATTTTTCAAATCAGATTGGTAGTTTCTAAGATTAGCGCGTTCAAACAAACAAACTAACTCTGCCTCTTTATAATATTAGTATAGATTTATGTCTGAATAATGAATGTGGGATTAAAATAGGCAAACGTGAGAGTGAAATGAGATTCTGAAGAATATTACAAGTCCTCGGACAAACGTTTTTCGCTACATTTGGTCTAATTTGACTTATAACACGAGATTATATGAGATTTCTGAGTTAGGATATAAAACGCCACATATATTTATAGCTTATAATCTTCCATTCTGAATTTGAATCTCTATTTGTCAGGACTGTTTTGCAAAATTATTTGCAATATGTGGGTAGAAGCTTCTCTCGTATCAAATGCTTCAAACTGGACCCGAACCTAGTGTAAGAATAATTAAAAATTACACACTCATATAAAATAGGCAAAAATTGAGAATGTGTTTGTTTATTAGTTATATATTAAGTTGGAAATAAGAAGGAGACAAAAAAAGGAAAGGGGGAGATGTTGAGAAGAGATTTACAAGAGTTAGATGTGTCGTGGGAAAGTATAGTGAAGTGTGTGTGTGTGTGTGTGTCTACGTGTATGTATGTACGTGTGCGTGTATGTATGCTCAACAATCTGCATGCCTGTGTGTTTGTGTGTATGTGTGTGAGTGATCAGTCCTCAAGGCCGTGTGAATTTCTATATTTACGTCTGTATATTACCTTCTCTCTCTCTCTACGTGTGTATGTATGTATGTATATCTGTATGTCTATCTGAATATCTGGGAGTGTGTGTGTGTGTATACCTAGGCTCAGTCATCAATTCCGTAATTAATTGCATGTCTATCTGTCTATATCTGTCAGTGTGCGTGCACATACCCGGCTCAGTCCTCGAGGCCGTGCGGCCAGGCGTCGTGGCGCGCGCGCGCACGCTTGGGCCAGGGCTTCTTGAGGTGCACGTGCTCGACGTGCGCGCGCTGCTCGCCCGACGTCGTGAAGCTCTTGCCGCAAGTGTCGCACTTGTACGGCTTCAGACCGGTGTGGATCTGATGTGTTTTTATATGGAAATCACTACATAGTATAAAACAAAGTCGCTTTCCACTGTCTGTATGTCCCTATGTATGATTAGATCTATAAAACTACGCAACGGATTTTGATGCGGTTTTTTTTAATAGATAGTCATTCAAGAGGAAGGTTTATATGTATAATACATGCATATTATAGTACAGAATAACCGAGAAATTCAATTTTTTCTATTTAATAGTAACCGTTAAAACGTACCTAGGGACGAACCCGAGTGAAGCGAGGGTGAGTCGCTAGTAAAGTAATAACAATAAAGACAAATAAAATTGAAGTGTCTGTGTATAATGTCAAAATAACAGCTTTTTACTAAATACATATGAAATTATATATGTTACTAGGGACTCACCCTCGCCTCGCTCGGGTTCGTCCCTACTAACGTTAAGGTTTAGTATAGATTTCTCAGAGATGAGATATTTTCCCGTAGCAAAAAGTATCCTATATGTTGACCCGGATAACCAGCTATCATCATACTAAATTTCATCAAAACCTATCCCGTGGTTTTTCCGTGATGCGGGGACAGACCGACAGGCAAAAATTCTAAAAACTATAGATTCAACCTATGTTTCGATAACAAAGTCTATTTCAATAAGATTTTCCAAAAAATATTAAATGTACAGATTCGGCTTAGTTACAATTTTATTATATGTATAGACTTATAAGAAAAACACAATTTTTAATTTTTTGTCTGTTTGTCTGTTTGTTCCAACTAATCTCCGAAACGACTGGACTGATTTGGACGGGACTTTCACTGGCAGATGATGTTTTAAAGAGTAACTGAGCCACTTTTATTTTAGAAAAAGAATTAGGGTTCTGCTCAAAAAATCAAAACGTATAGGGACGAATGAGTCGTTAGTAAAGTAATAATAAATAAATAAATATAAATAAATATGTTGGAACAGTAACACACAACACCATCTAGTTCCATGGTAAGCTGCGAGGCTTGTGTTATGGATATAGTTGGTACACTACACATATATAGCTTTAAATACATACATATTATAAATATAAACACCCATGGCTGAAGTACAAACATTCATGCTCATCACACAAACGACCCAGCGGGACTCGAACCCGCGACCGTTGGCACAGAAAGTAGGGTCACTACAAACTGAGCCAAACGTGTCCTCAAATAATAAAGTAATAATGTGATTAGTATATGAATGTGTGAATTTTACACTGACATAGGAAGTATATTATTAACTAGCGATTCACCCTCGCTTCGCTCGGGTTCGTTCCAAGGTTGATTCCCCATACAAATTTTCATTTCCATTTTCACCCCCTTAAGGAATGATTTCCGGGATAAAAAATATCCTATGTCCTTTCCAGGGTCCCAAACTTTCTTCTTACCAAATTTCATCGAAATCGGTTCAGTCGTTTTTGATATTATTCGTTACAAACATACAAAATTACAAACCTTTCCTCTTTATAATATTAGTGTAGATTTCTTGTATATTTCTAATGGTATGTGATGAATGCTACCAACTGATGTAGACTTTTATTAATGGCAAAGTTACTGATAAGTATTGGTAGAAGGAAGACCTCTCGACTCTGTAAAATTCTACAATGGAACTGGATGAAGAGGGGTGAAAAGGCAGTAGTAGCAAGGTTCAAATCCCGGGTCTCGTATATATTCTCGCGTGTGAATTTTCAAAATGATTACCACTTGTCTTAAGGCGATGGAAAACATCGTGAGGAAACCTGCATGTCTGAGAGAATCTAGCAAGTCATCGAAAGACATGTGAAATCCCAAAATACATACAAAAAAATCCAAAAACACAATTTTCTTTCAAAGTTCCAAACTCAATTATATTTTTATTAAGATATAACAATGTAAACATCGATCAAAAAATGTACTAGATACACAATCAGCGACAAAAAATGTCCTCACCGAATGAGCGCACATTTGAACATTTGAGCGCGCTTTTAATTCATTTTTTTTTTTGAAAACAACTTTAAGAATTGCATTTAAGGTGCAATAAACATTGTAGTATATTTATTTCAACTAGAACATTTACCTAAATACAATTGGTGACAGTTTTAAGAAAACTTTTTTGCTCGATGGATGTAACCTAAAACATTACATACCCTATGGGGAAAACCATCTCAAAGACCACCATAACTTAAATAAAAACTAAAAAAAAAAAATAGAAACCGATTCGATTTCTATTATTTTTTTTGAAGTTTTTATTTTTCCATTTTTAGTGTAGACAGTTATAAAAAATATATTTATTGTTGATTTTTTAAAAACTCGACCGATTTCGATAAAATTTACATGGGACCACCTGGGAAATATACCCTTTGATACAAAAAAAAATTCCAAATCGGTTCAGGCGTCTTCGAGTAATCGGTGAACATACATAAAAAAAAGATTCCGACGAATTGAGAACCTCCTCCCTTTTTTGGGAAGTCGGTTAAAAATACTCACAAACATATGCCTTCTTCGGTTATTGAAGAAAGCAAAATGCTTTCCACATATCGGACACTCGTACGTCGGCCGCGACGCGCTGTGGACCCTCATGTGGAATACCAGGTTTGTTTTCTGGGTGAAGCTCTTCTCACAACGGTCGCATTTGAACCGCTTCTCTCCAGTGTGGACCCACATATGGTCCTTCAGTAGGGCCATGCTCTGAAAAGAAAATTGGTAATAGATAGATATCCTTACTAATATTATAAATGGGAAAGTATTACACTTTCTTAGATTTACGCGAATATTTGACATTTTGACTGTCTCTCCTGTGACCATGATTGCTGTAAAGCATTCGAAACGTCGGAAACCAAAAATCAAAATAAATCCGCGAAATAATCCGAAAAGATAGTTTTATTTAAAATGGAAAAGTGTGTTTGTCTGTCTTTCTTTCACGCCAAAACAGAGTGACGGATTAGCGTGATTGTTTGTGTGGAGATAGTTGGAGGGCTCGAGAGTAACATAGGCTACTTTTTACCGCGGGAGATTATCTCATTCCCACGGGAAAATACGTCATAATACAACTCAAAATATTTATGATCAGAATTACTTGAAACTCAGTATTAATGCTTCAATACAATTAAATAAATGTGTTTCAGTATTTTTCGAAATTCATCCCATAAGGGGGTAAAATAGGGGATAAAAGTTTGTATGAAACCTACCTTTTTTGAGTCTTTGTTGTAGTTTTAGCGCGGAACGAAGTGCGGGTTCTGCTAGTATAATATTATAGTTTGTTATAGACTATTTTTTTTAAAGTGAAACTTGTATAGGCAGGTTTGTTTTAATGGAAAGCAAATTCATGTGAGTCGTCACCGACATGGTCACGTGACGTGCGAATCATTTCCAACATGATCACCACTTGTTTTACGGTCAAAGAAAACATCAAAACCTGCAAGTCTAAGAGAACCTAGCAAGTTTACGAGACATGCTCAGTCCACACCTGGCCAGCGTGGTGGACAGGCCTGATCCCTTGCATTAAAGCTAGGGCCACGCACAACAGCGGGACGGTAACAAGCCTATACCTGAAAGATCCGCCCGCACTGCTCGCACATACAGGGCGTCTTCATGGCGGGGTACTTGGTTCGGTTCTTGTCGGGGTGAGCGCGGCGGAAGTGCTGCGCGTACAGACGGAGGTCTCGCAGTTGGATGCCACACTGGGAAGTTAAAATATTACATTATAATAAATAATATCATAATTACATATAATAAAATTCTGAGGCGAATTTGTACTCGTACATTGAATATTCTATTGAAATAGTCATTATTATCGATACAGAGGCCGAATCTATAGTTTTTAGGATTTTTGTCTATCTGTCTGTTTGTGACCGCATCACGAGAAAACCACTGGACAGATTGTGATGAAATCTGGTATGATGATAGCTGGTTATCCGGGTCAACATATAAGATACTTTTTACAGCGGGAACATATCTCATCTCTGAGAAATCTATACTAAACTTTAAAACGTAAGTAGGGACGAAATCTAACTAACGGAGAGAGGGTGAGTCGTTAGTTAATAATAAGTACAAAAATCACTTAAACAATTAATTATTGAAACATTTAATACCCCTAAACTAGCTAGGCCCTACCGCACTTCTAAAACACGCTAAAAAATCTATCTTGGGGCTAGCAAAAGTGAGTAATTCGTAATAATTAAGCAAAGACAGAGTATAAGAGTTTGTATCTGTTTGTAACAGTATATGTCACAGATAAAGTTTCATTCGTCTCTACTCCCCCTCCCCTCCACTCCCGCAGCCCCCACCTGCTCGCAGGAGACGGCGCCGGGCGCGTCGCCGGCGGCGGGCGCGCGCGCGTGCACGACGGGCCGGCGCTCGATCTTCCTCATTATACGCCCGTTCCGTTCCGTGTTCATACTCTGCGAGTCGTTCCTTATGCGGTTCCTGAGTACAGATAATAAAATACTATAGAGATGTGTATGGGTCTCTATATACAGGCCTTTTGGGACTGTACCAGGGCCCCCAAGATATAGGGGGCCCCATGTTGAAAAAAATGGATAATATTGAGAATTTATAAAATAACTAGGTCGATTCCCCATACAAACTTTCATCACCAATTTCAAACCCTTAAGGGATGAATTCCGGAGTAAAAAATGTCCTAGAAAATGTGTAAAAAATCCTATGTCCTTCCCAGCGTCTCAAACTATCTTCTTACCAGAATTTATCTAAATCGGTCCAGTAGTTTTTGAGTTTATTCGTTACAAAAATACAAAAATATAAATCTTTCCCCTTTTATAATAGTAGTGTAAAAAAAATTAAGGCCATATAAGGTAGGGCTAAGAACTCTGAGATCAATTAATAATCAAACAATAACGTTACTTAATCTCATCTAGTACCATCTATCATTATAGATTTTTATAAAGAGACAATGACAATTTAGGCCCCTAAGAAGTGTTAGCTGAGGGCCCCCCAAATTCAAGATCCGCCCCTGGTGTAACTAGCAGCCATTGAAGAGAACTATCCACCTACTACATCATCAGATCGGTGAGATGGTACCAAATTATTATATTTACATGTAAATTTCACATGCAGCGTTTCAAAAAGATAGAAGAACTATAAGTTAAAGTTGAATTTCAAGTTTTATTTACGTATAGTTAATTCCGAATGAGGCTAATGATGATGATGATGACGATACTCGCGATCCAAACTAATCTAACGAATAATTCATTAAAATCGGTTAAGCCGATTAATAAGTAACAGGGAACATAAGGTTGGACATACATACATACATACAGGTGAAACACATAACCCTCCTTTACATTTCGCGAATCTTTACTAATGACGAATTGCTTAGTAAAAGGATACATGTACGTTTCTGAAATTATCCGATTAAAGAACTAGCGATGAATTAATCGTTAAACTACCGACAATAACCGTTTTTTTTAACCGGTTCCGAGCACTGACTTCATCGTAGTCGGGTAAAAAGCAGAATTAAACCTCTTTACACTCACGGATCATTGTCACTGCTATGCCTTGAAGATAGCTTCAAATGTCTGGAATGGGCTTCTTCTGATATAAACTTAACTTCGCAAACTTCACAATATGGTCCTTCTAAAGTCACCTGAAATATCACACTTCTTCTTTAAATAGTATAAAATGATGTCGTTTCCGCTGTGTTTTCGCTTAGATCTTTTAAACTACTCAACGGATTTTAATGCAGTTTTCAGCAATAGATAAAGAGTGATTCAAGAGGAAGGTTTATATGTATATTATAGTCTAAGAAGGTTTATATGTATATACATGCATATTATAGTACAGAAAAGCCGAGAAATTCAAAGATTTATATTTCATACTATCCATTAAAACGGTAAGAAATTCTGTAAGTAAAGGAAAACTAAGCAAACAAGTTAATGTGGTTTGTAGTGCAGCTTCACAGATGGCACTTTTATTTTTGTCATTAATTTCTGATTCATCATTAATATTATAATACGCTAATCATCGCCATCATTGAACTGTGTTATTCTTTCTGTTTTAACTATTTCATTTTGATTAATATGTAAATCATTATCATTAACTTCATAAACTTTTAAACAGAGTGTTAATTTTAATTAATTATGAGCTCTGTTTATCAAAATACACATAAAGTCAAACAGACAGAATATATGATTTTTTTTTAGCCGTGCAATGACCTCATTTCATTCAGCCTAAAACATGAGCATAAATAATATATAGAACTTACACTCTTATCCGCCAATCTATGTTTTTTCTTCTTATGCACATCAATCCCCTTTTTACTCACAAACGTGTAACCACAAAGCTCGCACACAAAATCTGACACGTGCTTTATCCTTATATGACCCATATATGTAGTTAATTTGCTAAAAAAATATATAATTTAAATGGAATATCTACAACTAAATAACAAATAAGACGTAGAAATAGACCACACCATTAGATTTAAACAAAATTAAAAAAAAAGTTGAAGGATTTATTATTAAAAAAATATACATGTATCCCATGTATTCATTCTCAAATCAAATGAAATGTATTTATTATCTGTGGTACCAAGATAATTGTCGACATACTGTATAATTTTTTCTACCTTCTAATAAAAAAAGTCAAGTTTGTGAACACTTAACGAGTTTTATTATCTAACATAAAATATAGCATCTAATCTAAAATAGACGATTCTTTAAATTGACATACCTTTTTTATTTCTGAACCGATTGAAATAAAACAAATACAAATTCAGCCTCCCAACTATCTCCACACAAAAAATCACGCCAATCCGTAACTCTGTTACGACGTGAAAGAAGGACAAACAAACATACTTTCACATCTATCATATTAGTATGGAAAGAAAACAATATTTCGTTATTTTATTTTTGTTTTTCTGCAAAAAATCCGCCATGTTGAGTCAACTCATGTAACGTCGGCCACAATCCCCAAATTCCGTAAATCCCGGGGACCAACACACAAACACAACAAAACTCAGTACATACTTACTCAAACTCACTGGGACAGTGCGGACATTGGTATTTAGTTCCTGCGTGCCATTTCTCATGTTCTCGCGCGACACCTCTGAAAAATCGTATGATTTTTAAAAATAACTATTTCTTTCGAGCGGAAGCCTAATTTATTTTTAAAAATAAAAGTAGCCTAAGTTACTTCTTAAAACATCAGAACAAACAGACAGACAAAAATATTAATAATTGTGTTTTTTTTATAAGTACCGTATATACTTTTATATGCATTTAGTAAAAAGCTGTTATTTTGACATTACAAACAGACACATCACTTTATTTATCTGTATAGATTCATTTATTTCATTAATCTCCAATTTAGGTTAGATTTTTTTATTAAATTTACACCATTATTATATATTTAATTAAATCTCGTATCATACATTTAGAAATCAAAAAAACCGTAGCGTTATTTTTTATACATACCTATTTCTAGTGACAAACGGACAGCCTTTACAACTGAACTTCTCCGTGTGTTGTGCTGTGAGATGTTTTCGTAAAGCGCGAGCCGTTTTCAATCGAGTCTTGCATATAAAGCATTCATAAGCACCGCTTTGCTGCGAGAAATAGTATACATACTTTATAAATATCAAATATAATACCATTTAAAAAATATATAATGTAAAAAAATCAAATCTCATAATTAAAAAAATATGTTTGTTTATCATATTTATATTTACCTGTTAAATTATATAAATACATATATCAATAAAATAGTGTTCAGTTATGGCATAATGACATAAATGTTTTTTTTATGATTTCATCATTAAAAATACAAAAAATCAATGTCATAATTAACTTTTAATTCATTAAAATTACTTCTAATGCATTATAAATTCTTCGCCAATTCATTAGTAAATTATTTCAAAAATCTTAAAATGCATTTAGCAACGAAGATGATGAATGATTAAGAGGACACTTCTTTTGTATATGAAATTTTAAAATAATGACAAACAAAAAAACAAAAACATCCAATTATCATTACCATCATTGTTAAGCCAATTAACGATTATTTGAAATTACAAAAATAAAAAAAAATAAACATTAATTAAAGTTCCCATTCATAAAAACAAATACATCAATTATTATCACCATAATCTTTCAACGAATTAATGATACAAATAATCATTACAGAATTTACCAAAAAAAAACTCTACTTTCTCACAAAAATAAAAATAAAAAAAGAAACCATCAAAAACAAACCCAATACCACCTACCTCGCTATGCCTCACGACATGAGCATCATATCTGTCTCGTATAAGAAACCCTCTATAGCATAATGTACACTTGTATGGTGCGTTTTTGTACGACGAAGTGTCCTGCCTTCTCTCCACTTCTGCTATCTGCTCTTCATACGTCAATGTGGTTATCGTGAAGAGAGATTCGTCTAAGCCGTCTGTTAATTTTCGTCTTTTTACGTCGGATCTTTTGTACCTATTTTTTTAATGTTAATAGGTATTATTGCCATAGCCATTTTTTTAAAGTAACGATTATATGAATTAATATTATATTATAGTAAGAGTATATGAATTAATATTTCGTTTCACTCGGGTACGTCCTTTTATACACCCTATGTGCCAAACGATATCGTATTTGTTATTCCAGATTACAGTCTGATCTGACTGTGCGTACGTTTTGACGTGAAGGAGAAACAAACATACAGACATACAATTTTTAGCATATATATAGTAGCAGGAATAAGTAACCCGACAAACTGTCCAAATTTCAATTAATTTGTTTGGTCGTCTTTCAGTTTATACAAAAATCCTAAAAAAGCACTTTCAATTTTACCTAAATTACCTAATTTTCCCTGCAAATATATAAATGAAGTGTTTTTCAATACAAAAAACCCATACTTATCCATAGTCGTTGTAGGATTGTCATCATCTTCTGTCTTCTGCTTAACCTTCACTTCTTTCACCTTCTTTTCTATTTTCAACTTTTTCTTTTTTACTTTAGGCTTTTTCTTGCAAACTTCACTTAATGCTCTATCATCATCACTATCGAATATCGCCGGATATTCTTCAAAGAATATCTCATTATTGACTTCATGTTTAATTTCCACGTCAATATGTTTGTAATCATTAATTTCTGATTCATCATTAATTTCTGGCACAGTATCATTAATATCGCAATACGCTATATCATCGCCATCGTTGAACTCGGTTATTCTTTCTGTTTTAATTATTTCATTTTCATTAATATGTAAATCATTATCATTAACTTCATAAACTTTTAAACCAAGTGTTGATTTTAATTGATTGTGAGCTCTGCTTATTGATTTTACATCTCTTAATGTTACCTGATAATAAAAAAAATAGTATAGTTACAAAAAATAATAATAAGCTACTTTAAAATGCTGTATCTTCATAATTATTTAAGATATCTTAAAAAAAGATACCATTTACAAAAAAAAACTTGTCCAAAACGAGTCACAGCTTATAACATAAATATAATACATAAATATGTTGGTATATTAACACACAGTACCATCTAGTTTCATGGTAAGCTACGAGGCTTGTGTTACGGATACCAGATAGTTGATACACTACATACATATTAAAAATATAAACACCCATGACTGGAGTACAAACATTCATGCTCATCACACAAATGGATGCCCCCAGCGTGACTCGAGCCCGCGACCGCTGGCACAGCAAAGTCGCTACAAACTGAGCCAAACTTCTCGTTAAATTAAGTTTTAATGAATAAAAAATTTTTACTCACATATCTATCCATGTCCAGTTTATTTAAAAGCAATCCTTGAGTCTTTAACGCTGTCTCCCTAAAACGGTTTGCCGATGACAATCTGGCAACACACTCCCAACACAGCATTTGGGGTAACCTATCCTCTACATTTATCTAAAAAGAAGTAAAATAAAAAAAAAAATATATCACACAAAGTCATAATTATTATAAACTTAAAAGAAACTAAGGAAGTTCTCAAAAGATATTTTTTATTACAGGCGTATTTTTAATGTATGTATGTACATAACTACATAGCTTGCTTCAACATACAAACTTTCATCCCCATTTTCAACCGCTCAAGGGATGATTTCCGGGATAAAAACTATCCTATGTCCTTTCCAGGGTCTCAAATTATTATTTTTTTGCCAATTTCATTTAAATCGGTTCAGCAGTTTCGGAGCTTATTCGGTACAAACAAAGAAACAAAAAATGTTTCCTCTTTATAATATTAGTAAAGATAAATTTTGATGTCTTTTAAATTTAATCCTACCAAAGTGCTAATAAAGGACTTGGATGTTTATATGAAACAAGCAAGGTATTCCAATTTTGTACAAAGTGTGCTAACTTACCGGAACACCAGTAACTTGCTCATACATAATAATCAATTTATGTTCGGACATGTGGTACATTTTGACATCCATTACCAAACAAATTCTGCACACCTAAAATATAAAGATTAATAGTATATTAAACTTTTAAATAAACGTAATAAAACTTTTAAATAAAACTATATTTGTGGATTTTTTGAGACTTGAGGCAGTCTCTCCTGTAATCTTAATTGCTGTAAAGGAAGAATCCGAAAAAATCTACAAAATAAAAATAAAATTGAAGTGTCTGTTTGTAATGTGAAAATAACAGATTTTCGGCTGTAACCGATTTATCCGATCTAACCGATTTTGACGTGACTTTCTCTGGCATATAGTTCATGTTATAAGGAGTGACTTAGGTAGGTAGGCGCAAAAAAATTAAAACCCATGAAATTGTGAACCAATCGATACGGAATATGGGTGATTTTTTTTTTATTTTTCATAGAATAGCTGACATAGTTATATGATTGTAAAAAAATATTCAGCATAAAAAACTAAAATTTATATAATAAAAAAATCTTTAAAAATATCACATTGATACGGATACTTTAAATGCCCGCCATTTCGCACGCTCATATAATAACAGCCAGTGTTGCTAATTTAGCGCTTTTGTCACTTGTGACCAATGGCATTGCGTTTCCACTACTTTAAATTTCCCACCTATTTTTGCACTTTTTAATAATCATTTCATTAATCAAAAAGAAATTACATTAAAAATATTAATATAGGCTTAATTTAAAAGCAATAAAGACTATAAAAAATCACATGCATATTCTCTATTGTTTTCTTTCAATAAGATATTTTAGTTCTCACTAAAAATATACAAACAATTATAAAAAATATTAAATGTTTATATTACATAATATGGTTGTTAATTTTGAGTACATAATTGAAAATTTAGCCTGTAGTATATAAATATTTATAATCTTACCCTCAATGTGGCTGGTGTATCCATATCTTCAGATGAATTCTAAATGAAAAAAACCTTGATTAAGTTTTTCAGAAATTATTTATTATTAGTTATTATAATAAAATAAAAAAAAACAAAATTCATCTTATATTGTCGTTAAAATAATGTAGTTTTGGAATTAGGCAGATTTAAAGTCCTTATCTGATAGAATCTAGCAAATCGAATGACATGCTCAGTCCACCTGCACTTGGACAGCGTTGTGGACTATGGCCTGATCTTCTGAGTATTGAAGGCCCAGCAGTTAAACGTTAAAAAGGTTTGAGTACAAGGTATAAAATAAACATATTACTCGCAAAACTATTTTTGAGAATATTTACTGGGAAAGATAGGTTATGGAAGAAAAAATTAATATTGCAATTAAAATAATATTAATAGGCTCATAACACATCAATTTAATTTTAAGATTATTTATAGTTTTATGAACAAGTGTTCTAAACAAAAATTTATCGAGTTGTATATAGTATTATTTTCTTTATTAAATCAGTATATACTTACATCAAAAGGCACAGCCCCACTTTTAATCCTCCGCAAACCACATTTGGTCTCATAGAATGCATCCTGTTGAAAATGTTCTGAGCATACTGCACTGTAAAATTTAAACTCTAGTGAGACATCTTTCTATTTATTTTAAAGAAATAAAAATATCTAATACTAGCGACTCACGCTCGCTTTGCTTCAGGTTTATCCCTAGTAAAAAACAAAACTATCCCACGGGAATGATACATTTTTCTGGGATAAAAAGTAACCTATGTGTTATTCCAGACAATAATCTATCTCTGTGCCAAATTTTATTCAGATCCATTCAGCTGTTCTGGTGTGAAAAACTAACAAACATCCATCCATCCATCCTCACAAACTTTCACATTAATTATAATATTAGTAAGGTTTGATACCCTATAAAATGTTGTTGTTTAACTAATTAGATAACAATTTAAGACAAATTTATTGTATAGATGCCTTCATATATACAGGTGCTGAATAAATTACCGTCTTGGTTTTTACATTAGATCTAACAATTATTAGCGGTAGAAGAACTGTGTTGTGAGACTCGTAATTATTTACATGTTATGTTTTTGATAGGTCTCCTATTTACTCAAACTCTTCCATTCACTACCAGAGTGACAACACACAGTATACACCACTAGCTTTAACAGCATATCTATACATATATAAAAATCTGTACATTTTTTTTTTCAGAAAATCTTATTAAAATAGTCATTATTATTGTTTTTAGAATTTTATTCTGTTTATCTCTCTGTCTCACATCGCAAAAAAACCACTGGACAGATTTTGATGAAATTTAGTATGATGATAACTGGTTATCCGGGTCAACACATAGGATACTTTTTACTGCGGGAAAATATCTCATCTCTGAGAAAAGAAATGTATACTTAAAGTTAAAACATAGCTAGGGAAGAACCCAAGCAAGTGAGGTTGAATTTGGCATAAGAGTTTCTTATTTAGAAAGGGAGACTATTACAATATGAATATAAAAGGTATATTCTTTAAAACAATTAGATAAGAGATGAAACCTTCAATGAGTGTCATCATTTTTAAAACAAAACATTGTATATAAAAGTAAATTTTAAAGTACCTGCGCTCTTTTGGTTCCCACTCTGACATGCCAAGGGCTTTTAACCATGAGTTTCTGATATTTAACTCCTTAGGAAACCTTGAGGAAGAAAAAATTATTAATTTTGTATAGGTTTATACCTACTTTATATATTTCAACATTTCTTGATTCAAGGAATTTTAATATATTTTTGTCTTAAGAGTTCTTTATTAATAAAATCTAATAAGAACACAATTACTTTAGTATACTTTTAATTTTCTATTAGAATTCTAGTAGGTCCATAGAAACATTATGTTTAAAACGTAATATAATCAAGTAAAAATCTTTAATTCAGTTGTATATATAACTAAAACTCACATATGAAAGGTGATTCCATGACTTTTTGTAATTTTACGAGTATCATTTGTACAGTTTTCAACACAACACCGCATTTTTACAAACTTTAATACAAATATGTGTAAAAATACAAATATATACACTAATCATCAAAGCACTGGTATATTTAATTTCAGTATAGACATATTCATTATTGAGTATTTATAAAATTAAAAATATTATTATAATTCATTTATAACTATTTAGTTTACATTTTTTACATTTTCGTTTACTTTTCGCAATTATTTCCAACTTCCAAGGTAATAATTGACAGACTTCAAATTTGACAAAATAAATGCATCAAATAGACAAGGATGATGCCAGGTGCATCTCGATAACCATAGAGGTGTAACAACACACACGACACGTTTAGTTCAATTTATACACCTTTTACATTTTCACGTCCGAATCATTTCCAACATCATTTTCACTTCTGGTACGGTGAATGATACATCGTGATGTTTGAGAGAACCTAGCACGAAGTCTAGAAGTTTTCAAAAGACATGTGAAGTCCACACTTCGTATACCCGCGATTAACCAGCGTTGAGGACTTTGACCTCTCATTAAAGGAAAGTCCGTCCAGCAGTGGGACATTAAAAACGGCTAAATACAATATCGAAACCCGAAACATTTAATATTTCTTGTAAAAAGCAACAATTCATTAAGATTCATTCCTCTCAAATCAATTCCCATATAACCTTGCTATGCCAGCGGTCGCGGGTTCGAGTCCCGCTGGGGCATTCATTTGTGTGATTAGCACGAATGTTTGTACTCCAGTCATGGGTGTTTATGTTTGTAATATTTATGTATTTAAAGTTATATATGTGTAGTGTATCGACCAGCCGGTATCCAAAACACACAAGCCTCGTAAGTCCTAGCTTACCATGGAACTAGATGGTGCTGAGTGTTAATGTCCAACATATTTATTTATTACAGAGCATAAATAATTAACCGACTTCCAATTCCAAAAAGGGGGAGGTTCTCAGTTCGTCGGAATCTTTTTTTTTATGTATGTTACTACTACACAGCCAACAATATTTTAAGATATGAATATCTAATAGGTAAATATTATATATTTTACGTATCCAAATATATTAGATTTGCTTTGCATCGGCTGGCACTGACTTCGAAAATATCTGACTAGGTATAGAGTTCAAATTGAAAACGTACGTTTAGTTGTTTTTTACATTTTAGTGCTTGGAAGTCGGTTTTAATTTTTGGTTAAAAAGATTTTATTATAAATGAGACAGAAAGTTCTCGTTCGGATCATTCTACTCGTTATTTTTATTAAAAATCAAAAAAGATAAATTATTGAACATTCTCCAATCATGATACTTTCTTAGATTTACGCGAATATTTAACATTTGAAATAATTATATCTTTTCAGATTTTTTCGCGGATTTATTTTGATTTTTGATTCCCGACGTTTCGAATTTACTGGAGAGACTCTGGACTGTGACCATGATTGTTGTAAAGCATTAGAAAGTAGAAACGTCGGGAACCAAAAATCAAAATAAATTTGCGAAAAAATCCGAAAAGACATTTTTATTAAAAACTGTCTACAATCATTACATTTTATAAAGTAGCGCTAACATATTTTTTTAAATATATTTTTAAACCTATTTTTATACCTATTTGTGGAATACTCTTTCCAGAGATATATAGATCAGTGGTTTACTTTTTGGTCAAGCATTGCTATCTTACTAAATAAAAAATACACTATAGAAATACGATCTCTCTCTTTTACATTAAACAACACGTTAAGAGTGAAAGAGAAAGATGTAGAGTGCAAATAAATTAAATTTTACCCATATAATATAGTTATCGGCAGTCACAAATGTCAGATAAAATAAATTTGTATAATAATAAATTATTGCTTGTTTTCAGTTTTTAAATTCAAAACATTAATTGACTCAAATTTCATTAGGTATGAATTTACTTAAAATATATAGTGAACGTTGCAATAAATTATGAATTTGCAATTATTAATTTATATTACATATTATGTGTTAGTTATGTTTGTCGTATTAGAAATAAATAAAAATTGAGTATTTATTATGCGCTGTTGTATTTCATCGTGTAAAAATGATTCGAGACACGTATCTAAGTCTGAAGGAATTACTTTTCATGCGTAAGTTTTAACTATTAAGATACTCTACTAACTTTTGTTTATATGAAGAATTTGACACTTATTTCATTTAGAAAAACTATTAACTTCGTAAATAAGACTTGCTTTTCACTGAGAATAATATTTTTTTTGATTATTTAAAACAAAACTATTTTTTTAAATGTTCTCATTTATAATTTATAATAGAATTAACATCTAAGTATTAATATTATAAATGCGACACTATGTTTACTTAGTTTGCTTATGTTTTACACAGCAACGTAACAACACATTGATGCAGTTTTTTGCTAAATATAGTTAATGGGTAAAAGAGATATATTTAATACTTTTAATTTGCTATGTAAAGTAGATGCGATATATATTTCAAAAAGATACTGTGAATGTTTTAATAGATAAAAATATGAATACATATAATATGGTTTTCTTTTAGGATTCCAACAGAACCAAATATAAGAGCAAGTTGGCTGAAAGCTCTTGGTAAAAATGATTGGCCGCCTCGAGATAGGAGGGTGGTGTGCTCTGAACATTTTCTCTGTGAAGATTTGTATGAAACTAAGAATGGATTAAGGAAAGTTAGGAATGGTGCAGTGCCCGTAGTAAAGGTGACTAAACTCTACGACTACAACTAAAATATTAAGTTTTATAAATGTTACATTTTTTCTAAAGAATATTCTTTCATATAAGCACATCTAAGTAAAATGAGATGAAAGTGGTACATCACCAGATTCTTCCTATTATTTTATTAACCCCATTATCTATACATATAATAAAATTGTAACTGAGTCAAATCAATACATTAAATATTTCTTGAAAAATCTTATTGAAATCTATAGTTTTGGAATTTTTGTCTGTCTGGGAATGCATCACGAGAAACCTGTGGGTCCTGTGGGATGGGTTTTGATGAAATTTGGTATGATAATAGCTGGTATGATACTTTTTACTGTAGGAAAATATTTCATCTCAGAAATCTACACTAAACATTAAAATATAACTTTTTTTGTAAGTTTCTATGCTTGTTTGTAATGAATAAGCTAAATATCCGCTCAACTGAACTGATTTAGATGAAATTTGGTATGAAGATAGTTTGAGACCTTGGGAAGGACATAGATTAGTTTTTATCCCAGAACTTATCCCTTAAGGGGGTGAAGAGCGGGATGAAATTTTGTATGGGGAATCAATCATTTCTCAAGTAAGGGATATATAAAACACATCATACCTATGTCTATATACATAAATACTAATATATAGTCTATCTATTCCATAATAACCATTAAAATGTACTTCTTGTAAAATATAAAGTATGTAAAAACGAATATTTTAACATTTTAAAATAAATCTAACAAACTAAACTACATGTTTTATTATTTTCAGAATACCTCAAATTGTAGTTTTGAAGATACAACAACAATAATGGAAATCGAGTTAAGGGTATTAATTTAGTTTTCACATAATTATTTTGTATTATCAATATGTTGGATGCAAAATGTGTGTTTGTCTTGTTTTTATCTGTCTTATTTTATTTTTCAACTAGCGACTTCTTTTTGCCTGGGTGAGTCTCTAGGTATGTTTTATTTTTTTGGAGCAGATCCCTAATTCTTTTTCTAACATAAAAGTAGCCTAAGTTACTCCTTAAAACATCAGTCATCCGCTAGTGAAAGTGCTGATAAAGTCGGTCCAGCCGTTTCGGAGATTAGGTGGAACACTTTTGTTAGGTTTGGGGGGGAGGGGGTAGGTGGAACACGTAGATAAAAATGTAAAAAATTGTGTTTTTCTTATAAGTACCATATATAATTTCATATGCATTTAGTTACACACTGACATTTAATGTAATTTATCTGTATAGACAATTTTTCTATGCACTGAAAATATTGTTATGCTATAGTCCGGTCATAACAGACATTTCATATATGTGGCATTTGTGTGCATATAATGTAGAATGTAACATCTTCAACTTTTACTATGGTGATAGGGAAAAAAGTATAGGACCATTTTTGTAGATAATTTTATGATCTACATTTTTTGTCTGGACTAATAGTCCAGTTGGATAAAACTTACCGTTTTCGAGAAAAATCCAAAAAGACCAAAAATTTTGAACTTTGACCTTGAATAACTTTTTTAGCACACATGGGATCGATGGAGACTTTCGGCACTTTATTTTACTGGTGTATCCAAGGTTCCTACCAAAATTCAGCTCTGTTGGAGTTTTTGTTATTTGATCACTATTCTTATGTCTAATTTGACCGGACTTATTATCTGTATGTAGCATAGCAATAATTTTTTAAATTTATGATAAATACAAACACATTTTTAGGTTTGCAGAATATGCCTTGGTACGAATAAAAAGCTGTTTTCACTCAAAACACATGACTTGGAGCAAATGTATGAGTGTCTTACAGGGATGTCGGTAAATAAATTAAAATATTGTGTATATATATATACATATATATTGTGTGTCTGCATATCAATTACATCTTATATTTTTTTTATTTATTTCAGCCCTGCAACGACAATTTACCACAGTATCTATGTTCAGAATGTGCCCAAAGACTGTCAAATTGTATAAAATTTCGAAATAAAAGCTTAAAAGCGCATTCTTTGATGTTGGATATAGTAGAAAAAGAGAATATTGTAAGTATTTTCGAGATAAATTAACTGTACAGATGTGACATGAAAATAAACCACTTAGTTTTTAATCACTATGTTGAAAAAAAAACATGAAAAAAAAACTTTGTACATTTATTTTTTTTCTAATTTTCGTTCTTTTTTAGAAAAAAAGCTATAGGAAATTATATGTTTTATTGAAATATATTCTTAATTTTTCTACATTTTACTAAAATTACAAATCAAATTAAGTATAATGAAACCGGAGGTGAAACCGGAGCGTACAGCTAATTAGTAAACAAAAAATAGAACAGTTAGAAATGATTTTCTTTTTACAGATAACATTAGAAAATTTAAAACTTATTAACCGGGAAGAGAACCAGTTATCTTCAAGTTTAAACCAAAAACTATTCAACCCAGATCATTTCGACATAGTCATAGATGAATGCACAGAAGCTCAAAATATAAAGGCGGACAAATTAGAAAACGATTTAAATTTAGACGAAGTGAAGAGTGAGAAGAATGATGAAGAAGATATATTTGTGGAAACCAACGATGATCTAAAAACTTCGGATACAGAATTCTTGCCAAAGGAATACTCAACGGATGACAGTCTGCCATTGGAATGTCAAAGGAAGAAAAAGAAGAAGACGAAGATAAGAGAAGAGAAGAAAGCGAAGAAGAAGAAGGAGGAAGTACCAAAAATCGACAGACGTCGCAAACCTTTTTTGAATGATGATTTAAATGAAACGCTTTTTACAATTACCGATTTGACGTTTGAAGAACAAGTAGCGGAGATAGAGAAAAGGCAGGAGTCGTCGAATTATAAAAATTCAATGTTCAAGTGTACTGAGTGTTTTAAAGGGTTTTTGGATGAAGATGCATATAATGGGCACATGACGAGGCACACAAATGTGAGTATACACGGACCTCCATACTAATATTATAAATGTAAAAGTGTGTTTGTTTGTCTTTCTTTCACGTCGAAACTGAGTGATGGATTGACATGATTTTTTGTGTGAAAATAGTTGGGGGGCTGAAGAGTATAGGCTACTTGTTATCGCGAAAGATTATCTCATTCCCACGGGAAAACACTTATTTATAATACAACACAAAAAAATATTTTTGATCAGAATTACTTGAAACTTGGTTTTTATACAATTAAATAAATACCTGTTTTAGCATTTTTCGAAATTCATCTCATAAAAACCTATCTTTTTAGAGATTTTTTTTGTACTATTTATAAATAGATTATAACCTAAAAGTAGGGTTAGTCTCTAATATAAAATTAATAAATATATTGTTTTTCCAGCAATGCGGGGAATTTGAGTGTGATATATGTAAAACTCATTTTAAACATCCTCACGCGTTAAGGAAGCATATAACGGCGCATCACACGCAAAGGTTTAGTTGTAACCAGTGTCCGTACGTCACTACACATAGGTATGTTGTTAAATGATTGTTTTTAATAGGTTTTTTTTTTAAATAAATTTTATTATAAAATGTAACTCATTATTTTCTATAAATATGATATACCAGCATCGATCAAAAAGGTACTAGATACACAATCCCATGCAAAAGTTCTCTTAAGACTGTCACCGATTGTGTTTAGGTAATTGTTCTAATTGAAATAAATATACAACAATGTGAATTGAACCTTAAATGCAATGCTTAAAGTTGTTTTCACAAAAAAAAAAATTAAAAGCGCGCTCAAATGTTCAAATGAGCGCTCATTCGGTGAGGACATTTTTTGTCGCTGGATTGTGTCGAATACTTTTTTGGACGATGTATACCAGAGTCTATAACTCATCTTTATCTCTAGCAGCAGAAACATCATTTCACTACCTTCAAATTTTATTTTAGTGACAGAATTTTGCCTCTGTTCTTGTCCAAGGTCTCATCTATCTCTATACCAAAATTTATCAAAATTTGCTTAGCGGTTTGGGCGTGAAAACGTAACAGACAGACAGACTTTCACATTTATAATATTAGTATGAATTATTTTAAGCTAGTTATATTTTTTTACAGACAAACAGCAAGGTTACACGAGCGTTGGCATAAAGGAACGAAGTACAAATGCCCCCACTGTCAAGACGAATTTGTGTAAGTAGTTATATTGTAAATATAGTTTTTTTTTTCTTTCTTTAGTGGCTTAGAATTGAAATAAAGCCTAATACTTTCCTAGATTTACACGAATATTTGACATTTTTAATAAAACTATTTTTTCGGATTGTTTCGCGGATTTATTTTGATTTTTGGTTACCGACGTTTCGAATGCACACATGCTCGCGGAAGACTTAGGTTTTCGATATCTCACAGGCGTTATATACTTCTTACAGACTTGTTACAGGCTAAATACTTTGTTACAGACAGACAGGCATTATATAGTTGTATACAGACAGTGCCTACCCACAATTTTACAAAAATGATTTCAAAAATTCAATAATGGCACCAAAAAGTACCTTACATTATTTGTTAATTTTAATTTTAAACATTTTTTGGATTTCAATAAGTTAATTATAGTCTAAAAAATTCGTATATTTAATTTTTATAATCACATTTTTTATGCAGTTTTTGGCAGTAAAATCTTATAATTGGAAAATGAACTTAAAAATGCTCTTGTTTTTTTTTGCAAGAATTTCTTACTGACTCGTCGGGATCGTTGTATACAGTAAAGCTACTGGTACTGGGTTTGGCGTCCATTATTTCTAATTTTGGCGTTTGGATACGACTGATATATTCAAAAAGTCTACAATACACTTCTTCCGCAAAAGCAATGAGTGCAGTTTTACTCAAATTCGAAATAAGAACACGTCTCGAGTCTCGATCCCAAAAGTTTCGGGACCCGTGACAACCAAAACAAAAAGATCCAAACCGAAAAAGAGTGCTCTGAGACCTTTTAAATTATGCCGTTATTATACTTTCTTTTAACATTTCCACAGTAAATTCACAACTTACATGGGCCATATACGTATAAAGCATCCGTCCGACTTTGTCTGTGCTCTCTGCGGGTACACTTTTGTGAGTGAGAAAGGTATTGAGTTGCACAAAAAGTTGAAACATCGCCTTGATGATGGATTGGTAAGAAAATATACCTTATACTATCGATCAAAAAAGCACTATATACACAATCCCATGCAAAATTTCTCTTAAAACTGTCACCGATTGTGTTTAGGTAATTGTTTTAGTTGAAATAAATATACAACTATGTCTTAAAGTTGTTTTCATATCATTTTTTTTAATTAAAAGCGCGCTCAAATGTTCAAATGAGCGCTCATTCGTTGAGGACATTTTATGTATGTAGTACTTTTTTGATCGATGCTCTATGCATATAATAAAATAGTGACTTAGCAAAATCTGTATATGAAATATTTTTTAAAAACAATGACTATAACGCATTGTGTACAGAATATAGATCCCTATAATGGCTATTGAAATTTTTGTTTGTATGTCTGTATGATTGTTTGCATTTCACGCAAAAAGTTCTGAACCGATTTCAACTAAGTTATGTACAGTGATAACTTATTATTCGGGTCCATATTTAGGATACTTTTGACTATAGGTAAATCTTTCATTCTCATGGGAAAACACAATAACTGGTTCTGTTAAGTCGTTCTTAGAATTCATGTCTAACGCTGGTTAAACCTTAAGAGATAATCAAAACAACGTACTAGAATATTTTAGGTCTTAAAAAGGTCTACAAAAATGTCGTATCTCCTAAGGTACATTCGCAATAACTATAATTTATATTTATATAAAACGTACGCAGGGATCAACCTGAGCGAAACCACTATAAGTAGCTAGTTTTATATATAATACTTTTGTTCAAACAATGCCTTTAAAATCTATTTAAATTTCAAATTCCGCTTTGTTGAGTGGATTTATTTATTTTTATTTTTTTATAATTCACATCGCATCGCTCTTTCTCTCTCTTCATCTCTTTCTGTCTCATTATAAGAGTGAGAAAAGAGAGAGTGTAATGCAATCTATGTCCTTGCCATATTTCGTCGGGACTCGAACCCAGAACCGTACAAACAAAAATACACATACATACTTACAATTTATGTTTTAGATACCAGAAGACGGTCCACTCTGTGAACTTTGCAATGTCAAATTCGTCTCTCAAGACGCGTATAGACGACATCTGCACGTGTCTGCGAGGCATAATAATAGTGACTCGTAAGTATAGTGTTTTTTAGAACGGAATGGATTGTACAATGTAATAAATTTTATATGCTCTCTCTCCCTCACTCACTGTCATGGCGGCGTGTGCATTGTAAATTAAAGTGCTCTGTTCAAAATAAAATACTTAAATCTTGATCTGTTATAATGCGTGTGTTCAGCAGGGCTCGGAACCGGTTTAAAAAAACGATTTAATTCATCGTTCGTTCTTTAACCGGTTAATGAAAACGAACGGCTTAGTAAACCGAAATAATAATGGTCCGTTAACCATTTTTTATTCTTAGAGAAAGATTCTATTTCAGTTTTTATACTGAAATGAACCGGTTAATTCATTCATAAGTAAGAAACATATATCCTTCTACTAAGCCATTTACCATTAGCAAAGACGCGCCAAATATAAAGATACAAAAACTCATTTTAACCGGTTAATTTTGGTCATGGAACCCAAATTCGTCAAAAACCGATCCAAACCATAAACTGAAAGCAAACCGGTTTAAAAATTGAACGGGTTTCCAAGCTCTGGTGTTAAGAGCTTACATCGATGCTCAATAGATGGCGTTACGATCTGTCTGAATTTGGTCATTAAAAAAGCATATAGGGTTTAATTTTAGGATTCCGTACACGAAGTGTGCCAACAGAACCCTATAACTAAGCCTCCGCTGTCCGTCCGTCTGTCAGAGGCCTGTATCTCATGAACCCTAATAGGTAGAGAGTGGAATTTTCACAGATATTTCTATTGCTGCTATAATAACAAATAATAAAAAAATCATGGTGGCGAATTTCAAAAAGGTTGCCATGCAATTAAAAAATAATCGATTATGGTACGGAACCCTCCGTGTGCATATTTACAGTTTTATTTATTACATCAACTGGCTTCAGGTAACACTACTGGATTATCCTAAGGCCTTTTTGCGACGGTGTGTTTGTGTGTCAAAATCGGTCCAGCAGTTGCGAAGATCAGCCGGAACAAACAGACCGACAGACAAAAAATTTAAAATTGTATTTATCTTATAAGTTCCGTATATAATTTCATATGAATTTAGTGAAAAGCTGTTATTTTAACATTACAAAGAGACACTTCAATTTTATTTATTTACCTGTATAGATTATAATTTATGTATTCCATATCAAATATTCAATGATTTTCTTCAGAGATTCCAAGGATTCGAACAGAGCCAGACGAGGTAGGAGGTCGAAGGAGTTAAAAGATGTAGACAGCAAGAGGGATAGGAGTAGAGAAGGCAGTGAGAAGAGAAAAGTGTATCCGAGTCAAGTGAGAAAGGCAGAGGGTCCTATACCGTGTGAACAGGTATGTATATGTATTTATTTATTTATTTATTTATGTACTAGAGTAATATTTTAATAATATAATATATTTAAATTTTAATAATATAATATAGTAGAGTAATATTTTAATTTTTAAGACATTTTCCATACAGTGCGGTTTACAGTTGGAAGATTCCAGAGCGTATCACGGTCACTTCAGAAGAATGCACCCGGACAAGAATCGAACCAAGTACCCCTCTATGAAATCACCTTGTATGTGCGAAGTGTGCGGGCGAATGTTCCAGGTGAGTTAGAGGAAAGAGATCAAAATCATGTTTTTTTTTTCAAATTAATATTTTTTTTTATAAATATGTGAATATTTTGATTTTAAATAATTGTAAAGTAAATTAATATTAAAATCTTTTTTTTTTTTACTTTTTAAATTGAATATAGAATAATAATATTGTCTAAATAATATTAAATCAAATTAAAATATACTTTATTCATACAGACTTACAAGCACATTTGAATAGTTATTTTATATTCAAACTAGCTAGTCACTCTCGCTTCGCTCGAGTTCGTCCTTAGGTCGATTTCCCATTCAAACTTTCATCCCCATTTTCACCCCCTTAAGGGATGATTTCCAGTATAAAAACTATCCTATGTCCTTCCCAGGGTGTCAAACTATGTCCATACGAAATCGGTTTCATCTAAATCGGTTCAGTAGATCCAAAGATTATCCCGTACAACGTCTCTCAAAGTCACAAACTTTACCTCAGATAATCGGATAATCTCTGAAACGGCTGGTCTGATTTTGACGGGACTTTCACTGGAAGATAGCTGATGTTATAGGGAGTGACATAGGCTACTTTTATTTTAGAAAAAGAATTAGGGTTCCGCTCAAAAAAATGAAAACGTACCTAGGGACGAACTCGAGCGAAGCGTGGGTGAGTCGCTAGTATTAGTACAGGTAAATTATGCTGCATAATGCGCTTTAGAGCTCCAATTGGAAAACTACCTATAAAACTAGCTACTGTAGCCTGTACATCACAGAGCTACGCCCTGCTGAAGGACCACCGGTGGACGCACACCGGGGAGCGCCCGTTCGCGTGCGAGGCGTGCGGCAAGGCCTTCCGCATGCGCCAGCGGCTCGTGGCGCACCGCCGCGTGCACGCCGCGCGCCGCCAGTACGCCTGCGCGCTCTGCGGGAAGACCTTCTCCACGCACAGCAACCGCCAGAGGCACATGTTTGTGAGTATTGGGGGAGGAGGGAGGGGGGGACGGGGCGGGGTAGAGGCCCCCCCTCTTCCCCGCCCCGGGGTGAGAGGGAGAGAAGGTATGTTACAGATGTTGTGCTGAAAGACGTTCTCCACGCACAGCAATAAGCACGAGGCATATGTTTGTGAGTGAGGGGGAGAGTGAGTGTGTGTTTTGGCAATAAGGAAGACTCCGTTTTTTTTTTCAAACAAATCAATTTTATTACGTTTAATACAATTTGTAAATACAACGTGCGCGTGCGACGATTCCGTGATAACAAATATAATAATTGAGTAACAAACATCCATCCATCCAAACTTTCGCAATTTATAATATTTTATATGTCTCATTTACCTTCATCTTTTATCCTAATTATTCCGCATAATAATTAAATTTCATTGATATATACTCGTATTTAATGTCCTCAGATCCACACGGGTTTGAAGCCGTTCAAATGCGAAATGTGCGGGAAGTGTTTCAAGCACGCCAGCGAGAAGCGTGCTCATATAACTTACGTGCACCTCAAGAAGCCCTGGCCCAAACGGGCGAGGGCTAAACGCAGGGAGAGACCGGTGAGTGGGGTTGTATGTATGCATGCATGTACACACATACACAGGGGCGGATTGTGAATTTGGGGGGCCCTTGGACTAACACTTCTTGGGGGCCTTAAATAATTGTCATTTTGTCTTTCTATAAATGATAGATGGTACTAGATGAAATTAAAGTAATGCTATTGTTTGGTTCTTAATTATTGATTTATAGGGTGTAATTTTTATTTTCTTTTATTTTAGATAATTTTGTATTTTATAAATTCACAATATTTACCAATATTATTAAGAGGGGTCCCTTTATATCTTAGGGGCCCTGGGCTGCAGCCCAAAAAGATTATGTATAGATCCGCCCCTGTACATACACAACACACAATAAGCACGCGCACATAAAACTCGAAAATAGTAGCGTGATTTGCTGTTTAGGTTACTGTTCTCGATTTTGCCAGATCGTTTACTTTCTTCAAAGAATAAGGGATTTTCATATAGGTACTAGCGAATCATTCGTCCCTAGCATGCTTCTTCATACAAAGGATCATGCCCATTCTCACCCCCTTAAGGGATGATTTCCGGCATAAAAACTATTTCACTCACTCACTTTTCATATCATGAGATTTAAAAAAACATATTTTTGTAAAAAATAAAAAAATTTTTTTTTTTCTACACAAACCTTGTCCTGACACTTACAGACACAAAAAAAGAATTATCCAATTTAGTGCAGTCGATCGCAAGTTATGCGTGTACATACATTTCGGTGATTCATTTTTATTTATATATTTTAGTTGTTAATAATTAATATACAATATTTGAAAATATAAATAATAAAAATAATACTATATTCTTTTGTATTTTTGAGCATTAATTCTCTTTAATAAGTTATTATTATTTTTTCTTTATTATAATTAATAGAATCCGTCAGCTAATTTTATTTATTAAAATTTATTTACTTAACACTCAGTATACACACGAATGCGCGCCCATTTGAACACTTGAGCGCACTTTTAATAATTTTTTTTGTGAAAACAAATTTAAGCATTGCTTTTAAGGTTTAATTTACATTGTTGTATTTTCAATTCGAATATTTATCTAAACACAATTGGTGACGGTAAAACCTTTCGTATAAATAAAAGAGATGTAATATATTTAATTTTTTTTTATTAGGGTCAAGCGCAAGAAATTGAGGAGGCTGGCAGTGAAGTGCATATGGCCCCAGTTTGGCCTCAACAGGATCTCAAATCTACGTATTGTCATCTTAGAGTGTAAGTAAAGCAGCTATGACTAAGGATGTGAATGGATGGGTGCGCGTTTTGGACAAAAAATGTGGTTTAGTTTGTTATTTAAATTGTTTTCGGTTATGTGAATGTGAATATCATTTTGATTTTTGTATTTTATATTGTATTATGTAAAATTAACGTTTTAGTTAGTTTGTTCAGGTTAAGCGTAGGTAAGTGTGGCTGGAATTGGATGGGTGGTCGATTTTTGTATTTCTGGTTTTGTACTAAATACGTATTAGTGGATCTGGTTTTGATATTACGTCGAGTTGTCTGAGTATTAATTATTTGATGAATTGATTGGTTCTTATTAAGGTTAAGTGACAGTATGTGCGGAAATAAGTGGATGGGTTTTAGAAATACTAGCGTTTTTTTGTTGTATTTTTCTAATGAAATAACGACAGTGCTTTATGAAACAGTGTCATGATTTTTTTCTTTTGGATAAAAAAATTTAAAACTCTTAGCATTCCGAACATCGAGAACCAAAAATCAAAATAAATCCGCAAAAAATACGAAAAGATAGTTTAATTTAATATTTTTATTTGTGAATTAAATAATAACTTACTCGTATCTTATTTTAGCAAAAATCTTTCTATATAATCCCTCTATCTGTTGGCGAAAACTGTATTAAAATCCGTTCAGTCGATATTGAGATTAACGCGAACAAACACAAACTTATAATATTTAGTGTTTTTGAAAAGGTTATTCGAATTAATTTAAGTTGATAGCATATTACGTGTATTGGAAAAAGCAATAAATATTTAAGTGAGAATGGATGACGTTTTTTTGTAATTTGAAATAATATGCACATTGATATATAAAAACTCAAAATATACAATTATCGTCTCAAAGGTGTCCTCAAAAAGAAGTGCACAATCCAAAATTGTGCGCTTTTTTCAAATCTCTTTTGTTCATTACTTTTCGGACGACAAAATCAAAACGCACGATGTTTCGTTTAAAAATGTACTTTAAGTGGTGTGCGTAAGTTCGAATTTGTGTTTAGACAATTAGAACTTTGATTTTTGAATGTTATTCTTTGGTTTGACTTAACGTCATGTCGGCAACACTTTTTGAAGAGATATTTGTTAGGAAATGTGTATGTATGTTTTTATATATCAATGTATAATGTACATATGTGCATGTATATTTGGGAATATAAAATGTTATTTTTATTTGATTTGGTTAAACGTTTGTACGTACGGCAGTAAATGGATGGGTGAGCAATTTAAGAAATTATTTATTTTTTGTATTTGTGAATAATTTTCAATTTTTGTACGCGATTCGGTCAAGCTATTTTGATAGAAGCGGCATGTGGATGGGTGGACATTTTATAAACTGATTAATAAATAACAATGTATTTATTATAACTATAATAATAAAATGATTTTTTGATAATTTTGTTTGTTAATTCTAACCTTACTTTTCTTTTACCTTTTGAAATTTCAAAATAGTTGTGTTAAACTTAATTAAAAAAAAAAATTGGTTATCAAATTATTAAAAATTTTAACAAAAATTAAACTGAATTTCTTAGAATAAATGGTTAAAGAAACTCGGTGAGACCACAATATACCAATACTATTCAAAATGCGTGCGCCTAATCTTTACGCGCGGTTGAAGTAAAAGTTCTTTGGCAAATATCGCAATAAAATTAAAACAAATCAATAATTAAATAAGGCAAAATATTGCGCATATTACAGTCATATACATATTTATAGAATAATATCTCTTCCAAGTGTCGTCACGGTAATGTTATATGTAACATTACCGTGGTGTCGTCGACATGTGACGTTAAGCCAAACCAAAGAATAACATTCAAACATCGAAAGTTCTAGTTATCTAAACACAAATTCGAACTTACGCACACCACATAAAGTACTTTTTTAAATGATACGACGTGAAAAGTAATGAACAAAAGAGATTTGGAAAAAGCGCACAACTTTGAATTGTGCACTTCTTTTCGAGGACACTTTTGAACTGATTCTGTCTTGAGTTTTAGTATATATTGATTGATATACAAACATAATAAACATATAGGCGAAAGATAAACTTGTACAAGTCTTCTCCATTGTACTTGACATTGACGAACACGGCACACTTTGAAGACATTAACAAGAGAATTGAATTTAAACTTATGCAAGCGCTTTTGTACCGTCAATATATTTTAAAGACAGTGTAGTCCATGAGGAAGCTACCACCGGTTATTATATTGTTCTATATTATCTTTTCTCTCTAGAAAAACAAAAAAAAATCTATCCCACGGGAACCGAAGATTTTTCCGCGATATAAAGTAACCTATGTACTATTTTAGACTATAATCTATCTCTGTGCCAAATTTTATCCAGATCCGTTCAGCCGTTCTGACGTGATTGAGTAACAAACATACTAAAGTCTAAACTTTCACATTTATAATATTAGTAAGATTGTTAGTTAATTTTGTTATTATTTAATGCTTCTATAATATAATAAACATTAATTTAGGTAAAGGAAAATACAATAAAGCGTTCTTATACTTTTATTACATTTTTGTAACATTGCTAATTATTGTTAAACATAATAAAACGAGTTTGTACATGACATTTATAGATGGCGCTGTTTACATTTTAGAAATTGTTTACCACGGTTTTAGTTCAAGATATTAACATGGAAATTTGTTTTAAATAATAAAAAAATAATTTGGTTATGTTTTACATATTTTAGTAAATATTCAATTAAAAATAAAATAGTTCGAAATTTTGAAAATCAACAGCACTAGGTACGGGAGTGAAACACCGCCAAATTCCCAACTCCGGGCTGTTACATACAATTTCTTGAAGGAAAAACTAAATTTGGCCCGATACGGGCCTCGAACCCAGAACCTCTTAAGCCGTACATGCTAGCTAATAAAGCAATTAAAGGAAAGCGAAATAAAACTAATAATAATATAACAAAAATTAAATTATATTTAATACAAAATTTAGATTTGCGCAGACGTAATAACATGATTTGTCTCTGGATAGCCGTCTTCTTCTTGTTCTTCTTCGTCGAATTCGACTTCATCGTCATCGACATGAGCCTCCTGCAGACGAAGTTTTTTTAGTCAAAAAATTGTATGTCTGTTCGTATGAAAAATTCTTCTATACATACTCGTATGATAAAATTCTGAGTCAAATCTGTACATTAAATATTTTTTGGAAAATCTTATTGAAATAGTCATTATTATCGAATGAATCTGTATTTAGAATTCTTGTCTGTCTGTCTGTGACCGCATCACGAGTAAACTACTGGACAGATTTTGATAAAATTTGGTATGATGATAGCTGGTTATCCGGGTCAACATATTGGAAAATATCTCATATCTGAGAAACCTATACTAAACGTTAAAACGTAACTATAGGGTCGAATTCGAGCGGAGCGAGGGTGAGTCGCTTGTTAAATATATATGTATAGTCCCTACACGACTTTTTCCCATACATTGTATTGCTTGTTTCGACAACACATGGCCGTAAAGGAACTCAACGGCCTGTTTTTCTCGACTTTAAATAAAATTATTAGAATCTCTGACAGTTTTTTTTTATTGGAATAAAAAAATAGCACTCGGCGGTAATGTAGCTTCCTAGTAGTGAAAAAAATTCAGATAGTTTTTGCGGTAGAAGATTTGCGTTGCGGGACTTGTATTTTTTTATAAGTTGTTTTTCATTGGATTTATATTTTTAATTATTAAAAAAGTACATGATATTAGTATTAGTACCTTGGCGACCGAGCTCGCTCGGAGTTTTTGGCCAAAAGTACAATTTTCTTTTTAATTTGGCTTAAAAACAAAAAAAAACAATAATAAAACCTTTGTATCCCACCGGGATTCGAACCCGGACACCTGTGATTATCAATCTTGCGCCTTGGTCGCCAGATCACATAAAAAAATTCTAGATCGCTTTTTCGCCCCCGAAAACCCCCACATACCAAATTTCAGCGAAATTGTTAGAGCCGTTACCGATATCGCCGGTATAAATAAATATACAAGAATTGCTCGTTTAAATATATTAATTACTATTATTATATAATAATTGTGGTAATACCTGATACTGTTGGTACTCTGAGATGAGGTCGCTCATGTTGCTGGCTGCTTCAGTGAACTCCATCTCGTCCATACCCTCGCCGGTATACCAGTGGAGGAAAGCCTGGGGGTAAGTATAGTTTTAATATATTTATACTATATAATATGTTGGTACATTAACACACAGCACCATCTAGTTCCATGGTAAGCTACGAGGCCTGTGTTATGGATAACAGATAGTTGATACACTACACATATATAACTTTAAATACATACATATAACGACCCATGATTGGATTACATACATTTGTGCTCATCACACAAATGAATGCCCCCAGCGGCACTCGAACCCGCGACCGCTAGCACAGCAAGTAGGGTCACTATAAACTGACGCAAACGTGTTGTCAAATATGAAACAAAGTCGTTGTTTTCGTCTGTCTGTTTCTCCGCTTACTTCTTCTAAACCACGCAATGGATTTTGATGCGGTTTTCACTAATAAAATCAGCGATAAACGAGGAAGGTTTGTATATATAATTTGTAAAAAATGACTAAGCCCTAGAGGACACACAACGTGCACTTTCTGTCCCTTTCACTCTAACATTTCGATGAGACAAAAAATGGTCATTCGCAGTGAGAAAATAACACCGTCGACTTCCCAGCTCTCCAACTGGCCGTTCCTTCCTCATAAAAAGAGATTTTCCTCATAAAAACTCCATACTTATCCCGATTCCGGCCTCGAACCCAGCACCCCAAATCCTTAACCGTACATGCTAACCACTAAACCAACGAAACAACTAACTTACCCGTCTTCTGAACATGGCTGTAAATTGTTCAGATATGCGTTTGAAGATCTCCTGTATCGCGGTAGTATTTCCAATGAAGGTAGCTGACATCTTCAGACCTCTGGGAGGGATATCGCAGACTGCTACCTTCAAGTTGTTGGGGATCCATTCTACGAAGTAGCTGTGGAGGAAAATATGGCTTTAAGTCCAGTATCTGTAAGTATGACAATTAGGCTATATTATATTCAGCCTTTCTTAACGTCCCACTGCTGGGCACGGGCCCCCTTCAATACGAGGGGGATCAGGTCATAGTCCACCACGCTGGCCAAGTGCGGGTTGGCGGACTTCACATGTCTTTCGAAAACTTGTTAGGTTATCTCAGACATGCAGGTTTCCTCACGATGTTTTCCTTCACCGTAAGACAAGTGGTAATCATGTTGAATATGATTCGCACATAAAAACATCAGAGGTGCGAGACCCGGGATTTGAACCCGCTTCACTCGGTTACCCAAGCGAGCGCGTTACCACAGGGTCAATAATTTCATAACAAACTAGGGAGTCACCCTCGCTGCGCTTGGAATGGCACGTTTTATCGGTTAGTATAGATTTCTCAGAGATGAGTTATTTTCTAGGACCGATTTTGACGGGACTTTTACTGGTATATAGCTGATGTTATAAGGAGTAACTTAGGCTACTTTTATTTTAGAAAAAGAATTAGGATTCCGCTCAAAATAATTAAAACTCACTCGAGCATAGCGTGGGTCGTTAGTCTATACATATAAAAAAATCTCAGTCGAATCTGTACATAAAATATTTTTTTGGAAGATCTTATTGAAATAATCATTATTATCGATACAGAGGCTGAATATAGAGTTATTAAAATTTTTGTCTGTCTGTCTGTGACCGCATCACGAGAAACCCACCAGACAGTTGATAAAATTTGGTATGTCGATAGCTGGGTTTTCGTATTCGGGTCAACTTATTATGTAAGCTTTTACTGCGGCAAAATATCTCATCTCTAAGTGTATATTAACCGCTAAAACGTACTAGGGACGAACCCGAGCGGAGCGTGGGTAAGTCGTTAGTATCAAAACACAAGCAAACATACCTGGAGTTCTTATTCTGTATAGCCAGTATCTGATCGTCCACCTCTCTCATGGACATCCGTCCGCGGAACATGGTGGCCACGGTGAGGTAGCGGCCGTGGCGCGGGTCACATGCAGTCATCATATTACCGGGGTTGAACATCTGGATTTACATCAAAAGCTTGTGTATTTGTCGATTAATTGATGTTTTAGAAGGTACTTTAGTTTGGGTGTTATTGTGTGTTTTAACGTTTAACATTTTTTTAACGTCCCATTGCTAGTAACGGCACCCCATATACTACAAGGGGGATCAGGCCACCACGATAGCCAAGTGCAAAGTGCAGGGTGAACTTATTAAGATAGATTTTTTAAATAAAACTGTCTTTTCGGATTATGTCGCGGATTCATTTTTATTTTTGAAATCATTTTGGAAAATTGTGAAACAAGTATATATCGCCTTTGAGACGTCTAAAACCTCGGTCTTTCTCGTGACCATGATTGCTGTAAAGCATTGGAAACGTCGGGAACCAAAAATCTAAATAAATATTAGCGTAAATCTAACAAACTTTGATTGATTTTTAAAAGGTAATCAATTTGGGTGCTATTGTGTGTGTGTCGTGAGATATTACTAATTTTGCATCGATTTCCATAATCTATGCTAATATTATAAAGAAGCAGAGTTTGTTTGTTTGTTTGTTTGAACGCACTAATCTCAGGAGCTACTAATCCGATTTGAAAAATTCTTTTTGCATTAGATAACCCGTTCATTGAAAAAGGCTATAAGGCTATATATCATCATGCTACTACCCAAGGGAGCGGAGCAGTAATCATAAATGTCAACAAATCGGGCAGACTTCCATACATTATTGTAAAACTGATGTTTATAATCAAACAAATTTAACGCTGGTGAAATCGCGGCACACAGCTAGTCCTTTAATAGGGATAGGCTTCAGTTGTAATTATTTATAGTGAAAAGTGTATTTTTAACCCCTGACGCAAAAACGATGGGGTGTTATAAGTTTGACGTGTCTGTATGGGGCACCGTAGCTCCCGAACGGATGAACCCATTTTGATTTTGTTTTTTTTTTGTTTGAAAGGTGAATTAGCCGGGGGTATTTTTAGCTATGTTTGATGAAAATCTGTCCAAGATAGTTGGGGGGTTTTTAAATTTTAAATTGAATATTAGTACAAAATGTATATATTATTCAAACTAACCTGGCTCATGAGTTCTGGAACGTTCTGGGCGCGGTAGTTGAAAGAGTTCTTTGCAGTCAGCGGGGCGAAGCCTGTAAAGAAAACATGAATGTAAATATTTCTTTATTATATATGCGTATAATAAAATTCTAACTGAGTCGAATCTGTACATTAAATATTTTTTGGAAAATTTTATTGAAATAGTCATTATTATCGATACAGAGGCCGAATTTAGAGTATTTAAAAATTTTGTCTGTCTGTGACCGCATCACCAGAAAACCTAACTAGACAAATTTTGATGAAATTTGGTATGATGATAGCTGAATCGGGTCTACATATAGGATACCTTTTACTGCAAGAAAATATCTTATCTCTGAGAAATCTATACTAAACTTTAAAACGTAAGTAGGAACGAACCCGAGCAGAGCGAGGGTGAGTCGCTAGTATATTATATTTTCGGTTAAGTCTATAATATACTCACCAGGCATAAAGAAGTGCAGTCTTGGGAATGGCACCATGTTGACGGCGAGCTTACGTAAATCAGCATTCAACTGTCCTGGGAAACGTAGACATGTTGTCACACCCGACATTGTTTGCTGAAATTGAATAATTTTGGTTTACTAAAAAAATTACTACATATCTCTATACAAATAAATAAAATTGAAGTGTCTTTGTGTAATGTCAAAATAACAACTTTTTATTAAATGCATATGAAATTATATACGGCACTAATAAGAAAAAAGTATTTTTATTTTTTTTGTCTGTCTGTTTCTTCCGGCTAAACTAAGAAATGGCTGGGCTGATTATGACGGGAATCCGGAAAGATAGTTTTATTTAAAACTAGCGACTTCCCCAGCTTCGCTCGGGTACATTAAATTTTTTTGAGCGGAACCCTAATTCTTTTTCTAATATAAAAGTAGTCTAAGTTACTCCTTATAACAACAGCTATCTGCCAGTGAAAATTCCGTCAAAACTTGTCCAGTCTTTTCGGGGATTATCCGGAACAAACAGACAAGACAAAAATTTAAAAAATGTTTTTTTTCTTATTAATACCATATTATATACTTTCATATTCATTTAGTAAAAAGCTGTTATTTCCACATTACAAACAGACACTTCAATTTAATTTATCTACACGTATATCGATGTCAAATATTGGCGTAAATCTAAGAAAATATATCAAAAATATAGAAAAACAATTAAAATTAAATTTAAAACTTACTGAAATCAAATGATTTAGGTCTCCATAGCTCGGACTGCTCAGACGTAGTGTTCTGAAGCAGATGTTATATAAAGCTTCATTATCGATACAGAAGGTCATATCTGTGTTTTCTACCAACTGATGTACGGATAGAGTTGCGTTGTATGGCTCCAAGACCACTTCGCTGACCTGGAAAAAAGGTTCTTTATTAATATTTTCATTAAATGATTATTTAGATATGACGTATGACCCAACTTGCTATGCCAGCGGTCGCGGGTTCGAGTCCTGCTGGATTCATTTGTGTGATGAGCACGAATGTTTGTACTCCAGTCGCGTGTGTTTATATTTTAAAATTATAATATATATATTTATAATTATATATGTGTATATCAACTATCTGGTATCCAAAACACAGGCATCATAGCTTACCATGGAACTAGATGGTGCTGTGTGTTAATGTACCAACATATTTATCGCATTACCAGTAAACTAACAATGCTATCAAGAGAATTACCTTAGGTGAAGGCACAACACTGAACGTGGTCATGATACGATCGGGATACTCTTCACGAATCTTGCTGAGGAGAAGTGTTCCCATACCAGAACCAGTGCCACCTCCCAAAGAGTGAGTTAGTTGGAATCCTGCAAGTAGAATACTAATATAATTGCTAAAGTTTGTGTGTATGTTTGTCACTCTTTCACGCTGTAACGGCTGAACAGATTTGGATGTTTACTACACAGATTATGACTTGGATAACAACATAGGCCACAATTAGTAATAAAATTAGCCAAAAGGTGGCACTATATGTATATCTATACCCATACTTAATATTATAAATGTGAAAGTGTGTTTGTTTGTTGTACTAAGAGTAACATATAGGCTACTGTGAGTCGCCTAAGGATGAACCCGAGTGGATTCGCTATCTAGCTTGCTGCTAGTTTACCTATACATATAACAAAATTCTAGCTGAGTCGAATCTGTACATTAAATATTATTTGGAAAATCTTATTGAAATAGTCATTATTATTGTTACAAATGGCGAATCTATAGTTTTTTGAATTCTTGTCTGTCTGTCTGTTACCGCATCACAGAAAAACAACTGGAGGGATTTTGATGAAATTTGGTATGGTGATAACTGGTTATCCGGGTCAACATATAGGATACTATTTACAGCAGGAAAATATCTCATATCTGAGAAATAGTACAAAAACTGCATTGTAAGAGTATACTTATATGTAAAACCTAAGAATTTGATTTTTGGTCATCTGAACGCGGGCAGAGCCGTGGGCAATGCTAGTAAACTATAAATTAAAATAACTCTATCTGTTTGTCACCTTGTCACGCTTAATCTGCTAAACAGATTTTGATGAAATTTGGCATGAACATAGAATATATCATAGAGACGGATATAGGCTAACTGTTATCCTCACCACATTTACAATGCGAGTGGAGCCGTATGGAAGAACTAGTTACATTCGTACCAACATACAACATTTACTTGTTAATACATTTTCATGGGACAGTTAAACACACGCATGCAGAGTCATAGGCAAATTACTATACCTTGTAAGCAATCGCATCCTTCGGATTCTTTTCTGATGACATCCAGTACTGAGTCTACGAGCTCTGCACCTTCTGTGTAGTGACCTTTCGCCCAGTTGTTACCTGTTAGAAGATTTATAAATAAATAAATATGTTGGTACATTAGCACACAGCACCATCTAGTTCCATGGTAAGCTACGAGGTTAAATTTAGTCTATTATATCGTTTATAGGTTTTTTTTTATATGTGCAATTGGCCTACTTTTATAATTATTAAAGTTTATGTCTATATGTCATAAATCAAAAAAGTACTAGATACACAATCCCATGCAAAAGTTCTCTTAAAATTGTCACCGATTGTGTTTAGGTGTTTATTTTAGTTGGAATAAATATACAACAATGTAAATTGAACCTTAAATGCAATTCTTAAAATTGTTTTCACAATAAAAATTTACATTAAAAGCGCGCTCAAATGTTCAAATGAGCGCTCATTAGGTGAGGATGTTTTTTGTCGCTGATTGTTTATCTAATACTTTTTTGATCGATGGTATATGTCTGTCTGTTACTTCACACTAAAATGGTTGGACGGATTTGGATGAAAATTAGTATTCAGATAGACTTTTAGTCTATGCCTGGAGTTAGGTAAAGCCACTTTATAGACACCTAGCACATCCAAGCAAAGCAAGGGTAAGTTGCTAATCTATACATATAATAAAATTCCGAGTCGAATCTGTACATTGAATATTTTTATTTTATTGAAATAGTCATTATTATAGAAACAGAGGCCGAATTTATAGTTTTTAGAATTTATGTATGTCTGTCTGGGAACACGAGAAAACCAACTAGATAGATTTTGATGAAATTTGGTATGATGGTAGCAGGTTATCCGGGTCAACATATAGGATACTTTCTACTGCGGGAAAATATAACATCTCTGAGAAATCTATACTAAACATTAACACCGATATCTATAACATAATTAAGTTGCTAGTTGTTGGAAAGTAAGAATGCAACCAAATTATTATATTTTGATAATTAAGTTGGCAACATCTATGATCTGTCAATGTAAACTATATAAGACGCGTCATGTAAGCTAACTGCTATTAATATATGTTTGTTATCATTCCATCGGTTATTTTATTTATTTCCACAAAAATATCATCTCTAGTAAAAATTAATATGAAGGTACATCCTTACCTGCACCACTTTGTCCAAAGACAAAGTTATCTGGGCGGAACAGTGCTCCGTATTTGCCAGATCGCACCGAGTCCATGGTCCCGGGCTCCAAATCGACGAGAACTGCACGGGGCACATATTTACCTAAAAAAATTATAAAAGTTTAAAATAAATGCATAATTTTCCAGTAAGTATATTATGTAAATAAACTAAATTATGAATGCGAAAGTAACTCTGTCTGTTTGTTTCGTGGTCACGTCTAAACTATTGAAGCAATTTTAATGATTTTTGTTATAGCGATAGATATGCCTCTGTTAACTTAAGAGAACAATATTCAAATCATGTAACCAATTTAAAAAAGTCTAAGTAATAACTTCGAATTGTAAAATTGGCACTGCACCAGATCTCGCACTCTCATAAAAGAATAAGAGAAGTAAAATAAAAAAATTCTTACCGCTGGAAGCTTCATTGTAGTATACATTCAGTCTCTCTAACTGAAGATCGCTCTCTCCTCGATACACTCCGCTGGGATCGATCCCATGTTCATCTGATATAATCTCCCAGAACTAACAAAAAAGAAATAATAGATTATATATATATATATATATATATTAGCATAGCTTTTTCAGAAGAGATTATTATCATTATAAAGATTTGGAGGACGATCATTGACGAGAAACGCTTTCAAATATATATATATTTTTAAAAGCGTATATATATATATATATATATATTTATCTCTATTTTTATTTAGTAACTTTTGTCCTTTTCGGACATGTCAGTCCCATCGTATCTTAACCTACGTACAGCATCACATATATATTATGGAAAAATGGAAATAGTTTCAATGTTGCAAAACCATATCCACCAAAATTGTAACAACATCACTTTTAAAAATTCTAGACCCAAAAGTTTCTATATCTGTGTTTAGCCCTTATTAACGTCCCATTGGGCCAACGTGGTGGACTATCGCCTGTTTGCCCTCCTACTGAATGAAGGCCCGTGCCCAGCAGTGGAACGTTAAAAAGGGCTGAATACATATGATAAATTATGTAAAAATAAATCCGAAAACCACTTAAGGGCTTATGAAATCTATACATATAATACAATTGTAACTAAGTCGAATCTGTACAATAAATATTTTTTGGAAAATCAAATTGAAATAGACATTATTATCAATACAGAGTCCAAATCTATAGTTTTTAGAATATTTGTCTGTCTGTCTGTTATCGCATCACGAGAAAACCGCTGGACAGATTTTGATGAAATTTGGTATGATGATAGCTGGTTATCCAGGTCAACATATAGGATACTTTTTAATGCGGAAAATATCTCATTTCTGAGAAAAATTACAAAAACTGCATTGTAAGAGTATACTGATATGTAAAACCTAAGAATTTGGTTTTTGGTCATTTGAATGCGAGCGGAGCCGCGGGCAATGCTAGTGATAAATAAGTATGTACGCTTTAATCTAAAACCTTATGGAGGACAGACAAGCAGTATATTGACAAAGTACTCGTTTGGAAAGCGAAGTGTTGCGGTTTCAAATCCTGAGTCGGACATCTCAGTTATATGTAACAGATAGACCTGGACTAAGATATACTATTGTAAGACTTATAGTATGTTAAATATATACGTGTTAAATGTATTATATATACATGTGCCCAGCAGTGGGATTAAAAAGGGCTGAATACGTGTGGGCTGAACCGTACAAAATTACTAGTATAAAAGGTATGACTATGCGAGTACCTTGATGGCAGTTGTCAACCATTATCAATTAAATGATAATATTCATTTTACACTTGATATTTAATGGCTTAGTTGATAAGTTACCTTATTAGTGGCTATTTTAGTATAAAATCTATACATATAATAAAATTCTAAATGAGTCAAATCTGTACAATGTACATTAAATATTTTTTGGAAAATCTTATTGAAATAGTCATTATTATCGATACAGAGGCCGTATCTATAGTTTTTAGAATTTTTGTCTGTCTGTCTGTCTGGGAACGCATCACGAAAACCAGTGGATGGATTTTGATGAAAATTGGTATGGTGATAGCTGGTTATCCGGGCCAACATTAAGGATATCTGAGAAATATATTTTAAACGCTAAAACGTAACTAGGGACGAACCCGAGCGAGAGTGAGTCGCAAGTCTTAGTATAAAATGTTAAGTAAAAAGTTGGGGGGAAAAAACGGAAAAAAGGAAAAAATAGAACCAAGCAGGATTCGATTTGATTAAATTTATCTTATATTCAATGTTCCAAATGTAGCAAAATTTTTTCTTTAATCGCTACTTACTACTACAAATGCGAATGTTTGTGTCAATGTTTGTTATTCATTTATACTGAAACGGCTGTATAATTGAAGTCAGCTATCAGGATGCGTTCCCAGACAGACAGACAGACATACAAAAAATCTAAAAACTATAGATTCGACCTTTGTATCGATATTAATGACTATTTCAATAAGATTTTACAAAAAAATATTTATTGCGCAAATTCGGCTTAGTTAGAATTTTATTATACATGTATAAATTATAATTTATTGAGGAAGGTTATTTATAATCACGCTTACGATCTTTAAGAGCGACAACCTTTTAATCATACTTCGATAATTCATACTAATATTATAAATGCGAAAGTAACTGTTTGTCTGTTACGTTTTCACGTCTAAACCTGCTGAACCAATTTTGATGAAATTTGGTATAGAAAGGGATGTGAATTTGGAGAAGTGCATAGGATAGTCTTTGTGGCAAAAATGAAACTTTAAAGTGGTGAAATAAAGGTTGAAAGCTTGTATTGGGAACAAATCATTTCTCAAGTTAAGGAAAAAAATAATTATAATATCCTTTAATTTTGGTAAGAAATAAAGAGTATTTTGTGATGATTTTAAGTTTTTTTAAAGTACTTATGTACTTTTCTATGCCTATGTATAAAATAGTCTATATATTCCATACTAACCGTTAATAAATATTATAAATATATGAAAGTAAATCTATTAGCTTTTCACGCTAAAGCCGTTGAACAGATTTTGATAAAATTTGGCAAGGACATAGATTGTATCCTGGGGACGGACATAGGATACCTTTCATCCCCGCCCCACTTAACACCCCGCGGGCGAATCCACGGGCAGGAACTAGTTATACATAAATAAACCGCATTTTTATTTATATGTCACTTAGCAACAGAAAAAGTGATAGTTTGGAGAAGTATAGTCTAAGGATCGGTCTATTAACATCAACAGTTCAAGTGGTTATAGGGTTTAATTGAAATAAACGAATCGATATAAAATAAGCAAGGGCGTGGCACAATTTAAAAGAAATATCACGAATTCCATGTTATCTAGACTCTTTAGTGAGGAATTCCTGGAAATTCGGTTTGATTGAGACATCCTTACCTTAGTACCGATCTGATTCCCACACTGGCCAGCCTGCACGTGCACTATTTCCCGCATTTTTGGTTATTTTTTCTTGTATATTTCACACTCAGTATATGCACATATTATTACGAAACTTTAAATGACGTTTGGTTATAATTTTATCAATATTGTTATCGCTATCAGTGCTCTGATAAGATATTATGAAACCAAATTTAAACTAACTTTATTTCAATTTAAAATCCTTTTGTTTAAAGATCTACATAAATAAGTTGGGTAATAGATGGCTTGCGTTAATGACAAGTTATTTAATACATTTTGTTTAAAGCTATCTTTTAAAATTGTTAAAGAATTTCATTGATTTAAGGTGTGGTTGCATTTACGTGGTTATTTAAGTTTGTTCAAATTTATATCTTATTACGTTGTAATAGAGTACATTATTGATTTAATATATTTAACACATTTTCGTCATTATAATATTAGAAATGACGTAATGTACTGAGTAATGCGTATAGCATGAATGTGCAAAAAATAGCAATTATTAACAATAAACAAGTTAGAATAATATATCATAAAAAGATCGCTTAATAGTGTATGTATTAAAAAACAATGTCTACGTTTAGATTTCACTTTATTACATCAAATCACAGATTATGGAAACTTAACATCAAATGACAAATCTAGGAAATACACTTTGGCCAACTGTCAGATTGAGTATTGACTCTGGAGCGGAGGCTGACTCGTCTAAAGATGTAACTTAATTAATCGGTTGCAAAAATATTCGATTTTAACGAGAAATCGATATTGATTCTTGATAATTTATTTACAGTTTTAAGATATTTTAAAAATTATGATTAATATTCTATTTAGTATTGCTGTTTAATTTTACTACTAGTAAAACTTTAGATAGTTCTTTATGAATTCCCTTTTGTTTTTCCTAAAATTAGCTAAAAAGGCGATTCGATTAATATATTATTCCAAAATTTTTTCCGATTATTTGGATAATCGTGAAACTGACATTGTTCAACACTAGCATAAAGAGCTTATTTATCTCTCTGAATAAAAGTGTTCTGTGTCGTTCATTGACGTAATGTTGTAATAGCGTTAACTTAATTTACAATTTAAGATATTGTTTTTGTTTTACGAGATTCAGCATTAGATTATGGTACAGGAATATTACTCGTAGCTGTATTTATATAAATAACTTAATATTTTTTGAAATTTTAAAATTTATTATTCGAAATAATGTATATACGTTTGAACATTTTTATCACATAGTGAAGCATGCGAAACATCAAAATGGAATTCTTAGATTTGATAGACTATAATCAAAATAAATTGTTTTATGTTGGTACGCATCAGCACTTGATATGTTCAGACCAATATACTTATTCCCCGACTGAACATACCTATATGTATCCGGCATAACATATCCGTCTTGATATATTTAATTGGCTTAACTTATCACAGTTTATTACACCCGGCTTTTTCCAAGCTTGAAAAACTTATGCGCCCGCCCTAGAATATGATCCGATATCAAACTCCGGACGTCTTTTAGATTGGTTGCAGCTTCGTTAGTTCTTAGATTAGTCAAACTACAAGCGCACTATCTATATATCGCAGCTGTAAAAAATCACCAGACGGCAAAATCAGCGATAGCGAAACATCTACTTAAATACAATTCTAATTACTGGATTGAGCTCCATCAGCCTAAGGTTTTGTTCACCGATCGCCAATACTACCGAAGAATAGTTCGCGAGGTGATTGAGATTAAAAAACATAAAAAATTCAATTGTGAGGATGGATATATCTATACTAGTCTATACTAGTATTATAAAGACGTAAAGTTTGTGAGTTTATGATATTGAGAGTTTGTGAGTTTGTGGCGTTGTAGGGGGTAATCTCTGGATCTACTAAACCGATTTATATGAAATTTGGTAAGAAAATAGTTTGAGACCCTGGGATGGACATACAATACTTTTTATCCCGGAAATCATCCCTTAAGGGGTGAAAATGGGGATGAAAGTTTGTATGGAGAATCGAGCGAAGCGAGGGTGAGTCGCTAGTATTATATATAGCTGTTGTTTGTGTAGAAACTGGTGATAGGAAAAATGTAAGTATCGCCGATGTCCGTCCAACATACCTGTGGACGATTAGAGTCGTGTGTAGAGGCTATTATAAATTCTGAGGGTCAAGTGAGGGTACCTGCGAAAAACATCTCCAATCGTAGAAGGCGATGTACCGCTACGTACACCGCCAGTTTTGAGTCTTCCCGTGACTACGACCGTGCAACCCAGTCGAAACGTCGGGAATAAGGTATGTAGACACTTGCGAATTCTCGCGTTTAAGTCCCTTAGTGTCTCTATTATAAAATTTTGATAAAGTTTGGTGTAGAGAGGGATGGGACCTTGGAGAAGGACATAGGATAGTTTTTTCGCAAAAATGAAAGTTGAAAGTGGTGAAATAGGGGTTGAAAATTTGGATTGGAAACAAATCGTTTCTCAATCTAAACACCAAAAGTTTCATTACATGCTATAATTTTGGCATGAAATAAAGAATGTTTCGGCGTTTATAACCAATCAAGGTAAAATAAGGGAACATTTCAAGTTTTTTTAAAGTCTATCGATTCCATACTAACCGTTGAAACGTATGTAAGGACGAACCCGAGCAAATCGAGGGCGAGTCGCTAGTCCACTATAAATTTAAATACAAAAAGAACCCCATTAGTAATCAAATTACCTAATCGAGTAACTATGACTCGATTATTTTATTCGAACCCTAAAAAGTAACAACCCTTAGGTGTCAGATCTGAAATCATGAAAATGTAAAAAAAAATCGAAATGGTGTAATATCAAATTTAACAAAATTAATTATTAAATAAAAATAAAGAAATATTTAACAAAATGTGACTTTAAATATGTAAATACGTGAAACTTACACCGAACTAAATAATAAAAATGCTGTTTTTGAGACCGAAATAAATTAAAAAAACAAGAACAAAATGAGATTATTGAATATAATTTTAACATTTTCAATTTGCTTTTCTGCGGCTTTGGGTGATTATATGGTGTTTAGATCGCGATATTCTAATTCTCATGTTTTTCGCGCTTTCTGTGACACATCCGTTCATGGGATTATAGGATTCCTTTCGGCATTATTATTTTTCAATCAAAATTACAGTGTATCATCACAAGCCTATATATTAAATGTTTTCTTTTGCACTGCGTTGTCGTCTTTGATAGATTTGGACCACTTTTTTGTCGCTAGATCAATTCATTTGAAGGTAATTGCTTTGTTAGATTTTAATTGAATTTTGACGGAGTTAAAAATAATCAATTTTCAAAAAAAAAATTTTTGTGTTATCTTACACAAATGTGAACCAATTTTTGATTATTTAAAAAAAAAAGAGTTAAGTCTCAATGTTAATCCCTTAAAAATTTCAAGAAAAGTTGATTAAATACTTTAAATAATATTTTAAAGTGGTTGTTCTTAATAAAAAAAGTATAATTAGGTATTAAACTCAAATTGTTTACAAAATTTAGAAGCTAATTTTATAAAAATATTGGATTAACAGTAAAATCCTAAAATTGCATACTTTTATTTTAATTTAAATATTGTTTTCAGGTTTTTAAAATCATTTCATATCTTTGTGTATGGCATCGAGATTGTTTACTCAACATGTTAGATGCTATGTTTTTGTTAATTTCTATGTATTATACTACGACAAACATAAAAAAAATTGAACATTAGATTTTAATGAGTTAAAAGATAAACATAAAACTAACAGCTTTTTGTTGTTGTAGGATCTGATGAATTTGCCGCAGCGGGGTATTTTCCATTGCACAACGTTCTGGTTATTGATTACATCAATACTCTTAATATACAGTCACATAACTCATAAATTGAATGTGTACATACTGACATATATGATAATTTTGGCTTTTTCAAGTCATCATATTCGAGATGGTTACAGACGAGGCCTGTGGTTATATCCATTTGGACATACACAACCGATAAACAAGTTTTTATATATATTTATAATCTGTATTTTACCCACATTATTTGTTTATATTTTTAATGTCACGAAACCGATATTTAAGAATACTATAGTTCAATACACAACACTTGTGTAACTTTTTTTTTTAAATTTATTTTAATTTTTGAAGTGAAACTTCTTTAGAATAAATATATAGGATTAAGCCGGTGAGATAATGATATAATTTTTTTTTATTGTTGCCATGGTAACTGTTGTTATTGTCTGACAAATGATATATATTATTATATTATTTCCTTATTTTATTATGCCCAATATTTTGTAATATGACCAATATTGAGCCTTAGTTATTTATTGATTTGTTTTAATTTAATTGCAATATTTGCCAAAGAAGTTTAACTTCAACTGCATGTATAGGTTACTCGCACTCATTTTTATATAAATATATGTATATATTTTATAATTTAAAATCACCTAAACAGTATATATTATCTGTAAAAATTGAAATGTCATCAAATTTAATATGTAATATTTTAGTTTAATTAACAAAGTCACAATTTATTATACTTTAAAATAATGTTATTTATTTAGATCTATACCAGTGATAGTTTAATTTGCATTTATTTCTACATATATAATAGTTTTATTTGAAGTAATGATTAATTTGTTATACTAAAAAATAATAAATAATGAATATGTTGGTACATTAACACACAGTACCACCTAGTTCCATGGTAAGCTACGAGGCCAGTGTTATGGATACCAGATAAAATTGTAAAGTACATAGTTTTAGTGCATTAGACTAAGTGCTGGACACTAAACAAATAGTATGAACTAAAAATATTAATATTATTTATTAAATTAAGGCAGTGGTAGCCCAGTGGTAACACGATCGCTTGGAAAACCGAGTGAAGCTGACTTACATCTCAGGTCACGCACTTCTGATAAGATCATGTGCGAATCATTTCCAACGTGATCACCACTTGTCTTACGGTGAAGGAAAACATCGTGAGTAAAAGTGCATGTCTGAGAGAACCTAGCTAGATTTCGAAAAACATGTGAAGTTCGCCAACCCGCACTTGTCCAGCGTGGCGGACTATTTTCTGATCCCCCTCGTATTGAAGTGAGGCCCACGCCCAGCAGTGGGATGTTAAAAAGGGCTGCATGCAATATATTAAATTTGCCAATGTTTCTTGGCAGGACTTTTTAGCTGAAATCTGTTTTGAGCCAGTGATAACTTCTTCTCGGACTTAATAATAGGTAATAATTATTACTTATTATTAAGTCCGAGAAGTACCAAATTATTGCAGTACCAAAGTATTTATTATTAATAAATAACCATTCCTGTTGACTTACAATATTGAAATTGAATAGCAAAATAATTATTTATATTTTAAGATAATATGTTGATTTCATTTTTTACTAATTATGTAAAAGTCAAAAGGAGGTTCTGTCTGTTTTTTTTTATGTATGTTACCTAATATTTTACGGCCATGAACGAATTAACCACAATTCGTCCATGTTTACGGCCAATTAAATATTTATGACAATTATTGATATATTTAGTATGAAATTTAAATTAAAATATATTATTTTTTTGAATGTTAAATCTAGACAAAAATATAAATATTATATTATACGGTATGTAGAGAATTATAAAAAAAATATTTTTCCATATATAATTATAATTATTATGTAACTTAAAAAGTGCTTCTTATATTAGATATATGTGAATTGTTCCAGACCTCCAAGTATATCCATATGAAAAATCACGCCAATCTGTTATTCTGTTTCGACGTGAAAGAAGGACAAACAAACAAACAAACAAACAAACAAACAAACACACTTTACATTGATAATATTAGTATGGATAGTGAAAATTATAATGAAAAGTTTGATTATGTAACTTCAAAAGTGCTTGTTATATAATATGTGGATTGATAGAAACAAAATTTTTAATAATGTTAAAGTTGGTAAAAGATAGAAATAACTTTTTATAAGTGGTATTTATTTTGCGGATGTGGATTGTAAACATCCTCCCGACTGATTTCGGCCACGGCAGCCAATCTCATTGAGACTAGCAAATTGCAGGAGATATTATAGTGCAGACACAAGTGCACTCTATTCCTGTCACTCTCAAAGTCTGATGGGACGATACTTCGACACGACCAGTGAGAGTTAAGGCGCAGGACCGACGGCTATACGTGCTCTCCGAGACACGAGGGCGTACACCAACTTCCCAACTCCGGGCTGTTACTGAGGCTTACAACAGAAAGCCTCAATAACTAAACTTTTCCTGACCCGGGACTCGAACCCAGGACCTCCGGATCTGCAGTCGTACATGCAAGCCACTAGACCACTGAGTCAGAATATAATAGTATAGTAAGTAGACCTACCTTGTTGAAGATCTGCGCTTCAGGTAGGTTTTTTTGGGGGGGGGGGGGGAGGGGGTACGCTTTTGGGGTATATGGTTTGGAAAAGTTAGGCCACTTTGTCTGACAGTCCTTTATTTAGAAATGGTAGTGTATCTATTTCTATATAAATTATTATTATTTAATGCCAAATGTTTAAATAAAATATTTGTTTTCTTGCAACTCCTTTTATTTATAGTGATTCCTGCATATCTACACATCTAATATAATATATAAATAAAAAAATTAAAAAAACACCGACCATCTTGGACCTATTTTCATCAAACATAGCTAAGAACACTCCCGACTTATTCACCTTTCAAACAAAAAAAATCAAAATCGGGAGCTACGATGCCACCGACAGACACACAGAGACGTCAAAGATATAGGCTGGTCATACACGCGCAAAACAGCTAGTATCGACTGCTTCAAACTGCGACCACATATACTAGTCTTCTATGTAAACATGCACGAACCGCTCAAGCCGTTGCGAGTGCTTAGTGCGGTCGTCAGCGCGGTGAAATTTCATCGTGCGGCCAAGCAGTCGCCAGGCATACACTAACTGTTCGAGCTGTAGACTGATCTCGTGCCGTTACCTCCGGTAGCTCTCTTCATTCCACGTCGTCGTTGTCTGAGTAAAAGTAGCATTAGTAGTGGTTTTTCCTCAAAATCCATGTTGCTACCGATTTGAATGAATTTGAAATTTTCTTAGATTTACGGGAATATTAGACATTTTTAATAAATCTAAATTTTAAATAAATATATCTTTTCGGATTTTGTTTTGTTTATGGGTAGGCTGTCTGTAACAACTATCTATATAATACCTTTGAGATATCTAACACCTCAGTCTCCCCTTTTATTTATCTCAATAACCTTTCTTTAGATTTTCATATTACAGATATCTGCAATATGAAAATTTAAATCTATAATATGAAAATGTTTCTTCGTGAACTAGTTTTCATTTTTTTTAGTTTTTACGCAGTCGGTTTTTTTTTTATTAGAAATGGGCTCACTCTTGACCTTCATCTTAGCTCGAAGGCACAGATAAGGTCTACGATCTAGCGCGTTTGCCCAGGAGAAGCTTGTTAACACGCACCTTAAATAGATTCAGGTTATACGCACGTTTTTAAATGAGTTAATGAAGATGTAAAAAAACGCCAAGTTTTGTAGAACATTTATTCTTCCGGCCATACAATAGACTCAATCCAGTCCAAATAGCTATAGACTCGTGTGTATACCGCGGGTCTGCCTGCCTTTGCGCAGTTCCAACCGAACGATGTGATGCCAGCGATATAAAAAATACAGTTGTTTTCTTTTGCAACAATTTGTAGTGGAGATCCTGAGTCACCCTAAAATTAATAACTATTATTTTTTTACATTAAAATTTATAATATTGTTGAGAATGGTATTATACACTTACTAGCGACTTACCCTTGCTTCGTTTTTGTTTGTCCCTAGGTACGTTTTAACAATTAGTATGGAATAGATAGACTATACATACATAAGGTATAAAAAAGTAAATAAGTATTTAAAAAAACTTGAAATCACCCCCTATTTTACCTTGATTGGTCATAAACGCTGAAATATTATAATTATATCTTACCAAAATAATGATTTTTTGTCTTTGGACTTAAGAAATTATTTGTTCCCAATACAAACTTTCTATCCCTATTTCACCCATTTCTAGTTTCATTTTTGCGACAAAAAGTATCCTATGTCCTTCTCCGAGGTCCCCTTTCTCTCTATACCAAACTTTATCAAAATTGGTTCAGCGGTTTATGCGTGAGAACGTAAGAGACTTTCGCATTTAAAGTAGTTTTAGTAGATATGAGTTTATTAATACCAGAATGTATATAAGTTTTTTTTTAAATAAACAACCCAACAAAACTGTGTTATTGGTTTGATTGCGACCATCTTCTCTGTGTAGCGTATAAAACGGGAACTAAATCAAAATAAATAATCAGAAAATATAATACACTAGCGGCTCAGCCTCGCTTCGCTCAGACAAACATAAACAAATCTATCCCAGAGGAACTGTACATTTTTCTGGGATAAAAGTAGCCTATTTGTTATTCTGATGTATGAACTATATTATTGTAAAGTTTCATTAAAATCCAATTAGTAGTTTTTGTGTACTAAGCTGTATAATTTACTATAGTTTTTTAACTATCCAACAGGAACTATTTAATATTCCGGAATGATAAGTATCTAAAATGTTGACCGGGGATATAAGGTCACCATGCAAAATTTCATTTAAATCGGTCCAACAGTTTCGGAGATTAGCCTGTACAAACAGAGAGAAACAAAAAATTTGAAATAAATCTGGATTTGTTCTATTAATTCTCTTCTTACATCCCAATGAATCAGTTTTTAGTAATTTTTTCTATATACAGACATTCAACCTCTACAGTTTTATTATATGTATAGATTATTCTTATATGATTATGTTTCCGTCCGAAGCCAAGTCATTCTATTTTATTAAATAAATAAAGATATCTAATATTGATTCGGTCACTATAAAATGTTATTTAACTAATAAGATATCAATTTATGACAAAGTTGTTGGATAGATGCTTCCATAGATATAGGTACTGACTAAATTACCGAATTGGGCTTATATTTGATCTTACAATTTTTTGCGGTAGAAGGAACGTGTTGCGAGACTTACATTTTTTTACATGGTATGTTTTTGATGAAATTATAAATACAAAAGGCATGCATATATGTACCTGGCAAGTGTCTTTTCCACCGCGCAACTCTCCAGCACACATTTGCGATTCAATGAATCCATTCCAATTCCTATTATGAGTATCTTCCAAAAGGACTTCGCAAAAATCATTTTTCAACAACGAAAGAGAGACTTTCTGAAGTTCATAAGTTGGCTCTTTTTTAACTGAAATCAGTATCATGATTTCATTTTAATGAATGGCAATACTATAATTTGGTACAAAGAGATGATCTGACGAAGTCAGGAGGTAGACATTTGGTATTATTGCGCAGTAGATATTATAGTGTACAAGTGTACGCGCAGACAAGGCTGTCTTAATTCATGCGATGACCGGTGGCCCTTGGGCACACAACAATATCCCTTAGAAAAATAATAAGTTAAAAAAAAAAGCGACCATCTTGGACCGATTTTCATCAAACATAGCTAAGAACACTCCCGACTAATTCACCTTTCTAACAAAAAAAAGCAATCAAAATCGGTGATTCTGTTCGGCAGCTGCGATGCTACAGACAGACACACACGCACACACAGACAAGTCAAACTTATAACACCCCATCGTTTCTGCGTCGGGGGTTAAAAAACGGTTACCATGGCAACAATGTTTGTAGAAGGAATGCAGTTAACTTCATCATGTCGCTTTTTGGCTATCGGTCTGCGCGCGCATCGTAAAAAATTTACTCTCATATTTTTTTCCAAACGTGCCAAAAGAAGTATGTATATTGTATAACTTCAATAATTTTTACCTGTATCATTTACTCCCCAACCAGTGGCAATAGCCTTAGTGTGTCCAGAAAAGTCAGGCTTAGTCCAAAGACAAGCTGGTCTTATAGCAGCCTCAAATTCAACATCCAAGTTCAGTTCGAAGAGAGCTATATCATTATATTTTTCCGGGGAATGGTATTGAGGATGTTTGTATACTGTTTTTATCGGTACCTGGAAATATTAAATGAACAAATTTTTTTTATATACAAGTTATATTAAAAAGTAAATAAAAAAAATAGATATTTGGAACCATCAATATTTAATTTAAAATATTATTTTTATAAGCTCTTTAGAATCGTTAAGTATTATATTTTTTAAATTAAATGCCAGTATGGGAGTTAGTGAGGAAATTACCATCGGCTCGGAAGGCATTTCTGCTGAGAAGAGCCTAAGAAACTCAACAGTTGCTCTTTTAAAAATAATCATGTACTTATCCTACGTGAGGATTAACTAATATTAGTCCCACACATTTACATTTGCAACGCTTTCTTTGTTTAATAATATATTATAAAAAAAAAATTAATGCATACATCGACTGGTCTGGCCCCATCTTCAACTCTAGGATCAAGATTCTGGTCTCCAAGTCTCACGATGGACGGCTTAGGTTCTTTCATCTTTGGACTTCTGGTACAATGTCCAGCAGTTAATACAAATCGTGGACTGATAAGGCTACCTCCACATTGAAATACATAATTATCATTGAAACCTATCCATCCAACTGCAGCCTGAAAACCAATCAGCAATCTCTATAGGCAAGGGACTATTTTTGTCCCACTTTAAGATAATCTTGGGAAATAAATATGCACATATCGAAGCAATTTTGAAATATTTGTAAAAAAATTAAAAACTATTGCAGTACATTTGTAAGATTTTGACAATTTTGTTGTATTATATACCTACTATTTCCTAAATGATACTTATCAGCACACAGTATTTTATTTATTTTTCAGGCATTTATGATAAGCCCCACTTTATATATTTGTATAACTTAAAATTAAACTAAAATTAAATAATAATCATATCATGATACATTCGTTATGTTTAAAAAATAGTAGAAGTATAGTAACTTACCATATGTGGAAACTCTCCTTGATTAGCATTTTCTCCTCCTACAATCAATCCAACTCCAGCGTAATCACATTTGGGAGCTGAAATGGACCTGGCGCCCGATGCTATGAATACCACAGTTTGAAATAAACCCTCACTGTATTCTTTACATTCTGAAATAAAAATAATAAATAAATATAAATATATTGGTACATTAACAGCAACATCTAGTTCCATGGTAAGTTACGAACAAGGCTTGTGTTATGGATATTAGATAGTTGATACACTACACATATATAACTTTAAATACATACATATTATAAATATAAACGCCTATGACTGGAGTACAAACATTCGTGCTCACCACATAAATGAATGCCCTCAGCGGGACTCGAACCCGCGACTGCTGGCACAGCAAGTAGGATCACTACAAACTGAGCCAAACGTGTGCTGTTATTATTATTCCATTCATGCTGAACTTAAGATCACAGATGTATCTATGTATATACATGCGTCGTTTGCGCGTGTTTTACGTAAATTATTCAAATTACAAATTGATTAGCACGCGTTGAAAACGCGTTCAAAAGTCATCGTGTCCATACCGTATTAAGGAATTAAAAAAATTAAGTTAAATATAGAAATTGTTAAGATCTTTATTTTCTATGAAAAAATAAGTATTGTGGCAAAATACCTTATTCTCGACAGTTAAAAAACTATCCAATGCTTAATGCTAACTCCAGTCCACATCATTAGTATTAGTATCGGGTATATTGCCACTTAGACAATTTTTGCCATTTCTCATTTTTTTTCAACTTTGTCATTAATATTATAGAATTATTGAACGCGAAAATTTAAATAGTGAATGTTGTCCTTTAGGACGCGTTTGTGCTCACTAAATCTATTAGGAAAGATAAGAATAGATAGGAGAACTTAATTTACTTTTAATTTACACGGGATAATTGACCCTTGACCTTTACCTCTTTATTAAAAACGGATTGATTCCCCATACAAACTTTCATCCCCATTTTCACCTGCTCAAGGTCTCTGCCAAGGTCTCAAACTATCTTCTTACTAATTTTCATTTAAATCGGTTCAGTAGTTTTGGAGCTTATTCGGTACAAACAAACAAAAAATCTTTTCACTTTATAATATTAGTATAGAAGAATTATGAAAATGGATTGGCATAGATATCGAGTAACATATCCACAAAAGTTTTCAAGTCGGTCAAAAAACTCAGAAGTTGCTCTTTTAAATTTGTACTGTCCTATACAAGAGATACGTGGTTGTTTATATAAAATGTTTAAAAAGGAATTCTAGGAGATTACAGCGCAAAGTTTAGATTATTATAAGATTTTCTGTCTCCAAATATAGAAACTAATAAACAATATGACACTGGTCTAACATATTTAGAACGATTGTCACCTACTTTGTTAAGATCAAAATACTTACTTCTTTCACTTATTCGTGTATTCGTATTTTCTTCGGCTGAAAAGGAGTTCTTCGATGCTAGTTCTTTTCTGAAAAAGAAATCATGGGTATTAGGTAGTCTATAATCAGATAATATATAATCTGCCATAACTGCTTCATTGGTGGATAGCTTGTAGGGCTACAAATTTGGAGGTCTTGGGTTTGAATCCCAGGTCGCGAAAAGATTAATTACCATGAGTAACTAATCTTGTCAAGAAATTCGTAATAACAGCCCGGAGTTGGTGTTGTGGTCCAGCGCCTGATCTTTCAAAGCGAGTGTCGATTTATCGTCCCAACAGAGTGAGAAATTGAAAGAAATAGAGAGTGTAGGTACGTCTTAGTAAACTACTGGCTTTATTATATCCTACTTCCTACTTAACGTTATTAGTAAATGTGAAAGTTTGTGAGGATAGATGGATGGATGTTTGTTACTCAATCACGCCAGAACGGCTCAACGGATGTATAGAGATAGATTGTATAGACTTTTTATCCCGGAAAAATGTACGATTCCCGTGGAATAGATTTGTTTTTGTCTAAGGACGAATTCGAAGCGAAGCGAAAGGAAGTCGCTAGTATGTATATAGATAAGTCAAGTTACTTACTTGTTCTTTTCTGTAGGAGTGAAAATTGATATGCCGTCTTTACAACACACTAGGGAAGTTTCAGTGTTGTTGCAAAATGTTGGAACAATAAACCTATTTCTGCAAAATAAAAATTTCAATTACAACTAATTATAATAGCTAAATAAATATTTACAAAAAAAATATATACATAAAAATTAAAAAAAATACATCATATTAATTACATTAAATTCGAATTGAGTACTTCTCTTTAGCCAACTTCCAAAGAGGCGGAGGTTCTTTGGTCTATATGTACTTTTTTTAAGGCAAAAATATCTATATTGAAGTAGATGTGAATTGTAAGTCCATTCAATTGTTTCTTTTATAGCTTTAGTTTTAAAGTTTTACCTCAATGTTCTAAAGAATGTATGGGATGACTACTCACAGATACTCCCGTACGGCAGATTGGCAATTGGAGACCTCTGTACATACACCACGTGTGACTAATATATGTTGTACTAAACAGCTATCACCAACTAGAATACATAAATAAAATAAGTGAATTTATGTTGGTATATTACCACACAGCACCATCTAGTTCCATGGTAAGCTACGAGGCCTGTGTTATGGATACCAAATAGTTGATACACTATACATATATATCATTAAATACATACATATTATAAATATAAACACCCATGAACGGAGTACAAACATTCGTGCTCATCACACAAATGAATGCCCCCAGCGGGACTCGAACCTGCGACCACTGGCATAGCAAGTGAGGTCACTACAAACTGAGCCAAACGTGTTGTCAAGGTCAAGGATTTGGCAAAAGTCTTACTACCGACCGCCTGCCTGACATCAATCCTCCTTGGGAATGCTATTGTTTATCGCGGAAAGGACTCAAAGGGTGCGATGACCAAGGCAATACTGTGATTATATCTAAGTACAAAATACGAACTTCTTACCTTTTTGTTCCAATGGTACAAATGATTTTTGGTTGGAAGTAGGCAAACTCCTGAAGTCCAAATTGTCGCTGAAAATAATGATTTTTTTAACTCATTATTATATACTTTTCTTCTGTAATGAGTTACAGACGGAATCAAATAAATTTTATTTCTATCGTTAATAGTGTATCTCTTAGGCATGTTGTATGATTCGTTGATTTTATAAATGACGCTGTCTATTTGCAAGCATGCCTCTGCCTAAGGCAAATTGTAAAAAGTTGAATTATAGTACCGGGTTCATATACGTGCCACATGAACGAATTAGCTACTGGACCAGACATATAAGCGGACGTACCTTCACCGGTCTTGTCAGTAACCAGGAGATTGAGGCCTTGGTCGTTTGTTTTTTGCGTCAGTCTCAAGCACATACTTGTTAACAAAAAATCTCCCAGAAATGACTAGATGTTCTGTTAAATGGTGTAGAAACTATAGCGGCGGAAGCAGAACTATTTCTTTTTACTTGTAAATACATTATTTTATTACATTTATTATTATTTATCACAAAATTTAATTCACAAATTTAAATATTAGTCTCTAATTCGTTCATGACGTGCCCTTTACCAGTCTTCAAATCAACATACATACAAACTTTCGCAATCATAATAATTGTGTAATATTTCTTTACAGCCCATCTTCTAGATTTAAATTTAACAAAACTTTTTATTAATTATTCTTTTTCAATACACTAATTTTATCTCTTTCTTCTATATACAGAAAGAAAGAAAAGAACTTACTCATATTCTTCATTCTTTTCAGTTTTGTCAATCAATACTTCGTCCCTACAGCACACTAACTGCACATCATCAGAATATTTGCAATACGTTGGAACAATACTGCTTATTCTGCAATAGATAAATTGTACTGTATTGCAAAGTGTTTTACACGAGAAACAAGGTATGACAGTGCATTCACACTATCAGTAAGAGTCAAGGTTTCTTGTATAAAAATACTTTTAAATAAAAACTCAAAAACTACCGACTTCCAGGCACTAAAAAGTAAAAAATAACTAAACGGCGGTTTTCATTTAGAAGAGATACCTAATCAGATATTTTTAAGTCGGTGCCAGCCGATGCAAAGCAAATGTAATATTGTATTTCGATGCGTAAAATACATATTTCCCTATTAGATATTCATATCTTAAAATATTGTAGGTTGTATACCCTTTGAAACAAAAAAAATATTTCCAAATCGGTTTAGGCGTCTTCGAGTAATCGGTGAACATACATAAAAATAAAGATTCCGACGAATTGAGAACCTCCTCCTTTTTGGAAGTCGGTTAGTAAAACTATTTTTTCTATTTTTTTTTCTTTATAAATTATTTAGCTTTTTGGCTCCCGGCGTTTCGAATGCTTTATAAATTCGCAAAAAAATCAGAAAAAATTAGTTTTATTTAAAATGTCCAATTTCTGTGAAAATCTGAGTAATATTAAAATAAAACCAGACCGATATCGGACTAAGAACGGACTGATCGGCACTACGTATAGTGTGGATCGGCCCTTATTAAAGTCTGTTAGTTGAAAACCTAAATTATTAGTATATAATTACATAAAGAGAGAAGATATGTTTAGTTTACTTACTGATAATCTTGTTGGGCTGATATACATTTAGAAACTTCTGTGCAAATACCACGACTGTTCGTGTGTTTCTCTACACAGGTGTCACCTACTGGAATAAAATTATAACGTTTTAAAATAGTAAGTAAGTCGACTATCTTTGGGCGTTCATGCCATCGACCAAAAAAGTACTAGAGAAAAAAAAATGTCCTTATCAAATGAGCGCTCATTTGAACATTTGAGCGCGCTTTTAATTTAAAAAAATGTTTGTGAAAACATCTTTAACCTTTGAATTGGATTGTGTATTTAGTACTTTTTTGATCGATGGTATATGCAAAGTTTTAAACCAAGCCATCATTTTTTTCCTAAAGATTCGAACGCTTATCAAGAAACATCGTCACTATTAGGATAATAAATAGAAAAAAAATAAGAAAAAGACTCGAAGAGATAGATAGTTTTGTTTAAAATTTTCAAATATTCGTTCGAATCTAAGAAAATATTCTACACAAAAATGACAAAACAATATACAACGACAATAATTTGACACGCCTGTGATGTGTGTTGAAACATAGGCTGCAAGCCTGATTTTTCTGCTAAATTGGCTCTTTTAAAATATACCTGCGAAACTCAGCACTTGCTCTTTTCAATTCAACTAACAACGTAGTAACTACACTAGCTTTATAGGAACAAAGAAAATCTGGTGAATATAATTAAAAATTAAGATTGTGTGTTTTAACTTTTATTAGTATTTTTTTTATATTTACGAAGAGCTTAATCTGTACAGATAATAAAAATTGAAGTGTCTGTGTGTAATGTCAAAATAACAGCTTTAAACTAAATGCATATGAAAGTATGTATATAAAGTTTAAAATTTTTGTCTATCAGTTTATCAATCTGTTTATTCCGGCTAACCACCGGAACGGCTGGACTGATTTTAACGGGACTTTCACTGGCAGATAGCTGATGTTATAGGGAGTAACTTAGGCTACTTTTATTTTATAAAAAGAATTAGAGTTCCGCTTAAAAGAAGTGAAACGTACCTAGGGGCGCACTCGAGCGAAGCGAGGGTAAGTCGCTAGTTGTAAGAAAATGAAAAGCTTTAAATACAATGTTATTTACTTACTTTTTAGACTTAGCACATCTTTTGCATCTTCGTTGTTGGATGAACTCCTTAATAATAGTGGTGTATTGCTGAAGACATATTTTCATTTAAAATCTATAGTATTCTATACAAATAAATAAAACTAATGTGTCTATTTGTAATGTCAAAATAAAAGCTTTTAATTTAATGCAGAAAAATATATACGGAGTACGGTATTTAAACGAAAAACATATTTTGTTTTTTTTGTCTGTCTTTGTCCCGCCTAATCTCCGAAACGACTGGAACGATTTTGACGAGACTTTCACTAGCAGATACCTGATGTTATAAGGATTAACATAGGCTACTTTTATTTTTGAAAATGAATTAAGGTTTTATGCAAAAAATTAAAACCCATGAAATTAGGAACATATCCGTGTACCTAGGAACGCATAAAAGCAAAGCGAGTGTAAGTCGTTTATTATCAAATACATTGCTATTTATTGTAATAAATAATAATAATGTCCTCCTGACCGTTTCAGGCCGTCAATCTCATTGAGACTAGCCAGTTTGCTAGTGAAAAATAATATTTTTTAATTTTTCCAACTGGAATCTCTTCTAGGACCTTTCAAAAATAGCTCCAAAAAAGGAAAAATCTCAGATTTGTTATATAACAATTATCGCACTTGCATTGTTCATGTTGAAGTAGGAAAAAATGGTTAATTAACTAATGCATAATTAACAGAAAAATATAGCAAATATAGTCAATAGCCCCAGATTTTTCATTTCTTAAATGTTATATTTAATATGTATAATAATTTTTATTTATGAAATGTAGGAAGTAGCACTCGTTTTCGGCAGTATTTTCATCCCTCTGGGAAAACTATAAACATCGGTCCTACAATTCCGGGAGTCAAGACTTTTTTTTTTAGGAAATTTCCTCCTCCTTTTAAATATTTTTTTAAATTTGAAAAATCTCAGTTTTTGTCAATTAGTTTTTGACATGTTTGTAAAAAACTAAACCCCCCTTTTTTAGTTAATTGTGAACTTGATTTTTTAAAAGTCGTTTTTCTGAGACTCCTGAAAAAAGTTGACCAAAAGGGCACTTGTCGACTAGACTATATAATTGGGAGAATAAGATCAACGACATACGTACACTGGAATTTTATATATGAAGATAAGATATATTAATTAATAAGTGACCAAATTGTGTCTTTTTGATACCATTTTTGAATGTATCGCATAATCGAGAACCTACTTCTTTACTTCTTGAGTGTCGAGAATTGTTATGCCATCTCTACAACACACCAGCTGTATATCATCAGAATGTTTGCAATACGTTGGAACAATACCGTTGTGTCTGCAAAACAAAAATATTAATTTGATATGCATACTAATATTATAAATGTGAAAGAAAATCTGTCTGCCTGTATGTTTTTTATATTTTCATACTAGCATTGTCCGCGGGCCCGCCCGTGGTCAGATTACCAAAAATCCGAATTCTTAGGTTTTACATATTAGTATACTCTTACAATGCAGTTTTTGTATTTTTTCTCAGAAATGAGATGTTTTCCCGCGATAAAAAGTATCCTATATGTTGACCCGGATAACAAGCTATCACCATACCAAATTTCATCAAAATCCCTACAGTGGTTTGTCCGTGATGCGGTAACAGAGGGACGGAGGGACGGACGGACAGACAGACAGACAAAAATTCTAAGAACTATCGATTCGGCCTCTATATCGATAATAATGACTATTTCAATAAGATTTTCCAAAATATATCTAATGTTCGGTACATTTTCGACTTCGTTACAATTTTATTATATGTATAGATTATAAGGCAGTGGTAGCCCAGTGGTGACACGCTCGCTTGGGACACCGAGTGAAGCGGGTTCAAATCCCGGGTCTCGCACCTCTGATATTTTCATGTGCGAATCATTTCTAACATGATTACCGCTTGCCTTACGGTGAAGGAAAACATCGTGAGGAAACCTGCATGTCTGAGAGAACCTAGCAAGTTTTCACATACATGTGTTGTCCGCCAACCCGCACTTGGCCAGCGTGGTGGACTATGGCCTGATCCCCCCACGTATTGAAGGGAGGCCCGTGCCCAGCAGTGGAACATTAAAAAGAGCTGAATACAATACATAGATTATATTTATATTTTCACTTCTGAACCGTGAACCCATTTTGATGAAGATAGATTGGACATTGGAGAATAGTTTACTGAAGAAGGTGAAACAAGCAATGAATATTTGTATGGTTCCTATCAAATTAAACTAGGGATACAATAAATATATTAATGTGGGGAATGGAACGTAAGAGTGAGTGAAAGGAACAACAGGTATGGGAGAGAAAGGAACGAAAGATGCAAGATGGAGGATAGTGTGTAAGACGGTGTGAACGGGCTAAGACGGAAAAATTAATAAATTATTTAAGAAGCAAATTTCACTGTATTTTACTTTGAGTATTTTCCCACATTTATGAGCTTTAGTGTTATCAATAAAAAAAATGGAAACAAGTTTTTTATAAAGATATGTGAATTTTATTCATTTATTATGTTTTTCTCAAAGTTTCTTTAATAATTTGATCGACTAATGTCAATAAAATGGGAAATTGAAGACTAATATGCTCACTTACTGATACTCTTGTGTGGCTGATTGGCACTTTGCACTTTTTATACAAATACCACGTGAACCCGTTAGTTCCACTATACAACTATCACCCTCTGGAAAAATATATTTTGTATCAATTATAGTTATAATTTTTTTTATAAAAAGCAATCATGAGGACTGCCGGAAGAAGTGAAAACTTAAAACTATAAACAATCAGCTGTTATTTTTGGATATTCAAATTAATTGTTTCATTTTAAATTAAAATTTATAAATTAAAACTCTTTACATTTATTTGGTTTTGACATCTATCGGCACTCTGAGTGTTAGTGTTAGCACGTCACGTGACCGTGTCGATGACGACTTACATGAATTTACTCCCCATACAAACATACCTCCTATACAACTTTTCACTTCAATAACCATTTTTACCGTTTCTAAAAGGGATAGGTTCTGAATATCATAGTTTATATAATACTATACTAGTACTAATGCCATACAAAGACGTTGGACAGCGCTAATTCGGGCAATTCTTCGGGCAATTTTTTTTATGTGGAAAGATTTAAACGTGACGGGATCTGATACTAAAGCTATGAAATCATCGATTGATAGTATTTTTCACATTTCAAAATTAAAAATTAATCGTTAATTAATTCTCGGATTTCTTTGCATTTAGAGGAATTTATAATAATTTTAACGCAATTTTGGCCTTTTAAAAAGATTTTAACTAAAAAAAAAAGCTAAACAAAGCCGACATCGAACTCAGCACTTGCTCTTTTTAAATTTAAACCATACTCGTATGTAATAAATAGGTGCTACAGATGAATCTTTTTCTGTCCGCATCATTGAATTTATATAAAGAAAATAAAAAATAAACAGACTACTAGGTAAGTGCGAAAGCGTGTACGTGTGTATATTTCTGTTCATTACTCATTCACGCTAAAATTGCTGGACGGATTTGAATAAAACTTTGTACATAGATAGACTATGATCTTTTTTTTAAGGTACAAAATGCATTTACATACCCACAAGAAAAGCCAGTATTACCCACTATACTAAAACCCCACAGAACCTCCCCAGTCTTAATGGGGCGTCGCAGGATCGCTTACAAACTCAACTACGATGCCCTGACGGATAGCCTGCCACAACAATCAAGAGGTTGTTCCCACGGTCCACTCTGCTATCAGAGAAGTACCAGGAGCAACCCTCTTGGTACACCGCCCACCAAGGTGGGCCACCTATGTGTCTTTCTTAGTTTCACGTTCGGCTGGATTATTGAACGCAAACGAGCCTCCCATCACGACAAAGATAGACTATATCCTGAAGTAATCCATAAAGAGTTTATGAGAGGCACCTAGAGACGCACAAATAAAATTTATTTATTTACCTTTTTTAATTATCTCCCTAGTTGTATTTTCATCAGTGGATGTACTCCTTACAATTGGCGTCTCACTGAAATAAAAATTTTCTTCTATACTATTATTGCACTAGTTTTAACCGCCTCGGTGGTCTAATAGGTTGTCCGAGTTCCAATTTTGGAGTTCCGATTTTGAGTTCCCGGTCGGTTCAAGTTTAATTACTGAATTTTTCTGTTAAAATATTCTTAGTAACAGCCCTGAGTTGGGAAATTGGCGGTGTTCCATCCCTGTGCCGCGGAGAGCACGTATAGGCGCAAGATTGACCTGCGCCTTAACTTTCACTAGTGTCGAAGTATCGTCCCATTGGACTTCGAGAGTAAAAGAAACAGAAGAAGAAACTCCTGCAGTCGGCTAGTCTAGTGAGATTGGCCACCGTGGCTGAAATCGATCACGGTCAGGAGGAAATTTACTAGTTTTCAAGAAAAATAAGGCAGGCAAAGACAACTTAAAACGTACGCGTCATAATCGAAGATATATTTCATAGTTAATTTTCAAATAAAACAATTTTTTAGATTTTTTGTCAGATCTATTATGACTTTTGGTTTCCAAAATTACAGCAACCATGATACGAGAGACACTAGACTTTTCAAAATTATATTAAAATGATTTTCAAAATTACAAAAATGGCTCCAAATTACCGTGCAATATTCGTCAATTTCTATTTAAAATATTTTATAACTTAAATAAGTTTTAAATTAAATATTATTTAATTTGAATTGTTATTATTATAATTCTTATAATAAAAAAAATCGCGTAATAATTAATTTTAAATATTAGCGTAAATCTAAAAAAGTATATACTTACTCTACAACTTCATCAGTATCGAGAATCGTGATCCCATCTGTGCAGCACACCAGCTGTAAATCATCAGAGTGTTTGCAATATGTTGGAACAATACGGTTATATCTGCAAAAGAAAACGTCTAATTGGATATAAATATTTTTAATTCTTTAAACAAGTACTTTTGATATAATATACGAATATCTTCTGAAGCTGTAGATTTGAATCTTTTCCCAAATTGCGTCAAATATATTATGTACATAAGCGGCCATTCAAATATGTATTACGTAAGTAGAATTTTAGTAATTATTAACCCCTCTCTCCCCCTTGTCAGCAAAAATAGGTAAGCAAATCTCTTACTCCCCCTCCTGTGCTTACGTAAACATTACGTCTCAATTATTTTGGGGAATCCCTGAACATGCTTTTCGCTTTTGAGCATAGACAAATTAAACCTATTAAATTTTAATTAATTATTTTAAATAAATAAAATATTGCTGACGTAATCACCATCCAGACCCTACCCCCATACCGCCCCCCACGTCATCAAAAATAAGCAAACCAAAGACCTCCCAGCCCCCCTTTGGTGCTTACGGAATACTTGAATGGCCCCTAATATGTTATACATATATGTTATATACATCTTTATATATATAATTCTTCTGTGAGTGTGTATGTCACTGAACTTCTCTCAAACGACTGGACCAATTTTGATGAAATTTTTTGTGTGTGTTCAAGGGGATCTGAGAATGGTTTAGATTCACAATTTGAATAATAATTTTCATCAAAATGGTCCAGAATGTTTTAGCTTATTAAAAAAAGTTTGAAATTTTCAAATTAAAGACGTGTAGACAGGACAACGTCTGTCGGGTCAGCTAGTATATGTATAAGATATTAGGGGCCATTCAAGTATAATAGTTAAAACTTTTATAAAGTTCAATATCCTTTCTCTTCTATTTGTCAACCGATTTTCAGTAATGATTACGGTCGAATTTCGATCACTATTCGAACATTCGTTTATTTAAATTTGCAAATCGACATACTACGTCGATGTCCAACAAAATAAAGATAACTATAGTTACTGGTACTCTCGTATGGCCGATTGACACTTAGAAGCATGTGTACAAACACCACGTGTGTTTGTCTGCATCACTGTACAGTTGTCACCCTCTGAAAAAACATACATGGCTGCTTAATATGTATCTCAAAGTATAATCAAAGAGAAAACTTAGATTTAAATTTTTTTACATCTTTATTTATTCACTAGCGATTCAACCTCGCTTCGTTTGGGTTCGTCCCTAGGTACGGTTTAACGGTTAGTATGGAGTAGATAGACTATATTATACATATTATATATATATATATAGATATAGGTATGATGAGATGTTGTGGGTTGTATTATAACTTCTTTTACCGTAAGAATGAGATAATCTCTCGCGGTAAATATATACATAGGCAAAGCCAAACAGTTCAGTATCTTTTTAATTGTATTTGTTTAGTAGCTATTGAACAGCTTTAGTATTATCAATAAAAAAAAACTGGAAACTTCAGCGACAAAAATGTCCTCACTGAATGAGCGCTTATTTGAACATTTGAGCTGGCTTTTATATATTTTTTGTGAAAACAACTTTAAGTTTTGCATTTAAGGTTTAATTTAAATTGTTGTATATTTATTTTGATTAGAATAAATTATTTTATTCATTTTATAAATTGGAATACAGACAGCATATATAAGGATCAAATGCAAAATTCATCAGAATTAATAGACTTAGCCAATAAAGTTTCCATTTATACGTAAATATAGCACAGTTAACTTACTAACAATTAAACAAAAACAGATATAAATAAAATATGTAGCTACAAAATAAAAAGATAAATATAAAAATAATATTTATCGGACTAGTGTTTTTTTAAGTTCAATTATAAATTTCTTTAAATTACATCCAATAATGTCAAGATGCTTGTAATAATTATTATAAATGTTAAAGACTCTAGCCAGGAAACAATTCTTGGCATATTTGGTTATACGAGAGGCAACAGAAAAGGTATCTCTGGATCGGCTGTTAGTTCGAGGGCATTTAAAGAAAATATTAGACAAAAGATTATTACAATCGATATGGTTATTAATAATTTTGTAAAGAATTTGATCTGTTCTTTCTTGATTTTTAGATTATTACACTCAATAAATACATATACACACACATACACACACATTCACACACACACACTCACACATACATCATCATCATCTATTGTTTTTTAGTTTTTATAAAATAGTTTAAATATTGTACGGAGGCGGGCGTTGATATCTGCAACGCAGTTTATACTTTTGCAGTATCATCGTAGCCATTGTTGTTTACTGTATACTTATAGGAATTTGATACTAAATAAATAAATTTCATTTCATTTCAAATATCTCCTTTGAAATGTAATCTCTTAATAAATTTATTTTGAACGTCCTCGATAGCGTTAATACATTTGTGATACTGAGGATTCCAAACAGTCGAGACATATTCCAGAATGGATCTAACGTAACAGTTAGATACTAGATTGTATGTTTGTATTTGTTTCTTCAAATCATCTGCCTGACGAAAAATAAATCCTAGCATTTTGCAAGCCTTAGCTGTAATGTTAGAGATGTGTCTATCAAAAAGAAATTGAGATTTCAGTTGTACTCCCAGGTCTATCACCTTTGTTACACGTTTAAGGGGGTTATTTTAAATAGAATAATTAAATGAAATTTAATTTTTTTTTTGCAAAAGTTATAACGCAGCACTTGTTAACATATAATCCATTAGATATAATAATTATTAAATTTATTAATATTAATTCGCAAATCCTCACAGTCTTCTGTACTCTTTATCATTTTAAATATTTTGATATAATCTGCGTATAAATGTAAGTTTAAAAGCTGACAATTTTCAAGGATATCATTAATAAAGATATTAAATAATAGTGGGCCGAGGTGAGAGCCCTGGGGAACCTCTGATGTTATGGGGACAAAACTCGAAACAAAACCTTTGACAGCTACTGTCTGTGTTCTATTTCGAAGATAGGAATTCAACCATCTAAGTAGATCACCATGTATGCCGGCTTGTTTAAGTTTGTAGACGAGCAATGAGAGCGAAATTTTATCGAAGGCTTTGGCTTAAAAGTCTGTGTATATATACATACAGTATACATTTAATATGCGATTTCTAAAGCAGATATAACGATGTCGAGAAACTCGCACAAGTTAGTTTCCGTGGAACGCTTGTTGATAAATTCATGTTGCTGAGTAATAAGCGAGGGTCATAAATATATAAGATAATACGAGCGAAGCCGTGAGCAAAAGTAGTTACAAATAATTGTACCTTTTTCACTTAACGGTGGACTTGTATTTTGGTTGGAAAAAACCGAATTCGACAACTCTGGTTTATCACTGAAAAGACAATGGGTTTTTTTAAAGAAAACATAAGTCTTGGGGCTAAGTCTAAAAATTGTATTGAAATTACGAATGAATCGTCATAGAATGATAATATTATGTAATACTTTCTCAGATTTACGCGGATATTTGACATTTTAGATAAAACTATATTTTTTTGGATTTTTTCGCTGATATATTTTAATTTTTGTTTCCCGACGTTTCGACGATTGCTTTACATATTACAGCAATTATGGGAATGGGAGTGACATCTCTGCGGAAAAGTCCGTAAAGATAGTTTTATTTTAAATATCATGAATTACAAAAAAGTTATTATCATAGGTAATTTTTTATAACTTATATTTCTTTTAAATAACTCCCATATGAGATGCTTCGATTTTTATACTACTTTATTAGTACCATTGTATTTCTATGACAAAGTGGTCGTGGTAGGATTTTGATATAGATACTAGCAACTCACCCTCGCTTCGTTTCGGGTTCGTCCGTAAACAAAAACAAATCTATCCCACGGGAACCGAAAATTTTTACGGGATGATGTATAGCCTATAGCCTTCCTCAGTCAACGGGCTATGTAATGAAAAAAGGATTTTTAAAATCTGATTATCAGTTTCTGAGATTAGCGCGTTCAACCAAACAAACCAACAAACAAACTCTTCAGCTTTATAATATTAGTATAGATTTTCATCAATCAAATTCATCATCATTTCATGTGTTTAGTAGGTACCAGTAACTTATCCTAAGGCCAAGTACTAAATTCCATCCAAATCCGTCCAGTCGCTTCAGTGATATGGACTAATAAACATACATACACACGTTCGCATTTATATTAGTAGTGGGGTTTTCTTGCCATGGTTAAGGAGTTTAATGCCCGATTTCACCAACGTCACCTAAGTTTAAGGGATCCCCTAAGCATGGTTAGGGGGCTGTTAGGGGACAGTTTCTGTTTCACCGACAGTTAGGGGTCACCTAATATTAAAAGGCCTCTTAAATTTAGGTGCTAGAAATATGAGCTCAAGACGATCGTAAAACGAAATTAATTTAGAGGTTAGTTTAGGGGACCTTTAAGCTAGGGATCCCATACGTAGGTGGTAGCTTATGGGTTTTTGGTGAAATCGGGCATATGTGTACTTTCATTATTAAATTAAATTTCTTTGGCACTTATAACATTAATAAACACTTACTCACTATTTTGTTCAGTATCGAGAATCGTGATGCCGTCTCTACAGCACACTAACGTCAAAGTATCGGTTTGATTGCAAAACGTAGGTGGAATACCGCTTTTCCTGAAAAACATGTTAATTGGATTAATCTTTATAAATAAAAAAAAACTTATGTGTGTACTTATGTACGCACGTAAGAAGTTATACTTCTATGGCGTACCAGAACAAAAGTAGCGAAAGATTTCATCCCGTATGTCACAAGTCTCTTTTTGTAAAAGGAATGATGAATTAATAAAAATAATTAAATAACGCATATTAGGCACATTATTACCATATATTTATAGAATATCATTTAAGTATAGAATATAATATTATATATCACTAGCAATGCCCGCGGCTCCGCCCGCGTTCAGATGACCAAAAACCAAATTCTTAGGTTTTACATATTAGTATATTCTTACATTGCAATTTTTGTATTTTTTCTCAGAAATGAGATATTTTCTCGCGGTTTAAAGTAGCCTATATGTTGACCCGGATAACCAGCTATCACCACACCAAATTTCATCAAAATCCCTCCAGTGGTTTTTCCGTGATGAGGTAACAGACAGACAGACAGACAAAAATTCTAAAAACTGTTGATTCGGCCTCTGTATCAAAAATAATGTCAATTTTAAAAAACATATTTAATGTACAGATTTGACTTAGTTAGAATGTTATTATATATATATATAGATTTGTCAGACAATAACAACGGTTACCATGACAACAAGCCAGTAGTACTTTTTTATAAGCTAAAATATTTCTATATTATGTTGATTCAAAGACTGTTTTCAATTAAGATTTGATAAGAAATATAAATATTGTCGTGTTTGTGATTAAAATTGTTGTTTTATTGTCATTTTTTTCCTGGCTATAGATCCTTAATGTTAGAAGGGCCGTCTCCCCCGGACTTACCCTACATAGCCTATATAGCCTTCCTCAACGAACAGGCTATCTAATGCAAAAATATTTTTTCAAATCGGATTAGTAGTTCCTGAGATTAGCGCGTTCAAACAAACAAACAAACAAACAAACAAAATCTGCCTCTTTATAATATTAGTCTAGAAGTATATTCCCTAGACAGACTCACTGATAATCCTGTTTGGCAGATTGACATTTTGAAGACTCTGTGCATTTACCGCGACTGTTTGTGTATTCCACTATACAGCTTTCACCTACTGAAAATATATTTGTTAATTTATTAATTTAATAGATATGTCAATAATACACTGTAATCTATATCTATATATACAGGGTGGAAGAAATGGATGGAACATGGAAAATATGTACCTTAAATATTGAAGTTATCAAGTTTTACTCAAAGAAAACATTCCTTTATTTAAAAAAGTAATAATAAAACAAACCATAATTGTTGAAAAATTGAGGAGAGCATATATGAATAGAGTTTACCTATCTATATAAAATTCTTTCCGAAATTTTTACTTAAATACTGTAGAGATATCGGGGTTGGGCTCAATGAATTGGCATCAATGAATATTTGTGGCATCAATAATAATTATTTTCAAATATGTCCACTCCGAAAAGTACATAGAGGTAGCTGCTAATAAGCAAAATGTAACATCCAGCAAAAACTTCAGTCATAAGTAAGATGGCGCTTGTTACAGTGCCGAAATATGAGGAACTTACAAAAACACGTGAAATATGGCAAATATTCCGTTACCTATAAAAACATATATAATAATAGACGTGTGTATATGTTCCTTATGGACTCCAAAACGACAGGAGCGATTTTGATGAAATTTTTAGGAAATCCTCAGATTAGATCCTGTGAAGTTTGGTGACGATCAGAAGTTTGAACGCGGGTGTAGCCGCGGGTAGTGCTAGTTCATCATAAAAATGATGTAAAGTGGATAAAATAATCAATTTGCTTACTTCTTTCACTTAATGGTATATGTATATTTTGCTCAGATGAAAACGTTGTCTTCAAAATTGGTGTTGCACTGAAAAATGCGATTTGCTTTACTATTAGGAAAAGAACCAAATTTTTATATAAAAAAATAAATTGAACTAAGACAAGGTAGTGGTAGCCCAGTAACGCGCTCGCTTGAGAAACCGAGTGATGCGGGTTCAAATCCCATGTCTCGCACCTCTGATAATCTCATGTGCGAATCATTTCCAACATGATCGCCACTTGTCTTACGGTGAAGGAAAACATCGTGAGGAAACCTGCATGTCTAAGGAAACCTAGCAAGTCCACCCGCACTTGGCCAGCGTGGTGGATTATGGCCTGATCTCCCTCGTATTGAAGGGAGGCCCATTCCCAGCATTGAGACGTTAAAAAAGACTGAGTACAACATAAGAGGCAGTTTTTATCTCAGCAGGAGTAGCAGGCATATCCTCTTCTACTCTTTACACAAAACTTTTAAAATTACAACTTGGTATTTGAAGCCACTTACTCATTATATTCTTGAGTGTTGAGAACCGGCAAGTTACAGCACACAATTGGTGAATCGCCGGAACTATCGCAAAATGTTGGAATAAGTCCTCTTATCCTGGAAATTTCCAAATGGAAAATAAATATGTAAGTACGTTGGGACATTAACACGCAGCACCATCCAGTTCCATGTTAAGCTACGACGCTTGTGTTATAGATACCAGATAGTTATTACACTACACATATATAACTTTAAATACTTACATATTATAAATATAAACACCTATGACTGGAGTACAAATATTCGTCATTACACAAATGAATGCCCCCAGTGGGACTAGAACCCACGATCGCTGGCACAGCAAGTAGTGTCACTACAATCTGAGCCAAAAGTGTCGTCAAATATTAATGGGATTTTATTATAATATAAATAACCGTACCACATCACGTTATATCACATGGGACTACTTTTTTGATACTTATACGTGTGTTTGTTACTCCGTCACGTTAAAAAGGCTGAACAGATTTCGATGAAATTTAGTGTACAGATAGACTATGACTTGAAATAACACAAACTTTGTTAGAAACAAATTTTGCTAAAAGCTGGCGCTGTCTGTGTATTATATTATAAATACAATAAGCACCTAGGGACATATCCGAGTGGAACTAGGATAAGTCGCTATTTTACATCTATACAGATAAATAAAGTTGAAGTGTCTGTTTGTAATATCAAAATAACAGCGTTTTACTAAATTCATATGAAATTATATATGGTACGTATAAGAAAAATACATTTTTAAAATTATTGTCTGTCTGTCTGTTTGTTTGTTCCGGATAACCTCTGAAACGGTTGGACTGATATTGATGGGACTTTCACTGGAAGATAGCTGATGTTATAGGGAGTAACATAGGCTACTTTTATTTTAGAAATAGAATTAGGGTTCCGCTCTAAAAAAATTAAACGTACCTAGAGACGAATCGAGGGTGAGTCGCTAGTTGATATATATTTAACATAGACACACATTTCCTAACAAATATCTATTCAAAAAGTGGCGTCGACGTGTGATGTTATAAGTCAAACTAAAGAATAAAATTCAAAAGTCGACAGCTCTAATTATCTAAATATAAACTCGTACTTATGCACACCTAATAAAGTACAAAACAGACAAAAACATTTAAATTGAGTTTTTCTTATAGTATCGTATATAATTCCATATGCATTTAGTAAAAAGCTGTTATTTTGACATTACACACAGACACTTCAATTTTATTTATCTGTGTAGTAGACTATCATCTAGTCTAAGCCTAAAGAGCGTACTGGATGATGTCCTCCTGACCGATTTCAGCTATGGTGACCAATCTCACTAAAACTAGACAATACGCAGGAGATATTATAGTGCACAAGTGCACGCGCAAACCTAAGTGCACTCTCTATTCCTGTCACTCTCAAAGTCCGATGGGACGATACTTCGACACGGCCAGAGAGAATTAAGGCGCAAGACCGACAGCTTTACATGATCTCACAGGCATCCGGATGAAACATCTCAATAACTGATGAAACACTCAATAACTTCACTTGGCCCAACCCGGGACTCGAACTCATGACCTCGGATGTACAGCCGACCAGCTAGCCAATACACCACCGAAACTGTCAAAGCCGTACTTACCGATAGTCTTCTATTGCTGGTTGACACTTACACGATTCCATGCACACACCGCGTAAGTTTGTCTGCTTTACAATACAGCTTTCTCCCACTGAAAATATTATGTCAAGTATGTTTATCTTTTAGAAGTGATATGCCTATAATCTAGTATATTTAAACGAGCAATTCTTGTATATTTATTTATAACGGCGATCTCGGAAACGGCTCTAATGATTTCGCTGAAATTTGGTGTGAAGTCTGGCTGGCACCGAATTCGAAAATATCTGATTAGTATCTATTCTTAATGAAAACACCCGTTTAGTTATTTTATACATTTTATTGCCTGGAAGTCGTTTTTTTAAGTTTTTATTTTTTATTTCACTTTTAGTGTAGACGTAATTAGAAGGTAATTTGTAAGAAGAAAGTTTTTTTTATAACATATTCGATTAAGCAATTTATTTTAAAAATAATATTTATTTGTTAATTTTTTTAAGAAACCACACAACCGATTTCGATAAAATTTAAATGGGACCATTTGGGAAATATACCCTTCTAAATAAAAAAAAATCAAATCGGTCCAGGCGTGTTTGAGTAATCGGTAAACATACAAAAAAAAAACAAAGATTCCGACGAATGAGAACCTCCTCCTTTTTGGAAGTCGGTTAATAAATGAAGTATTTAAACGATTATAAGTTTTGAATATTTAAAAAATATAATTTTACTTACGTTTCTGTGAATTTCCATCTTGAATGGCCACTAGAAGAACAGAACTCAGAGCAAGCAACATTTTTAATTAATAAAAGGATCTGCAAAACAGAAAAAGGCAATGACCATCCCGTTATCCGGGTTAACGTATAGGATACTTTTTACTGTGGGAGAATATCTCATCTCTGAGAAATCTATACTAAACGTTAAAACGTAATTCTGAGGACGAACCCGAGCGGAGCGAGGGTGAGTCGCTAGTTTATAATAACTAGGCGCCAATTTCTGTATCTTGAAAAAAAAAATTGTCATTCGAATAAATCGAGTGGGATATCAAATACGGGTTTTTAAAAGGCGATTACACAAATATACACAACTTATTATGTTTTAAAGTAATTTAGGATAATACTTTCTTAGATTTACGCGAATATTTGACATTTTAAATAAAACTATCTTTTCGGATTATTTCGCGGATTTATTTTGATTTTTGCTTCCCGACGTTTCGAATGCTTTACAGCAATCATGGTCACGGGAGACAGTGCAGACAGTGCCTACTCAATATTTTACAAAAATGATTTCAAAGATTCAAAAAATGGCAATAAAGTACCTTACAATATCTGTTGATTTTTATTTCTAAACATTTTAATTTTTTTAATATTAAAACCTTTCCATTAAAAATTTTATTAAATTTTTTAATAGAAACGTCGGGAACAAAAATCAAAATAAACCCGCGAAATAATCCGAAAAGATAGTTTTATTTAAAACGTAATTTAGGATAAGAAATTGTTAAATAAACCTAACAATATCTAACTGACCAAAACTAAAAGGCTGTAAATAAAAAACTTATTTACTTACAAACATTAAAAAAGCCGACTGTGCAAAAAGTGAACTAAAAAGATGAAAACAACTTGACGAAGGAATATTATGCAGTCGGAGACATATATATATATATATATACATATATATATATATATATATATATATATATATATATATATATGTTACATATTTTAGAATAGCTGCGTGTGTTTAATTATTTAATTAATGTTGACGTTTGAGAGACTCACCGGAGCGAATCGAACAAGTCATCTATACATATAATAAAATTGTAACTAAGCCGAATCTGTGCATTAGATATTTTTTCGAAAATCTTATTGAAATAAACATTATTATCGATACAGAGGCCGAATCTATAGTTTTTAGAATTTTTGTCTATCTGTCTGTCTGGAAACGCATAACGAGAAAACCACTGGAGGGATTTTGATGAAATTTGGTATGACGATAGCTGGTATTTGGGTCAACATATAGGATACGTTTTACTGCGGGAAAATATCTCATCTCTGAGAAATCTATACTAAACGATAAAACGTAAGTAGGGACGAACCCGAGTAGAGCGAGGGTGAGTCGCTAGTTTGTAAATGATCGTTTGAATTAAAAAAATAAAAAGCAAACAAGACGTCTATCCAGTTTGACCTTTACTAAGACTAGTGCACTAAATTCGACCATAATCATTAATTTTTATTACATAAAAGCTCTCAAACAAAAAAAAAAGAAAATGTTGACAAACAAGAGGAAAAGATTGTGAAATGTTGTGCCTTTGCGAATTTATATAAAAACTTACAACGGACTTAAGTTAGCGAAATAAATACATATCACAGAACCTTTCTCTTTGAAGCCGGTAAACTTTATCTTTCACCTTCCTTCCATAGACACTTCACAAAAATATTTTATACCGTTTAATATTAAATAAAATATCGTATCGCTTGTTTACGCAATATAATCGTACTAATCACTAATAACTAACCGGTTTTGTAAGTTTTTCTTAGAGTTAGGCTGATTCACACTATTATTTACATACTTATTATATAAATTTGCTACATTATTTCAAATAAAGGTAAATTCACACAAAGTAATAATTGTTATATCTATATAATAATCAAAAAACCAGTTTCCTTATTCTATTGCTAACGCTAAAGCTTTTCAATAGCTGCTACACAAAAAAAGGCTGACAAACAGAGGAGAAAAAGGTACGGAAGTGTTTCGTCTTTGCCTATTTATACTCGTATACGGAGACTAGCGACTCACCCTCCCTAGGGTATGTATATAACTTCCCTATTTGAATAGGATATTATTAAATTTTTCATTGTTTTTAAATTTTTTCGTGGGGACCCTATATTTTTCTAAAATAAAAGTAGCCTAAGTTACTCCTTATTACATCAGCTATCTGCCTGTGAAAGTCCCGTCAAAATCGGCTTAGCCATTTCAGAGATTAGCTGGAACAAACAGACAGACAGACAAAAATTGTAAAAAATGTTGTTTTGGTATATGTATCGTGTATACATCCATATGCATTTAGTAAAAAGCTGTTATTTTGACATTTCAAACAGACACATCAATTTAATTTATCTGTATAGATTTGTTTTTGAGTAATGTTACCATCGTATAAATATTGATAAATATTGAAATGAATATTTATACGATACTAAGTCACATTGTTTTGCCTTCCCGGAACCTCTCCACTAACACTTAAACTTTATGGTATGGTATTAAAGTTCAAATTGACTTTTAAGTATTTATTACGAATCTTTTATATGGGAGTATAGAAAAGTGTTGTTTTTAGACCTATCCAGGCAATTTTTTTAAATTTTTCTCTCCGTAAGAACCATCCTCGTACTTTAAGGAATATTCTAAAAAAATAATTAGCGAAATCGGTTCAGCTGCTCTCGAGATTTGCGCTTACCAACACATTCAGCGATTAATTTTTATATTATAAAAGATGTACGTGTTATGTACCCATCTTTTTAGTTCAATTTTTATAAGTTTAGCAACACAATTTAACGCCTTCATACCTTTCTGTGATATATGTATATATTATATATATATCCAGATGATATATAATATGACTAGTGACTCACCCTTGCTCCGCTCTGGTCGTCCCTAGGAACGTTTTAAATGTTAGTATGGATTTCTCAGATATGACATATTGTCCCGCAGTAAAAAGTATCCTACATATTGACCCGGATACCCAGCTATCATCGTACCAAATTTTACGTATCGTCGAAATTTGTCCAGTGGTTTTCTCGTGATGCGTTCTCAGACAGACAGACAGATAGACAAAAAATCTAAAAACTATATATTCGTCCTCTGTATCGCTAATAATTCAAGAAGATTAACCAAAAAAATATTTAATGTACAGATTCGACTCAGAATTTTATTATATGTATAAATATACTTAACAAAGAGGTGTTTCGCAAGGGTCTATTCAAGTACTCTTACTATTCCTGCTTTACAGATATGATTTTAATTAAAAAAAAAAACATGTAAACGTGATATTGCGTTCCTTTTGAAAATACTTCTTTAATTTTAGAATTTGATAGAAATAAATTGTACAGACTACGGTATAATAAAATATTTTATTGATTGTTAAAAAATCAGCTATCGTCTTATAGTCTACTAGCATTGCCCGCGGCTTCGCTCGCATTCAGATGACCAAAAACCAAATTCTTAGGTTTTACATATTAGTAGGTATACTCTTGCATTGCAGTTTTTGTATTTTTTCTCAGAAATGAGATATTTTCCCGCGGTAAAAAGTATCCTATATGTTGACCCGGATAACCAGCTATCACCATACCAAATTTCATTAAAATTTCTTCAGTGGTTTTTCCGTGATGCGGTAACAGACAGACGGACAAACAAAAATTCTAAAAACTATAGATTCGGCCTCTGTATCGATAATAATGTTTATTTCAATAAGATTTTCCAAAAAATATTTAATATCTGTACATTCGTATTAGTTACAATTTTATTATATGTGTCTATAGATAGGTTTGTAGTACATACATATTTTTTTACTTTTTATGTATTGTTTAGTTTAGCATATTTAAATCTTTCTTAGATTTAAGCGAATATTTGACATAGCTAGTAGTTATTAAAAAATTTGTCTGTTTGTCTGTTTGTGTAGTGATAACTTATTATTTATTATTTCTTTATTAACGAACCCTCGTAGCTTTAGTTTAAGTCTTCTAATTGACGTACACAAGTGATCATTGAATTGATACAATGTGTAAAAAGAAGTAAATAAAAATAAAAAATAAATAAAAATTACTCGGGTCAACCTACATTTAGGATACCTTTTACTATAGGAATAATTTCAGGATGTTACTACAATTTGAAGAAATTATTTCAGGATGTTAGTACAATAACTTTTTTAAAGACCAATCGTCATAGGATTGATGGAACGCGTACAGAATTAAATATCTGGATGTGAACGGAGCTTAACATCACTAACTATGGAGATAAGTACATATTTCTGTTATATTTTCCTTTGAATTTATTATAAAAGTTGTAAGATAATTAATTTATTGCACACTTTATTGGCTAAATTAAAAATCCACTTAAGGTTTTTATGCTCTTCACAAGCAAAGGTAGGTGACGTCATTTTGTTCAAGTCTCATATTAAATACTAGCAACTAACCTGTGCTCGTGTGCGTCCTTGTTTTAATTTTTTTGAGCAGAACCTTCATTCTTTTTCGAAAATAAAAGTAGCCTAAGTTATTTCTTATAACATCAGCTATCTGCCAGTGAAGGTTGCGTCAAAATCAGTCCAGCCGTTTCTGAGATTAGCCGGAACAAACAGAAAGACAGACAAAAATTTACAAATTGTGTTTTTCTTATAAGTTCCGTATATAATTCCATATGAATTTAATAAAAAACTGTTATTTTGACATTACACACTTCAACTTTATTTACCTATATAGCTGTTTGAGGAAAGAAGTTCCCTTATCGGTAAAAGGATTTTTTTTTTAAAACAAAAGGTATAAAAGTATAAACTTGCTGTGCGCGGTCGCGAGTTTGAGCCCCACTGGGGGAATTCATTTGTGTGATGAGCACGAATGTTTGTATTCCAGTCATGGGTGTTTATATTTATAATATGTATATATTTAAAATTATATATGTGTATATCAACTATCTGGTATCCATAACACAGGCCTCGTAGCTTACCATGGAACTAGATGGTGCTGTGCGTTACTGTACCGACATATTTATTCATCAATTAAACCTGTTTTAAATTGAACGTTAGTTAACACTGGATTATTTTAAAAGAAAATAATACAATTCCTTAAAAATATTATTTATTTAATACTTCCTTAGATTTATGAGTATATTTCACATTTAAAGGAAACTATCTTTTCGGATTTTTCCGACGCGACGTTTTGTATGCATTATAGAAAATATGCTCAACGATGACACTAAGGTTTTAAGCGTCTTAAAAGTTATATGGGACTAAAATATAAAAAAAAAACACCGTATAATAAAACTTATTTATAGTATTGTAATTAGTTAATATAGTAATACCACAGATCACATAATACTATATAATATATAAATGTCTCGTCTTACGGTTTACGGCTCGACCGATTTTAATGTTTTTTTGTATATTTGATAGGTATGAGAATAGGTTGTAAAGTATTTTTACCCTCCTACCCCCACCCTCAATTGGTTGTTTTTACTTATATAAATACATCTCAAATATCCTTGAATATTATTTTGTAGTTAAGAAAAAAAATTTTTTAGTTTTGTAAATTCTTTATTATTCACCCGGCCATACAACAGATTCGATCCAATCCAAGTAACTAGATACTCTCGTGTATACCGCAGGTTTTCCTGACTCCGCGCAGCGACGTCCAAACGATGTAATACCGATGACGTGGAATATGCATTTGTTGCCTTTCGATGCGACTTGAAGCGGTGATCCTGAATCTCCCTGAAAAGAAATGCTTATTAAACTTTCCTGATACCAAGAGAGTGTGAGTTTGTTTGTTACTTCTTTACGTCTTGTATCTACCGACCATTGGCATACGTATATTGGGCATGCCAAATGCAATGTCATGATATTTTTATCTCAATCCTTCTCGTTCGCTTATATACTAAAAGCTGGGAACGAATTTATTTATGTACTACAAGCTAGAAACAAAAACAAATCTATCCCACGGGAACCGAAGATTTTTTCGCGATATAAAGTAACCTATGTACTATTTTAGACTATAATCTATCTCTGTGCCAATTTTCATCCACATCCGTTCAACTGTTCTGGCGTGATTGAGTAACAAACATACAAACATGCACCTAAACTTTTACATTTATAATATTAGTAAGATAATTATTATCGTACTTACTCGTATCGTAATTTATCTTACCTGGCATGTATCCTTCCCACCGCGCAACTCTCCAGCACACATTTGCGATTCTATAAAACCGCTCCAATGCCTGTTTTGAGTATCCTGTAAAAGAACATCGCAGTCGTCGTTCTCTAGCAATGAAAGCAACACTTTCTGAAGCTCGTTAGTTGTTTCTTTTTTAACTGGAATAAATATAATTTGTTATCAATATTTTTTCTACAAATGTTTTCTTTTTAGAAGTTAATTAGGAGACGATAAGATGTCGAAAATATATGTGTTCAACCCTTAGATTCTAAGTATCGATTTCGAAATAATATATCACAATCGTAAAAATACTTCATATTTTTAATATTTTACTTTACTAAACATTCCGTTCCTCAGAATATATGTACATATCTTACCATTATCAAACTATAAGCTTACTGCTTTGTTTTACTATTAACGATAATAAAACAAAACATTAAAAAGTCATGCTTTTAGGCAAGATTCTGATCACAATCTGACAGCAGAATTCATTTGAAGGTCTTCAATTCAATTTATTATCATTTCAGCATCTATCAAAATATATATTTTACAGTTACACAAAGTTAAGCAGTTTTACCTGTATCATTGACTCCCCAACCGGTGGCAATAGCCTTGGTATACCCAGAAAAGTCAGGCTTATTCCAGAGGCAGGCTGGTCTGATATCGGCACTGAAGTCGACGTCCACCTTCAGCTCGAGTAGAGCGATATCATTATATTTTCCAGGCGATTTGTATCCAGGGTGTTTGTGTACTGTTTTTATGGCTACCTGTTATTTTTGAATAAAATTTTTTTTTATTAATTTAGAAATCATAGATTCAGTTCTTCAGTTTAGATAGAAATTATCTTAGTTTTAATAAGAGCTGGATGTTCAACGAAACTATCGATAATATTTAGGCTGTTGCTATTCGTGCTTAAAATAAGGACGAATAAATATTATTATTGGTGCAATTTTTCCGATAATCTGATGAATAAAAAATATATTATTCGTCTGGCTATTGTCGGTTTGTACGAATATTTAGGTCTTTTTTGTTTTCTAATGTAAATAAATGATTTTCAGGTTAGGCAAGGAGTTTCTGTATGCAAAAAAAACCTAAAGCTGCCGAGCTGAGCCGAGCTACTTATTCTATTTACTTATTTATTAGTTTATTCGTCATTCCTTATAATTTATATATTTTATAAGAGACGGATAATTATTTTATATTCTTCCTATTAAAGGATGAATAGATACTCCGTAATATTTAAATAATAAAATTTTATTGAAAATTTTTTATTGTTATAGTTAACATTAACATATATATATCCCATAAAGTTCGTGTGCCTTTGAAAAAATCTGGATCATATGAGTAAATCATTTATTTACGTCATACCAAATAATTGAAAAATAGTATGAAATTATAAAATTATAAACTGTTTAGGTATTTTTGATAAGAATATAAATTACGATAAGGCAGTGGTAGTTCAATGATAACGCGTTCGTTTGGGAAACCGAATAAGGCGAGTTCCATTTCCGGGTCTCTGATATTTTCATGTGCGAATCATTTCGAACATGTTTACTAATTGTCTTATAGTGAAGGATAACATGGTGAAGAAATCTGCATGTCTAAGAGAAAGACATGAGAAATCCGCCAATACTGACTTGGCCAGCGTGGTGGACTATAGTTTGATCCTCATTGTACTGAAGGTAATCCCGTGCTGTGTGCATGATGTGTGTGCTGATGAATGATTTCTTTTTTTTAGTAGAATTGCATTCATTAGTAGTGGCTTGATAGTTAATTCTTAGTCACTGATTGTTTAAATAAACTTCCAATGATTAAAAATATGTTTTGGTATTTAAATGTTAGCTGTTGATAATATCTTTATTTCAATATGATAATATTCATTTATCCAGTCATTGAGGACTATTAAGACCAATAACTTATACTTTTACAGACCATATAAACTAATAAAATTGAAAATATAAAATTATGAAACTGTATACATACGTCTACAGGATTGGCACCATCCCGAACTTTAGGGTCAAGATTCTGGTCTCCAAGTCTCACAATAGCTGGCTTAGGATCTTTCATTCTCGGATTTCTGATGCAATGCCCGGCAGTTAATACGAAACGAGAACTGATAAGACTGCCTCCGCATTGGAAAGCGTAGTTGTCATCAAAATCTATCCATCCAATTGCAGCCTGGAAGACAAAAAAGTACTGAATCGGACTACTATTATAAAGCAATAAGTGTGAGGAGTATGCTTGTTAATTCTTCACTCTGAAGCAGCTGAACAATTTTGAATGAAATTTATTTCATAAATAGACTATGACCTGATATGACATAGGCTACTCACTTTTTTTTTCTTTTTTTGTTGGGACAACAACTCCTAAGGGATACACAGCACCATTTAGTTCCATGGTAAGCTGCGAGGCTTGTGTTATGGATATCAGATAGTTGATACACTACACATATATAACTTTAAATGCATAAATAGGTATTAGGTGTTTAGGTACATATTATGAATGTAATAAAGAAATCTTTAAATAAATAAATAAATGTAAAACCCCCAGCGGGATTCGAACCTGCGACCGTTGGTTGGCACAGCAAGTGCTACAAGCAAAGTACTACAAAGCGAGCCAAACGTGTCGTCAAGGCTGTTAAGCACCAAAAGATTCACCTGAGTAGATTTAAATCGTTAGCCATACCACATATACCACTTACCATATGTGGAAACTCTCCCTGGTTAGCATTTTCTCCTCCTACAATCAGTTCCACTCCGGTGTAATCACATTTGGGAGCTGAGATTGACATTACATCAGGTTCGACAACTAGCGCTATGAAGTTCACATTTTGAACTACACCCCGACTATATTCTTCACATTCTTGAAACAAAAATTAATAAAAGATTACTAATCAACAATTTTCAATACCTTCATTTGATGTATATAGTTTTTCTATAGTTTACTAATCTATACAGTCGTGTAACAAAGATATATATATATATATATATACGTCTACGATAATCGTGCTGGGGAATCCGCATGGTGTGAAGCACCCGGCTGTCATATTTACTTTTATATGACAATTGACTCGCTTACTGTGTGGATTTATATAGGTACTGTGTTTTTTCCATACTTGCTGGGTATAATAGGTAATGATAGAAATAGTATTATTTAATTATTCTTTTTGGCCTCTTTGCGATTTCATTTGCATAAATTTGTTTTTTTGCTATTCGTACTTAAAATAAAGCCGAATTAAAAATAATTATTCATACTTTAATAAGACAAATAATAAAGGAGGCTGTTGCTATTCGTTCGATAATCGGATAAATCAAAAATATATTATTCGTCAGACGCTATTGTCGGTTTGTACGAATATTTTCCTCATATATACTCTTGTAAAATAAGTGATTTTGAGGTGCAAAAGTTTTTGTAAGCAGAAAAAAATAATCTCAAGCTACCAAGCTAAGCCAAGCTACTTATTCTACATACTTATGTATTAGTCTATTCGTCTTCCCTTATAATTTATATATTTTATAAAGGACGAATAATAATTTTTATTCGTCCTATTAATAAACATTCCGATTAAAAATAAACTAGCGGAAAAATCTTAAAAAAGTTCTATTTAAAAAGTTAAATATCTTTTTTTTACTTAATGCCTAAGTACAAGTAATATCTTACTTCTATCACTTAAGCGTCTATTTGTATCTGGCTTTGATGAAAACGAACTGAACGCTGGTCTGCGACTGGAAAATAAAAATTTTCATTTTTTAATTAACTCTGAGTAAAAGCATCCATTGTTAATTTCATCTTTTGCAGCAGAATTTTTATTTGATAACATATAAGACCATTCAGGAACAAGTCATGTCAACCAACATTTTCTCGCGGCTCTGTCCGCGTCCTGTAATTTTATACTCTGCTCTCGTAGGACGTAGTGTGATGTTAGACAGGCTATAAGCTTCTTCAATAAATAAGCTATAAAACGCAAAGGTTTTTTTTTAAATAGGACCCAATCCATCCAATTTTTTTAAATAATCCCAAGATTAGCGCGTCCAAAAAAACAAACTTTTCAACTTTATATACGGATATAGATAATTTATTAAAAATCGCTTCATATTAACGAAGATAGCCAAAGAATCCAATCTAATACAGGAATTGTAGAAGAAGGAAGAAAGAAATTTTAAATGATTATCCAAGAGATCCAATAGAACTGAGATCGGGGGAGATTCCAATAAGTTTTAGTGGGTAGTACTGGCTTTTCTAACCGATAGTCTCATAACCAGGTGTATGTATGCAGGTGGTATGCGTAAATACATTTACAAACTTAAAAAAAGGTCCTTACTTGACTGGGGCATTGTTGAGTATAGAAAGGCCGTCCCTACAGCATACTAACAGCGCATTGCCGGTACTTTTACAAAATGTTGGGGTTATACCATTATTTCTGAAAAAAAAATACATAGGTGTTATGATTTTGCTATAAATACTAAAATATTTGGAAAAAAGTATTAAAATGTCACGTTTTTGCCCATAAATATAGGCCCGATTTTCAGCGAAAGTGCGACATCGCCTTGGTGTCGTGGATTTTAGGACTACGTGGTTGATTGGGATGTTAAAAGATGCGTCTGAATGAGGGCTACAAAATAGAAAAAATATATTTGAAAACACTCAAAGGCTTTTTTTAAATCGAAAAAAAAGTGAAAAATGTGGTCGCATTTCGCTCGGTTTCGGTTAGAAAAAAAATCATATCTCGAAATGAAATAAGGTATCGAAAAATAAAAAAAAACCCTAGAGATATGATTTAGGACTACATTAGGACAGTTAAACTTACTGGTAATTAAAATAACTGACAGTTAATCGAACTGACAGGTAAACTCACTGACAGTTATACTAACTTACAGTAAAACCAACTGACAGTTAATTTAACTGACTGTTAAACTAACTGGAGGTTTTATTAACTGACAGTTAATCTTACAAGCCGATAATCAAACTGACAGTTAATCTAACTGACAGTTAACCCTACTGACAGTAAATTAAACTGACTGTTAAACTTACTGGTAGTTAAAATAACTGACAGTTAAACGAACTGACAGTTAAACTTACTGACAGTTAAACCAACTAACAGTTAAACTAACTGACAGCTAAGCTAATTGACAGTTAGTTTGACAGTAGACTGAGTGTTTCTTTGCCAGCCGTCAGCTGAAAATGGCCGAAAACCAACAGAGACAAAACTAATGTGCGGCCAGAAGTCTTCTGTATTCATTGAAATACGATTATTGAAGAATAGATATTTATAATTATTTAACATTCCATTATCAATACTAATATTATAAACAGTTAAAGTTTGTGAGTTAGTGTGGTTGTAGGGAGTAATCTCTGGATCTACTGAACCGATTTAGATCAAACTTGATAAAAAAAATCGCTTGGGACCCTGGGAAGGACAGGATACTTTTTATCCCGGAAATCATCTCATATGGGGATGCAAATAGGAATGAAAGTTTGTATGGGGAAGCAACCTAGGGATGAACCCGAGCGAAGCGAGGGTGAGTCGCTAGTAATATTATATTTTTTTTTATTTCCATTTATACATTCAAATTAGAATAAAAGACGGGTATTGGCCGCACGTTCGCTTTCACTTATTTTCAATTTTATGACAGTATTGCTCATTCCATTCTCAGTCTATGGATACTTTTTTTTCTTTATTGGCTTATAGTTGCGTTAACAGACGTAATCCATTCTGCCAGTGTCACGTTTTGTCAGGAAGACGCGAATGAGATTGAGCGGAAATTTTGAAATTTGGTAACGTCTATGGATACTAATAAGTAATATAACGTACACTTGTCAAAACAAATCAAATGTTTTTAAATTCGAACATTACAGCCTTATTTCCGGCTCTTCTATAATCTATTTTTGTTTTCTTAAATAGGCCATAGATGGCGTTGATATAGAAGAGGAGAATATATGAGGTGCGAGAACCGGAATTTTGATTTCTTTCAGTTGATTGGTCAAGTAAGCGCGTTATCGCTGGGCTACAACTGCCTTCACACGCACGTATGTTTTATATATGTCTATTGTTAATAATAAATTTACTTCGCCACATAGAATGAGGATACTTACTGAAATTCTTGTCTCGCTGTCAGACATTTAGATGCGAGAGCACACACACCACGCGTATTTGTATGAGACACCACACAGTCTTCTCCCACTAAAAATAATTAATTAATGTAATTTTTTTATCACCTCCATGGACCACTCATATTTTAAGTATCACTAAAATGAAATTGTTTTTTTTGACGTCTAACACCTGATTCTTAAAAAAAATCAGATTGTTTACTTACAATTTTGTGCGATTCCGCCACTTACGATTACGAGAAGAATAGAACTCAAGGCAAGCGACATATTTGATCTGGAAAATAAAAAAATATCTTTAATGTATTGTCATATTGGTTTTTGCACGCGACTTCCCATGCCAATACTTTAGTGATAATAATATAATAATATATGATCTTCCGACAGATTTCGGTCACGGCGGCCAATCTCACTGAGACTAGCCAACTGCTGGAGATATTATAGTGCAAACATAAGTGTACTTCTGTATTCCTATCACTCTCATACTCCGGTAATGGAAATTTATAGGTCCAAGACTTTTTATATAGAGGGTCATTTTTAATTTACTGAAAACCTTTTGGGATTATACTATTTACATCATAACAACAACATCTGTAACAAGAAAAAATAATATTTCTAAGGAATTCTAAGGAAAACTTCGTGAGGAAACCTGCATGTCTGAGAGAACCTAGCAAGTTGCCGAAAAACATGCTCAGTCCGCCCGCACTTGGCCAGCGTGGTGGACTATGGCCTGATCTTCCTCGTATTGAAAGATGGTCCACCCCCCAGTAGTGGGACGTTAAAAACGTTGATTGATTGCAATTGCGTTGATGAATTGATTAAAAAAAAATGAATAGGTGAAAAATGGTGGCCAAGTATGTATGGAAAAATGTTGAGGTGTAAATTAGAAAAACCAGTCGTGACACGCCGTTAGTTTATTATAATTTTTATCTGAACATATGAATATTATTAAGGAAAAAACCTATATAAATTATTTCTTTGTTATTTCTAATACATATATACTTAGAGTATGGCATTTGCTAGTCGTCCGTCAATCATATAATTTAGATTATCTATACTTCTATACTAATATCTATACTAATATTATAATAAATGTGAAAGTTTGTATGTATGGATGTTTGTTACTTTTGAACGCCAAAACGGCTGAACGGATCTGGATGAAATTTGGCACAGAAATAGATTATAGTCTGAAATAACACATAGGCTACTTTTTATCCCGGAAAATATGCAGTTCCAGAGGGATAGATTTGTTTTTGTTTTAGAGGCGAACCCGAGCGAAGCGAGGGTGAGCTGCTAGTTTTATATAAATTACCTACATACACTCGTAGCTCCGATAAAGCTAATCCATAGTAATATTATAATAGAGGCGAACCCGAGCGAAGCGAGAGTGAGCCGCTGGTATAATATAACAAAATTCTGAGTCAAAACTGTACATTAAATATAATTTTAGAAAATTTTAATGAAATAGTGATCATTATCAAAAGTATATAGACGCCAGATCTATAGTTTTTTGAATTTTTGTCTATCTGTCTGGGAACGCATCACAAGAAAACCACTAGACAGATTTTGACGAAATTTGGTATGATATTGATAGCTGGTTCGGGTCAACATATAGGATACTTTTTAGTGCAGGAAAATATCTCATCTCTGAGAAATCTATACTTAACGTTAAAACGTAACGTAGGGATAAACCCGAGCTGAGCGAAGTGATTCGCTAGTCTAGATATAAGTTTCTAGTAAAAACAAAACCCTCCACGACCGCGGACACGCCGGCGTTACAGTTAACAATAGATGTAATAGAAATTTATCTGGAGGTGTTATATGCATTCATTATAATTAAGAAGTTATATATGTAATTGAAAATACATGCTTGAGATATTTTATTTTTTTTCACAGCCACTACACAGAAATCGTCGACAGAGTACTAGCCACATGATTTTTCATTAATTTTTTTCACAAAAACTTTTTATTTCAACTTTTCCGTCCGGCAATCCAGCCGGGCTAGAAGCCAAGAACCACACTTTGAGGGATGCGAGGTGTATCAAGGTTGCTCCCGGTACTTATCTGAAAGCTGAGTGGATCGTGGGAGCAACCCTTGATTGTTGTGAACGGGGAGATAGTCAGCCTCGTTAAGAAAAATACCCCAAAGGTCGACCGAACCGAGGGTCGGGGGGCAGTCGGCTTTATCGTTCGTGAAGAGTCTTCGGCAGGCTGCCGTCGGGGTATTGGGATTAAGTTAAGTGATCTTGTGACGGCCCATTAAGACAGGGTAGGTTCCAGGGTGGGTTTCAGTGGGTAGTACTGGTTAGGGGTGTTGTAGTGAATGCGCAAGCGATCCGCTGTGGGTTTTAGTGAGTAGGAGTCTCTCAGTACCTTGTCCGTTATGACTGCGGGCAGGGTCCCCATGATGGGTTTCCCCAGCGTCAACAAAAAAAAGTGGGTAGTACTGGCTTTTCTAGCCGGTGAGTCCCAACTACCTGTATGTAGGTTATACAGGTGGTATGCGTTCCCAATATTAAAAAAAAGAAATAGGTAATATTTTAGTACAGACATATAAAAATTACAGAGGTGATGACTATGTATTTTTGCTAAATGCTTAAAACCTGTCAAAAGCGCATTTATCAGTGTATTTAAAAATCTAACCTTAAAATAACCTTCGCATTTAAAAACGGATATGTCACAATTAGTTGTTATACTACTCCGTATCTGTGTGTATGTTTGTTCCTCTTTCACGCTGTATCGACTTTACGGATTTTGCTGAAGCTTAGGACACAGATAGACTATGAGCTGGAGTAACATATAGGCTACTGTTGCTAAGAAAATTTGACAAAAGGTGGCTCTACCAATAGGTGATACTTTGTTTAAATACAACATATATAATTAATTATATATCCTACTAATAATATAAACGCGAAACTTTTTAAGAATGTATGTTTGTTACTCTTTCATGCCAGAACGGCTGAACGGATCTGGATGAAATTTGACACAGAGATAGATTAGTCTGGAATAACGCATAGGCTACTTTTTATCCCGGAAAAATATACGGTTCCCGAGGGATAGATTTGTTTCTGTTTTTCTAGAGGTTAACCCGAGCGAAGCGAGGGTGAGCCGCTGGTGTTAATATACATTTATTTCACTTCTTTGTCTCTTAAAAGTCTACATGTAATCTGTGCTAATATCGAAGATGAAGCAGAAGTTGTAAATAGTCTACGTTTTGTCAACTATATAAGATCAATGCTCACGAGGCATCAATCCCCAATGTGATTTTTTTTTCTTAATAAGTATTTTGAGGAAGGGGCCCAATATACCGTATGGACCTTAACACTTGTAGATCTGCATTGAGTTTATTGCTAGGATCACATGTGGGAGATTTAGATATATTTATTTAGATATAGATTTCCGATACCAGATTAACGTGTTTTTTACTCTGACATATAGCGGTAATATATGCAAATGTCAATATTGGTATGTTTTTGTAGAAACCGGGCTATGTGCATTTACATATTTTGGCTAACATTTTAATATAATTTAGCTAAACGTACTCACTTGTACTCGCTTGGGAAACCGAGTGAAGCGGGTGAGAGAAATTTTCGAAAGACATGTTAAATCCTGATCCTCGTATTAAAGGGAGGCCCACCCCCAGCAGTGGGACATTTAAAAGGGCTGAATACATAACTTTTGACAGTACATCCATTTTATCGGAACAAAAAATATCCTGCACTGATCTAGTGGCTAGCAAGTACGGCCGCGGATCAGGAGGTCCTGTGTTCGAGTCCCGGGACGAACCAAGTTTAGTTATTAGGTTTTCCTATCAAGAAATTCTCAGTAAGCAGTCCGAAATTGGGAAGTTGGCGGTGTTTCATGCCATGCCCCGGAGAGCACGTTAAGCCTAAGTCCTGCACTTGATCTCTCACTAATCGTGTCGAATGGTCATCCCACTGGAGTTTGAAAGCGAGAGGAATAGAGAATGCACCTATAATGTCTCCTGCGCATCTGGCTATATTATTGAAAAAAAAAAACAAAATCGGGTCAGTAGTTTCGAGATACCCCCTACTTACAAACACAAAAATGCAGATGATATATTTCATAAAAATGTACCAAATTAGCTTTATTAAGTAAATACTTGGTTCAATTTTTTTTTTCAAATTTCGACGTTATTAGTCGAAATTCGACCACAATCATTATTAAACACTGAGTAAAACATAATATTAATAAAAAAAATACTCATTTATATAAAAAACCTAGCGATTCACCCTCGCTTCGCTCGGGTTCGTCCTAGTTTGCTTCCCCATACAAACTTTCATCCCCATTTTCACCCCCTTAAGGGATGATTTCCAGAATAAAAACTATCCTATGTCCTTCCCAGGGTCTCAAACTGTTTTCTTACCAAATTTCATCTAATTCGGTTCAGTAGTTTCGGAGCCTATTCGGTACAAACAAAAAAATCTTTCCTCTTTATAATATTAGTATAGATAAATTTATAATTTACCTTCAATAAACACTTCACTAAATTTTATTTATAACATATTACACTAATATTAATATAAATTCAATTAAAAAACGTCCGTCTGTGCAAACCTCTCTATACATAATAGCGACCGGTTTGCAAAATGTAGTAAGTTTTTCTTGAATTAAGGCCCATTTCACACTGGATTACTTATTTATATCGTTTATATGATGTTATAATATCGAAATTGCTTGGAATAATATTTTAACTCAATTTTGTAATTGGGCTTTAAATATAATATTAAATTACTAATTAATTTCTTTAAATTCCCTCAAGACCAAGTTACGATATTGTTCTTTGAGATTATCACTATTTTTGATCCATCTAACTTAAACAAGATATCATTCGTTGAAGAACAGAAAACTAAAAATATATGGTAATAACATTTTATGATTCAATGACACAACGATTCAATTTGACTGTTCGATAAAATTTTGTTTTTTCAATCCATTTAAAAAAATCCATCCCTAAGAATAATACGTGATAATAATAATAGGAGATAATTGATATTTTTTCCTACGGAGTTTTTAAAATTCTTTCTTTTTACTTTGCTACTACTATGTTTTCACTAAAAAATAAAAACTAAGAAACAAACCGGCTTCAAAAAAACACTAAAAAGTAAAAAAAGACTGATTGGTAGTTTTCATTTACTATAGATACCTAATCACATATTTTTGAAGTCGGTGCTAACCTTCGATCAACAATACTACTTGATAAAGTGTCACATACCAAACCAAAGCTTAAAGCTACATTTGTATACTAAATAACCAAGACAAATGGTTATAATAGATTTATTTTCAACCTAATCAACACCATAGCATCTTGTAATAAAGTCAAACAAATCTTCAAATTGTCATCATACACTTACGATCATTTCTTAAATTTTATAATCTTTATTGTAAAATCAACCTTAGATCAAAACTCATAAGGCACTTTTTCCCGTTGTTGCTTTGTGAGTGTTTGTGAGTTTTGTTTCTGTTTGCTTCTTTGAATTGGCGCGTATATTGGCCGACCTGGGCCAACGTTCTCAGCGGATTTAAAATTCTTCAAAGTTTCATTTTTATATTATTTCGTAGTTTAAATCTTAAAATATTGACTTAATCTACATGCATTTATAGAAAATAAGACACTCCGTCTGAAAATTTTCTTCTTCACGCATTATTTTTGGAACTTTTAAATATATATTGCGGCATTGTGAACGTGTTTACGTTGGCAGTGTTTCGATAGAACTAATCGAAATATACGTTCACTCTTGAGACGAGACGACACTCTACCGAGACGGACTTCTTACCCCGATCCGATATCTAGTAGTATTGTTGATCGAAGGTGCTAGCCGATACTTTAAACTAATATTATTAGCCAATATTTTGAACTATAATAAAAAATCATACCCTGTCATATTTACCTGTTCGATATTCATATCTTAAATCATTGTCCTTTTTGTTTTTTTTTAAAGTTGTTTTTTAACCTTTTTTACATAAATTATGCAGATTATTAAGAAACGTAACAAAAAAAAACGAATAAACCATAATATATTATTATAATATCTTTAAATTCTAAACAAACCTTTAGGATCAGAACGTAAATAATCTAATTCCGACATGTGAAAAGTGCCTTATGCTACCTCACAAAGCAGGATAAATGCCTGTTATTTATTAATACTGTTTTTTCACGAGTCCACTGGCCATATTAGCTACTGTTAGCGATATTTATGTTTTTAGCAAGTTCAAATTCAAAATATTTTATTCAGCACTAGCATTGCCTGCGGCTCCGCCCGCGTTTAGAAGATCAAAAACCAAATTCTTAGGTTTTACATATTATTATACTCTTACATTACAGTTTTTGTATTTTTAGTCAGACATGAGATATTTTCCCGCGGGAAAAAGTATCCTATATGTTGACCCGGATAACCAGCTATCACCAAAATTTCATCAAAATCCCTCCAGTGCTTTTTCTGTGATGCGGTAACAGACAGACAGACAGACAGACAGACAGACAGACAAAAATCCTAAAAACTATAGATTCGGCCTTTGTATCGATAATAGTGTTTATTTCAATAAGATTTTCCAAAAAATATCTAATGAACAGATTCGGCTTATTAAATAAAACTATCTTTTTGGATTATTTCGCGGATTTATTTTGATTTTTGGTTCCCGACGTTTCGAATGCTTTACAGCATCCATGGTCACGGGAGAGTTAATCCGAAAAGATAGTTTTATTTAATAATGTCAAACATTCGCGTAAATCTAAGAAAGTATTAGATTCGGCTTAGTTACAATTTTATTATATTATGTATAGATTATTTATCATTACAATTTTTTACTGAATGTTATTAGTCTACTATTAGTTCGGAAAGAAGAATACTCAGACCTGAGAAGAACTGGCGAAAGAAACTTAGTGGGACTAATATTGTTTCGTTATCTAGGTATACTAATATCATAAAGAGGTAAAGTTTGTGAGCTTGTGACGTTGTAGCGGATAATCTCTAGATCTACTGAATCGATTTAGATGAAATTTGGTAAAAAGATAGTTTGAGACCCTGGGAAGGGAATAGAATACTTTTCATCCCGGAAATCATCCCTTAAGGGGGTGAAACTGGGGATGAAAGTTTGTATGGGTAATCAAGTTAGGGACGAAACCGAGCGAAGCTAGCGTGAGTCGCTAGCCTTTTTTATAAAGTGAAATATGTTACCAGTAGTTATTTTTTTTAAAAACTAATTTTTCTTCGTCCAGTGTTGGAAATTCCATGATAATTATTGAAAATTTAAGGAAACTATATCTTACTTCTTACTAATATATTATTATAAACTAGAATTACCCGCGGCTTTGCTCGCGTACAAAATTCTGATATAAACATTACTTTTACCATAATATATAAAAGTTTGCCCGATTTGTAGACATTTATGATTACTGCTCCGCTCCCTTGGGTCATAGCATGATGATATATCCTCAATAAACAGGCAATCTAATGCAAAAGATTTTTTTCGAATCGGATTAGTTTCTGAGATTAACGCGTTCAAACAAAGAAACAAACAAACTCTGTCTCTTTATAATACCTATTGGTATAGATGTGAAAGTTTAGATGTTTGGATGGATGTTTGTTACTTAATTACGCCAGAATGGCTGAAAGGATCCGGATGTTTGGCACAGAGATAGATTATAGTCTGGAGAAGAACATAGGTTACTTTTTATGCTGGAAAAATGTACGGTTCCCGTGGGATAGATTTGTTTTTGTTTTGAGCACGAATAATAAATAATAAAATAATTATTATTTCACATTAGTAATATAAATTCGAAAGTTTGTATGTTTGTTCTATCTTTACGGTATAACGGCTCTACGCATTTCTGAGATTCCCAAATTTTCAAAATTTGAGTCTTTTTGTCTGTCTGTTTGTTCCGGCTTATTTCCGGTTTGGCTGGACTGATTTTGACGGGATTTTCACTGGCAGATAGCTGATGCTATAAGGATTACCTAACTTATGCTACTTTTATTTTAGAAAAAGTATTAATACATAAAATTATCTAAAAAACTAGTAAGTAATACATAGAAAATTCTGACAACATCAAAGTAATAAAAACTTAAGATACATAATTAGCGTCTCTAAAGTGACCTCGAAAAGATGCACATACTTAACTGAATATTTTCAAATCTCTTCTGTTCATTGCTTTCCGGATGACAACATTAAAAAACACGTTGTTTCGTTTAAATAAAAGTAAGTTCGAATTTGTGTTTAGACAATTAGAACTTTCGATGTTTGAATTTTATTCCTTGATTTGACTTCACGTCAACGCCAGTTTTTTAAGGGCATTTATAAATAAATAAATATGTTGTGACATTAACACACAGTACCATCTAGTTCCATTGTAAGCTACGAGGCCTGTGTTATGGATACCAGATAGTTGATACACTACACATATATAACTTTAAATACATAAATATTATAAATATAAACACCCATAACTGTATGTATCTATGTTTTTATATATCAATGATCTACATATATATACGTGACCATGTCAATGACGACTTACATGAATTTACTCCCCATCCAAACCTGCCTGAAAATGTTGCTGCTTCAAAAACAAAATCGGTTCACAAACAGGATAGTGGCTTTTTATCCTGTTTGTCAACCAATTTTATTTTTGAAACAGCAACATTTTTTAGGCAGTTTTGGATGGGGAGTAAGTTCATGTAAGTCGTAATCGATATGGTCATGTGACGTGTTAACGTAACACTCAGAGTGCCCATAGATGTCAAAACCAGATAATTGTAAACAGTTTTAATTTACAAATTTTGATTTAAGGTCAAACAATTAATTCGAATATGAAAAAATAACAACTGTTTGTTTATAGTTTTAAGTTTTCACTTCTGTCGGC